TTCGCAAAATGTATCCAAAATTTAACCTAAATTTATCGCATGTCACGATTGACATCTGTCACACAATTACTTCCGTAATGCCAACATAAACGCAAGAAAAGTTTATATTTTTGTTTAAAAAGTGCTGCCAATAGACTCAGTCATTTCTGATCACGTGGTATTTTCGAAAAAATTGCGATGTTAGTTGATTTTTAAATGACATAATTTACAATCTTTCCAGTTGTATTTTTGATTTTTTTTTTTTAAGTTGGTCATTAGTACTTGCTAAGATAAAACTGATTTTGGCAAATGGGATATACTTTGAGAAACGAGAGGGTGGGTGGGCGGGGCTAATACCTGCTAAGATAAAACTGATTTTGGCAGATGAGGTACCCTCTAAGAAAAGAGAGGCTGGGTGAGTGGGGCTAATACCTGTTAAGACTGATTTTGGCAAATCACGTATTCTCTAAGAAAATAGAGGGCGGGTGGGCGGGGCTAATACCTGTTTAAATAAGACCGATTTTGGTAAATGGCATACCTTGTAAGAAAAGAGAGGATGGGCGGGCGTGGCTTGTACCTGCTAAGACTGATTTTGGCAAATGACATAGTCTCTAAGAAAATAGAGGGCGGGCGGGGGGGGGCTAGCAAATGATTTCATGATTTCCACAAATTTTCGAGAATAGTTGAGTGGTGAAGTGCCAAAATTAGTTTTATCTTATCAAGTACTAGCCCCGCCCACCCACCCTCTGTTTTCTTGGAGTGCATGTGATTTGCAAAATCAGTTTTATCTTATCAAATACTTGCCCCGCCCACCCACCCTCTTGTTTCTTGGAGGGCATGTGATTTGCCAAAATCAGTTTTATCTTAGCAAGTACTAACTAGCTAAGATAAAACTGATTTTGGCAAATGACATACCCCCTAAGAAAAAAGAGGGTGGGTGGGCGGGGCTAGTAGCTCCTAACATAAAACTGATTTGGCAGTTGACATACCCTCTAAAAAAAGAAGAGGGTGTGTGGGTGGGCGGGGCTTATTTTTTATCTTAATGTACTAGTATTCTATGGGCAACACGATACTCAAAAACATGCTGGATTTTGCAGTTAAGCTCCACCTTCTTGGCCCACGACGAATAAAAAAATCATCACAATTGAGACAGGGCGGGTGGGCGGGGCTTATAATTTGCCTTTTTTTCTTAATATGTTTTGTTTAGTCATCTTTTTACAACGAGAAACTTAGAACATGTTTAAAATGGTAAAATTGTATAGGGAATGAAAAATTCATGAAATAGTACGGGGTAAAGCCTAATTGCAAAATCGACATTTCCCTATACAATTTTCCATTTTAAACATGTTTTAAGTTTCATGTTGTGAAAAGAAGTCTACACACATTAAAACAAAAAAGCAAAATGAAAGCCCGCCCACCCACACTATCTCGATTGTGATGATTTTTTTATTCGCCATAAACTAAGGGGGAGGATCTTAACTGCAAAATATTATTTCCTTACAAGAAATTAAAAATATGTTTTTGAGTCTCGTGTTATTCAAAGCATATGTATATTTAGTATATTTAGAAAAAAAAGAAAAATATATTCCCCGCCCACCCACCCCATCTCAATTGTGAGGGTTTTTTTTATTCTTATTTTTTTTTCTGAATATACTAGTATTCTATGGACAACACGATACTCAAAAACATGTTTTTAATTCCCTCGCAGAGGAATTAGGATTTTGCAGTTAAGCTCCGCCTTGTTGGCTCATGAGGAATAAAAAAAATCATCACAATTGAGATAGGGTGGGTGGGCGGGGCTACATTTTGCCTTTTTTTTCTTAATATGTGTAGTCATCTTTTCACAACAAGAAACTTAAAGCATGTTTAAAATAGTAAATTCTTATAGACAAATATGGATCTTGCAATTAAACCGCGCCCCTCGATCTGACAACAAATAAAAAATTCATCAGAATTGAGAATTGAAATCGGGGCGGGTATGGTTGGGGCATAATCTTTGGCTTTATTTTTTTCTTAATATGCATAGCATTCTTTGGACAACACGATACTCAAAAATATGTTTTTATTTTCTGGCAGAGGAATAAGGATTTTGCAGTTAAGCTCCGCCTTCTTGGCTCACGACGAATAAAAAAATCATCACAATTGAGATAGGGTGGGTGGGCGGGGCTACATTTTGCCTTTTTTTTTCTTAACAGGTGTAGTCATCTTTTCACAACGAAAAACTTAAAATATGTTTAAAATAGTAAATTTGTATAGGGAAATATCGATTTTACAATTAAGCTCCGACCCTCGGCTTACGACGAATAAAAAAATTCATCAGAATTGAGATAGGGTGGGTGGGCGGGGTTTATATTTTGCCTTTTTTTCTTAATATGCGTAGTCATCTTTTCACAACAAAAACTTGAACATGGTTAAAATGATACATTTTTTGCGAGGAAATATGGATTTTGTAATTATGGGGCGGAGCTTAATTGCAAAATCGACATTTCCCTATACAAATTTCCATTTTTAAATATGTTTTAAGTTTCATGTTGTGAAAAGAAGTCTACACATATTCAAACAAAAAGGCAAAATGTAGCCCCGCCCACCCACCCTGTTTCAATTGTGATGATTTTTTTATTCGCCGTAAATTAAGGGGGAGGATCTTAACTGCAACATACTTATTTCCTTACAAGAAATTAAAAATATGTTTTTGAGTCTCGTGTTATTCAAAGAATACTATGTATATTAACAAAAAAAAAACACACACACAAAATATAAATCCCGCCCACCCAATCTCAATTGTGATGATTTTTTATTCTTTTTTTTTGCAGTTAAACTCCACCTTCTTGGCTAACGACGAATAAAATAAAATCGTCGCAATTGAGATAGGGCGGGTGGGCGGGGCTTATATTTTCCTTTTTTTTTCTTAACATACATAGCCATTTTTTCACAACAAGAAACTTAGAACATGGTTAAGATGGTACATTTTTGCAAGAAAATATGGATTTTACAATTATGGGGGTTGTGAAACGAAGTCTACACATATTAAAACAAAACGCCAAAATGTAGCCCCGCCCACCCACCCTCTCTCAATTGTGATGATTTTTTTTATTCGCCGTAAACTAAGAGGGAGGATCTTAACTGCAAAATACTTATTTCTTTACCAGAAATTAAAAACATATTTTTGAGTATCGTGTTATTCAAAAAATACTTGTATATTAAGAAATAAAAGCAAAGTATAAACCCCTCCCACCCACCCTATCTCAATTGTGATGTTTTTTTTTTTATTTACCGTAACCTAAGGGGGAGGATCTTAACTGCAAAATACTTATTTCTTTACAAGAAATTAAAAACATGTTTTTGAGTATCGTTTTGTTCAAAGAATATTATGTATATTTTGAAAAACAAGCAAAATATAAACCCCGCCCACCCATCCCGTCCTAATTGTGATGATTTTTTTTTATTCTTTTTTTTCTTAATATACTAATATTCTATGGACAACACGATACTCAAAAACATGTTTTTAATTCCCTCGTATTGGGATTTTGCAGTTAGGCTCCGCCTTCTTGGCTCACGACGAATAAAAAAATCATCACAATTTAGATATGGTGGGTGGGCGGGGCTACATTTTGCCTTTTTTTTTCTTAACATGTGTAGTCATCTTTTCACAACGAGAAACTTAAGACATGTTTAAAATGGTAAATTTGTATAGAGAAATATCGATTTTACTGCTCAGCTCCGACCTCGGCTTACGACGAATAAAAAAATTCATCAGAATTTAGATAGGGTGGGTGGGCGGGCTTATATTTTGCCTTTTTTTCTTAATATACATAGTCATCTTTTCACAACAAAAACTTGAACATGGTTAAAATGATACATTTTTGCAAGGAAATATGGATTTTGCAATAATGGGTCGGAGCCTAATTACAAAATCGATATTTCCCTATACAAATTTCCATTTTAAATATGTTTTAAGTTTCATGTTGTGAAAAGAAGTCTACACATATTCAAACAAAAAGGCAAAATGTAGCCCCGCCCACCCACCCTATCTCAATTGTGATGATTTTTTTATTCGCCGTAAACTAAGGGGGAGGATCTTAACTACAAAATACTTATTTCTTTACAAGAAATTAAAAACGCGTTTTTGAGTATCGTGTTATTCAAACAATGCTATGTATATTAAGAAAAAAAAAATTAACCCCGCCCACCCACCCCATCTCGATTGTGATGATTTTTTTATCCTTAGAAACCTGAAACACGTTTAAAATGGTATTTTTTTTAAGAAAATATGGATTTTGCAATTAGGCTCCGCCCCTGGGTCTACCAACGAATGAAAATTTCATTACTATTTAGATCAGTGCAGGTATGCTTGGGATTTTAATTTTTTCTTAATAAACATAATAGCATTCTTTGAATAACACGATACGTGGTAATTTCTTGTCGAGAAGTAATAAGGATTTTGCAGTTAAATTCCGCTGCTTTGGCTCTCGACGATTAAAAAAAAATCATCACAATTGAGACAGGGTGGGTGGGCGGGGCTTATATTTTGCCTGTTTGTTTCTTAACATACATAGCCATCTTTTTAGAACAAGAAACTTACATTTTGCTCTTCTTAAAACTCACGAGCCGCCACTGCCTCACACCTACCGAAACGAAATGAAATTTCACCTCCGCCAATGAACTTTTAGAGGTCATAAAAAGCGTGAAATGAAGGTCGGCGACAACTTTCTTTTCCCTATAAGAGCCTATCTAATAACCATCATCAGTTCCACCTTTCCCTTCCGGTCATCAAAAGAAGTGAAATTTTAATTCATTCCGATGATCGAAAAATATTTGTGTGTCCATTGTTTAGCTAGTAGATTCTGGGTAATGAAACGTTATTAAAATTCTAGCAGTTCTTCGTCTACGTTGACTGACTGGGAGTCGTATTAATATTAAGGAGCGGATTTGTATGCGCGCAATTTTGGCTAGATATTATATGCAATTAATTGTTTGACAGTTTTCAATGATAATTATAGTGATAATAAATTTTTCTTTAGTTGTACGCTTGTCGATGTCTGGCCTATGGTTTTGATTCGGGAGGCGACCAGGGGGCCTGTGGGAGGCAGTACAGGGCTGGGAAAATGCACAGGCCGCCGTGCGACTTGGCCTCAGGGTACTGCACCTCGGCGGGGGCGGCGTACCCCTGGCACGCCGTCAAGCGATTCGTGAGAGAGAATCAAGGGTTGATGAGACGCATGTACGGGGACCAGAGGCACGGACAAGTACTCAAGGCGGAGCTAGAGGATTTGGCGCTCCAACCAATCAGTGACGAGTTTTACCGCAGCCGATACGACGACAGAAAAAGTAAACACCTCATTTCAGTCTTCATATTTACTTATTATAATGCACTTGGGAGAAATCAAGTCATTACTCACCGTTGTATCTAGATAAACTAATATCACTTCTAGTCCCACTAATTGCTTTCAAACACGACTAGTCATTAATCACACAGATAACCCCAAAAATGACCCGCCCGTCTAGACAGCCCAATCTCCCATTTCTTCGCAAACCCAACGGTAATAACCCATCGATAACCACAAAGTTCATGCATTTTTTCCGCAACCATGCAATTACGGCAACCTCATTACGCCCAAATTGATGGTTTCAGTGTACGCCAAACAAGAATTCCATTTCAACGTCGATAATGAACTCGGTCGTGACGCCACAGAGCCACGCTTCCTCCGCGAAGAAGACATCAGCAATGACGACGTCCTCAATACCAAGTTCGTGTACTCGGAGGAACCCGCTATTAGTATCAAGTTGGCGGACCTCCGGACTGCCCCCCATTTCAGACCCACTACACACAAGTCCACCACGGCGGAAGCTCCTAGGACTACCACGGTGGAGGAGTCCACCACGCAGACGGAAACCACCACCATGGAGCTAACCACGGACACCACCACCAACCAGAACGCCAAAACCGACACTAGTACTAACACCAACCCCACGGAGACCAGTAGTTTCAGCGACAAGGAAAGTTCAGGCGGGGGGGCTGTCCTATTCCAGGATTTAGACGAGAACAAGAACGCCCACAAGGTGCAAATCAACTACCAGATGAAGGGGGTGTACGTTACGTACTAGTAAGTCTAGCCCTTTATGTAGCGTTTTCTTGTAGGAACGCCTGCCCTGTGAAAGAGGAGGTCGTGGCACCCTTCTGGGCCAACAACACCCGGGGCGAAGTCCTAGCCCTTCTCAACATGTACCCGTTCGAGCAGTACGTGCACTGGGAGAAGTGCACCCACGAGCACCGCCAGATGTACTGTAGGGACGGGTGTAGGTGCGAGCAGCAGTACCGGCTCCACAGACTTTTGGCCTACGACCCCAATAACGAATGTCGTGGGATCTTTTCCGACTGGTTTCGGTTTCCTTCGTGTTGTGTTTGTAAATGTTACAGTATACCTCCTGCGGAATTTCGGGTGACTTCGAGGAGTCCACGAGCTTATGAGCAAGTTCAAATGCCTGATTGGTACAGGCGGAAAAATGAGGCCATTTTTTCGGCTGGTGATCACGGCTAATGAGCGAAACGATGGAGACATAATTGACGTCAAGGCTCGTGCTTTTTTCTGTTATAGGAGTATTTTATTATTGTATTTTTGTACATTTCGTTATATTCTTTGTAGTTGTGTAGATAGTAATTAAGGTTGATTATATGTTGTTGTGTTCTTGTATAATAAAGTTTTTAATTCGTATTTGGGGCGTTTTATTGCAAGTGCGCGGTTAGTGTGGTGCGGACCAAGCAAGGCTCCACCACACTTTAGGACATGTTTAAATGGTAAATTCTTGTAGACAAATATGGATCTTGCAATTAAACCCCGCCCCTCGATCTGACAACGAATGAAAAATTCATCATAATTGAGAATTGAGATCGGGGCGGGTATGGGTGGGGCCTAACATTTGCCTTTATTTTTTTCTTAATATCATAGTATTCTTTGAACAACACGACACTCAAAAACATTCCTAGCTAGTTCCTGCTAAGATAAGAGTGATTTTGGCAAATAACATATCCTTTGAGAAGATAGGGGGCGGGGCTAGTACTTGTTAAGATAAAACTGATTTTGTAAAACCTTCTTGGGGTTTTTATTTGTATTTTTTTTTAATGTGAAAGCTTCTCGGGGGTCCCAAAACTGTCTTTTTTAAAAATGTAAAACCTCGGGGGTTCCAATCCACGTGTCTTTTTTTAAAAATGTAAAACCTTCTCGGGGTTCCCATCTGTCTTTTTTTTTTAATGTGAAACCTTCTCGGGGGTCCCAAAACTGTCCTTTTCAAAAATGTAAAACCTTCTCGGGGGTCCCAACTCTCTTCTTTTCAAAATGTAAAACCTTCTCGGGGTTCCCAACTGACTTCTTTTTTAATGTGAACCCTTCTTGAGGGTCCCAAAACTGTCTTTTTTAAAAATGTAAAACCTTCTTGGGGTTCCCATTTGTCTTTTTTTAATGTGAAACCTTCTCGGGGATCCCAAAACTGTCTTTTTTAAAAGTGTAAAATCTCCTCGGGGTTCCCATCTGTCTTCTTTTTTAATGTGAAACCTTCTCAGGGGTCCCAAAACTGTCTTTTTTTAAAAATGTAAAACCTTCTCAGGGATCCCATCTGGTTTTTTTTTTGTGAAACCTTCTCGGGGGTCCCAAAACTGTCTTTTTTTAAAAATGTAAAACCTTCTCGGGGGTCTCAACTGTCTTTTTTTTAAAATGTAAAACCTTCTCCGGGGTCCCATCTGTCTTTTTTTTTAATGTGACACCTTCTCGGCGTTCCCAAAACTGACTTTTTTTTAATGTAAAACCTTCTCGGGGGTCTCAACTGTCTTTTTTAAAAATGTAAAACCTTCTCAGGGTTCCCATCTGTCTTCTTTTTTAATGTGAAACCTTCTCGGGGGTCTCAAAACCGTCTTTTTTAAAAATGTAAAACCTTCTCGGGGGTCCCACAACTGTCCTAATTAAAAATGTAAAACCTTCTCGGGGGTCCCAACTGTCTTTTTTTAAAAATGTAAAACCTTCTCGGGGGCTCCATCTGTCTCTTTTTTTAATATGAACCCTTCTCGGGGGTCCCAAAACTGTCCTAATTAAAAATGTAAAATCTTCTCGGGGTCCCAAAACTGTCTTTTTTTTAATGTAAAACCTTCTCGGAATTCCCAACTGTATTTTTTTCTTAATATGAAACCTTCTCGGGGATCGCAAAACTGTCTTTTTTAAAAATGTAAAATCTTCTCGGGGTCCCAAAACTGTGTTTTTTTTTAATGTAAAACCTTCTCGGGATTCCCAACTGTCTTTTTTAATGTGAAACCTTCTCAGAGGTACCAAAACTGTCTTTTTTTTAAAGATAAAACCTTCTTGGGGTTCCCATTTGTCTTTTTTCTAATGTGAAACCTTCTCGGAGGTCCCAAAACTGTCTTTTTTTAAAAATCTAAAACCTTCTTGGGATTCCCAACTGTCTTCTTTTTTAATGTGAAACCTTCTTAAGGGTCCCAAAACTGTCCTATTTAAAAATGTAAAACCTTCTCGGGGGCCCCATCTGTTTTTTTTTTAATGTGAAACCTTCTCGGGGGTCCCAAAATTGTCTTTTTTAAAAATGTAAAATCTTCTCGGGGTCCCAGAACTGTCTTTTTTTTTAATGTAAAACCTCCTCGGGATTCCCAACTGTCTTTTTTAATATGAAACCTTCTCAGAGGTACCAAAACTGTCTTTTTTTTAAAGATAAAACCTTCTTGGGGTTCCCATTTGTCTTTTTTTTTAATGTGAAACCTTCTCAGGGGTCCCAAAACTGTCTTTTTTTTAAATGTAAAACCTTCTCGGGATTCCCAACTGTCTTTTTTAATGCGAAACCTTCTTGAGGGTCTCAAAACTGTCTTTTTTAAAAATGTAAAACCTCGGGGGTTCCAACTGTTTTTTTTTTAAATGTAAAACCTTCTCGGGGTTCCCATCTGTCTTTTTTTTTAATGTGAAACCTTCTCGGGGGTCCCAAAACTGTCCTTTTCAAAAATGTAAAATCTTCTCGGGGACGCCAAAAATCTTTTTTTTTAATATGAAACCTTCTCTGGGTTCCCAACTGACTTCTTTTTTAATGTGAAACCTTCTTGAGGATCCCAAAACTGTCTTTTAAAAATGTAAAACCCTCTCGAGGTCTCAACTGTCTTTTTTTAAAAATGTAAAACCTTCTCTGGGGTTCCATCTGTCTTTTTTTTTAATGTGACACCTTCTCGGCGTTCCCAAAACTGTCTTTTTAAAAATGTGAAACCTTCTCGGGGGTCCCAAAACTGCCTTTTTTAAAAATGTAAAACCTTCTCGGAGGTCTCAACTGTCTTTTTTTTAAATGTAAAACCTTGGGGTTCTTATTTGTCTTTTTTTTAATGTGAAACCTTCTCGGGGGTTACAAAACTATCTTTTTAAAAATGTGAAACCTTCTCGGGGGTCTCAAAACTGTCTTTTTTAAAAATGTAAAACCTTCTCGGGGTCCCATCTGTCTTTTTTTTTAATGTCAAACCTTCTCGGGGGTCCCACAACTGTCGTTTTTAAAAATGTAAAACCTTCTCGGGGGTATCAACTGTCTTTTTTTAAAAATGTAAATCCTTGTCTGGGTTCCCATCTGTCTTCTTTTTTAATGTGAAACCTTCTCGGGGGTCCCAAGACCGTCTTTTTTTAAAATGTAAAACCTTCTCGGGGGCCCCATCTCTGTTTTTTTTTTAATGTGAATCCTTCTCGGTGGTCCCAAAACTGGCTTTTTTAAAAATGTAAAATCTTCTCGGGGGTCTCATCTGTCTTTTTTTTAATGTGAAACCTTCTCGGTGGTCCCAAAACTGTCTTTTAAAAATGTAAAATCTCCTCGGAGGTCCCAACTGTCTTTTTTTAAAAATGCAAAACCTTCTCGGGGTTCCTATCTGTCTTCTTTTTTAATGTGAAACCTTTTCGAGGGTCCCAAAACCCTCTTTTTTAAAAATGTAAAACCTTCTCGGGGGTCCCATCTGTCTTTTTTTTTAATGTGAAACCTTCTCGGGGGTCCTAAAACTGTCTTTTTTAAAAATGTAAAATCTTCTCGGGGGTCCCAACTGTCTTTTTTTAAAAATGTAAAACCTTCTCGGGGTTCCCATCTGTCTTTTTTTTAACGCGAACCCTTCTCGGGGGTCCCAAAACTGTCTTTTTTATCTTATCATCCTTAAATATTTGTATGTCATCAGCACGTACATGCGTCATCCTGCTCTTCAACTATTAAAATGAAGGCGCAAGATGGGTCGGCGTTTTGCCTTATTTTGGCATCTTGTAACGACTTTAATAAGTTTGAATTAGCCATCAGAACTCGGTTGGTGTGGTATGGACCACAAATTAATTTTCTAGAACGTCACAAGACTGAAATAGGAATACCGTTTATTTACTTCTGTGAACATCGGGTTGCATAACCTGTGATAAAAATAATTGCAATACACAAACGACTATTATAAAAGACGCAGATAACAAGAACAATACAAACAACAAAAGAAAACAAAGTTTTTCAATTTATTACACGTAAATATGTAATTATTTTTCCCTTACTAGTAATTTACGTGCCGCCATTGGCACCCCTGCCACATTGCACAACATTGCCCGTCAACCTTATGTCACTTGTCTTCCACCACCCCGCACACTCATTTTTCATTCAGTTGCACAACATTAGACCACTATTTACCTTTAAATTGAAACCATTGTGATATTCGTCGTAGTTTTAGAGTAATTTAGCGTAAGTAAACACGAAAATGTCGTGCCCGTGGGGAAAAATCGAAAAACCCGAACCCGTCAACCTGGACGAGATAATGTCAGAAGAAGTAGCCCGAGATCTTCAAGCCAAAGAAGACAAAAAGTACGCCGAAATGACGAAGTCGTCGTCGAAAGAAGAAGACGAGATCCCCCCCGAAGTCCTCGATGCCATTTCACAGGATGCCACGTGCCAATCCGACGAGATGATCGCCAGAATGCTGCAGATGCAATTCGACAAAGAGTACGACGAAAACTTGAAAAGGACCGAGAAGAAGTACAACGGGGCGTCGAAGGTTTCGGTGTCGTTCGAGAATTACAGGAGGGTTCCACATAATTTTGGTACGAAAACTGTAAATGTCAGGTTGCAGTTTTTACATATTTTTATTGCAGACTTTGAAAGCGAGTCCGAAGAGGACGAAATTCCAGATATTCGCGACCGTCGCGACTGGGACCGCTTTGACACCCTCAAGAGACAAGTTGACTCCATCCCCCCTTGTGGCTACAAAATGGAGAACGGCAGCATGGTCACCAAGCACGACGTGACCATGAACGGCCGCAAGAACGCCTGCAAGCTCCTGTCCTTCCCGCCGGACTTCCAAACCGGCGACGGGGAGAACTTCGACCTCAAGCTATCCAACAAAGTCTTCAACAGCTTGAAGTTGCACTCGAAGCACGAAGAAGCGCGCCGACATAAAGTCTTTTTTTAAAAATGTAAAACCTTCTCGGGGTTCCCATCTGTCTTTTTTTTTTAATGTGAAACCTTCTCGGGGGTCCCAAAACTGTCCTTTTCAAAAATGTAAAACCTTCTCGGGGGTCTCAACTGTCTTTTTTTAAAAATGTAAAACCTTCTCGGGGGTCCCAACTGTCTTTTTTTAAAAATGTAAAACCTTCTCGGGGGCCCCATCTGTCTTTTTTTTTAAATGTGAAACCCTCTCGGGGATCCCAAAACTGTCTCTTTTAAAAATCTAAAATCTTCTCGGGGTCCCAAAACTGTCTTTTTTAAAAATGTAAAATCTTCTCGGGATTCCCAACTGTCTTCTTTTTTAATGTGAAACCTTCTCGGGGGTCCCAAAACTATCTTTTTTAAAAATGTAAAATCTTCTCGGGGGTCCCATCTGTCTTTTTTTTAATGTGAAACCTTCTCGGGGGTCCCAAAACTGTATTTTTTAAAAATGTAAAATCTTCTCGGGGTTCCCATCTGTCTTCTTTTTTAATGTGAAACCTTCTCAGAGGTCTCAAAACTGTCTTTTTTTTTAATGTAAAACCTTCTTGGGGTTCCCATTTGTCTTTTTTTTTTTAATGTGAAACCTTCTCGGAGGTCCCAAAACTGTCTTTTTTTTAAAATTTAAACCTTCTTGGGATTCCCAACTGTCTTCTTTTTTAATGTGAAACCTTCTTAAGGGTCCCAAAACTGTCTTTACCTTCTCGGGCTTCCCAAAACTGTCTTTTTTTTTAATGTAAAACCTTCTCGGGGGTCTCAACTGTCTTTTTTTAAAAACGTAAAACCTTCTCAGCGTTCCCATCTGTCTTCTTTTTTAATGTGAAACCTTCTCGGGGGTCCCAAAACCGTCTTTTTTAAAAATGTAAAACCTTCTTGGGGGTCCCACAACTGTCCTATTTAAAAATGTAAAACCTTCTCGGGGGTCCCATCTGTCTTTTTTTTTAATGTGAAACCTTCTCGGGGGTCCCAAAATTGTCTTTTTTAAAAATGTAAAATCTTCTCGGGGTCCCAAAACTGTCTTTTTATTAAATGTAAAATCTTCTCGGGATTCCCAACTGTCTTCTTTTTTAAAGTGAAACCTTCTCGGGATTCCCAACTGTCTTTTTTAATATGAAACCTTTTTGAGGGTCCCAAAACTGTCTTTTTTAAAAATGTAAAACCTTCTTGGGGTTCCCATTTGTCTTTTTTTTAATGTAAAACCTTCTCGGGGGTCCCATCTGTCTTTTTTTTAAATGTGAAACCTTCTCGGGCTTCCCAAAACTGTCTTTTTTTAATGTAAAACCTTCTCGGGGGACTCAACTGTCTTTTTTTAAAAATGTAAAGCCTTCTCAGGGTTCCCATCTGTCTTCTTTTTTAATGTGAAACCTTCCAGGGGTCCAAAAACCGTCTTTTTTTAAAGTGTAAAACCTTCTTGGGGGTCCCGACTGTCTTTTTTTTTTAATGTGAAACCTTCTCGGGGGTCCCAAAACTGTCTTTTAAAAATGTAAAATCTTCTCTAGGTCCAAAAACCGTCTTTTTTTTAATGTAAAACCTTCTCGGGATTCCCAACTGTCTTTTTAAATATGAAACCTTCTTGAGGGTCCCAAAATTGTCTTTTTTAAAAATGTAAAACCTTCTTGGGGTTCCCATTTGTCTTTTTTTTAGTGTGAAACCTTATCGGGGGTCCCAAAACTGTCTTTTTTAAAAATGTAAAATCTTCTCGGGGTCCCAAAACTGTCTTTTTTTTTTTAATGTAAAACCTTCTCGGGATTCCCAACTGTCTTTTTTAATGTGAAACCTTCTTGAGGGTCGTAAAACTGTCTTTTTTAAAAATGTAAAACCTTCTTGGGGTTCCCATTTGTCTTTTTTTAATGTTAAACCTTCTCGGGGGTCCCAAAACTGTCTTTTTTAAAAATGTAAAATCTTCTCGGAGTCCCAAAACTGTCTTTTTTTTTAATGTAAAACCTTCTCGGGGGACTCAACTGTCTTTTTTTAAAAATGTAAAACCTTCTCAGCGTTCCCATCTGTCTTCGTTTTTAATGTGAAACCTTCTTGAGGGTCGTAAAACTGTCTTTTTTAAAAATGTAAAACCTTCTTGGGGTTCCCATTTGTCTTTTTTTTAATGTGAAACCTTCTCGGGGGTCCCAAAACTGTCTTTTTTAAAAATGTAAAATCTTCCCGGGGTTCCCATCTGTCTTCTTTTTTAATGTGAAACCTTCTCAGAGGTCTCAAAACTGTCTTTTTTTTTAAGTGTAAAACCTTCTTGGGGTTTCCATTTGTCTTTTTTTTTTAATGTGAAACCTTCTCGGAGGTCCCAAAACTGTCTTTTTGTAAAAATCTAAAACCTTCTTGGGATTCCCAACTGTCTTCTTTTTTAATGTGAAACCTTCTTAAGGTTCCCAAAATTGTCTTTTTTAAAAATGTAAAACCTTCTTGGGGTTCCCATTTGTTTTTTTTTTTAATGTGAAACCTTCTCGGGGGTCCCAAAACTGTCTTTTTTAAAAATGTAAAATCTTTTCGGGGTTCCCATCTGTCTTCTTTTTAATGTTAAACCTTCTCAGGGGTCCCAAAACTGTCTTTTTTTAAAAATGTAAAACCTTCTTGGGGTTCCCATTTGTCTTCTTTTTTAATGTGAAACCTTCTCGGGGGTCCCAAAACTGTCTTTTTTAAAAATGTAAAATCTTCTCGGGGTCCCAAAACTGTCTTTTTTTTAAATGTAAAACCTTCTCGGGATTCCCAACTGTCTTCTTTTTTAATGTGAAACCTTCTCGGGATTCCCAACTGTCTTTTTTAATATGAAACCTTTTTGAGGGTCCCAAAACTGTCTTTTTTTAAAATGTAAAACCTTCTTGGGGTTCCAATTTGTCTTTTTTTTTAATGTGAAACCTTCTCGGGGGTCCCAAAACTGTTTTTTTTTTAATGTAAAACCTTCTCGGGGGTCCCATCTGTCTTTTTTTTTTAATGTGAAACCTTCTCGGGGGTCCCAAAACTGTCTTTTTTATCTTATCATCCTTAAATATTTGCATGTCATCAGCACGTACATGCATCATCCTGCTCTTCAACTATTAAAATGAAGGCGCAAGATGGGTCGGCGTTTTGCCTAATTTTGGCATCTTGTAACGACTTTAACAAGTTTGAATTAGCCATCAGAAATCGGTTGGTGTGGTATGGACCACAAATTAATTTTCTAGAGCGTCACAAGACTGAAATAGGAATACCGTTCTATTTACTTCTGTGTATATCCGGTTGCATAACCTGTGATAAAAATAATTGCAATACACAAACGACTATTATAAAAGACGCAGATAATAAAAACAACACAAACAACAGACGAAAACCAATCCTTTTCGATTTATTACAGGTATAAAAATAATTATTTTTCCCTTACTAGTAATTTACGTGCCGCCATTGGCACCCCTGCCACATTGCATAACATTGCCCGTCAACCTTATGTCACCTGTCTTCCACCACCCCGCACACTCATTTTTCATTCAGTTGCACAACATTAGACCACTATTTACCTTTAAATTGAAACCATTGTGATATTCGTCGTAGTTTTAGAGTAATTTAGCGTAAGAAAACACGAAAATGTCGTGCCCGTGGGGAAAAATCGAAAAACCCGAACCCGTCAACCTGGACGAGATAATGTCAGAAGAAGTAGCCCGGGATCTTCAAGCCAAAGAAGACAAAAAGTACGCCGAAATGACGCAGTCGTCGTCGAAAGAAGAAGGCGAGATCCCCCCCGAAGTCCTCGAGGCCATTTCACAGGATGCCACGTGCCAATCCGACGAGATGATCGCCAGAATGCTGCAGATGCAATTCGACAAAGAGTACGACGAAAATTTGAAAAGGACCGAGGAGAAGTACAACGGGGCGTCGAAGGTTTCGGTGTCGTTCGAGAATTACAGGAGGGCTCCACATAATTTTGGTACGAAAAGTGTAAATGTTAGGTTGCAGTTTTTACGTATTTTTATTGCAGACTTTGAAAGCGAGTCCGAAGAGGACGAAATTCCAGATATTCGCGACCGTCGCGACTGGGACCGCTTTGACACCCTCAAGAGGCAAGTTGACTCCATCCCCCCTTGTGGCTACAAAATGGAGAACGGCAGCATGGTCACCAAGCACGACGTGACCATGAACGGCCGCAAGAACGCCTGCAAGCTCCTGTCCTTCCCGCCGGACTTCCAAACCGGCGACGGGGAGAACTTCGACCTCAAGCTATCCAACAAAGTCTTCAACAGCTTGAAGTTGCACTCGAAGCACGAAGAAGCGCGCCGCCATAAAGTCCGCGACAAAAAAGAAGACAGAGCCACTCAAGAGTTCGGCTTGGATGAGTACACCAGACTTGTAATATTCAAAATCGTGCAACAAGAAATACTCGAGAACGTCAACGGGGTCATCAGTATAGGGAAAGAGGCGGTGATTCTTCATGCTGACGCTAACCCCAATTATGAGGAGCAACCTCTCCCGCACGAGTGTGCTATTAAAGTGTTTAAAACGACTCTTTCGGAGTTTAAACAGAGGGACAAGTACATAAAGGACGACCACAGGTTTAAAGGCAGGATAGGGAATCAAACAGCCCGGAAGACCGTTCATTTGTGGGCTGAGAAAGAAATGCACAATTTGAATAGGTTGAAGAATGCGGGAGTTGCTTGTCCGGAGGTGGTGACGCTAAAGAAGCACGTTTTGGTTATGAGTTTCATCGGGGAGAATAACAAGCCTGCGCCTAAGTTGAAGGATGCGATAATGACCGATGCGGATTATATTGTGGCTTATGATCAAGTTGTTGACACCATGAAGACATTGTTTGATAAGGCTGAGTTGATACACGCCGATTTGTCGGAGTATAATATTCTGTGGCACCAAGGACAGTGTTATTTTATTGATGTGAGTCAGTCGGTGCTGTTGGCGCACGAAAATGCCTTTTATTTTTTGATGAGGGACTGCGGTAACGTCGTTAATGTAAGTTGAATTGTTGGTTGCCTATCTAGCACGTGCCAAATAGGCTAGTAGGCCATGGAATTTCTTTTTAAAATAATAATGTTGGCAGTGCCGCTATTTGACACTTTGATTGACAGATGCAATTTTTTTTCAGTTTTTCTCCAAGAAAAAAGTGCCAGGGGTCGCTACCCCCGAGGAACTTTTCAAATCCATCACCGGCTACTACTATGACGAAAAGCAAGCACTTTTAGAGTTACAAGAATCCTTCAAAATGAAGCCCCATTTAGTGGACCAACCGGGAATTGAAAGCACCTTTGATTTCGAAAAAGGATGGGAAAAATCAAAAGAACTTGAAACTGTACAATTAGTTGACTCACCTTTGGCATAACATGGACAATCTTTATTTGTAAATAAAAATTAAAAAAAATAATAGTTGTCTTACGTGAGTCATTACACCTTGAAACACATTTCATACGTTGGTGGCTTCTCAGGAATCTTCAATATATCGAGATCATCAGTCTGAAACCACTTTATTTCGTCTTCGGTCAAATCTTCCAATTTTGAGTAGAAATTCTCGTTTGATTTAGCTTGAACGGTGTTCCCAAACACGTTTGTGGTATTAGCTTGAAGCCCCAAATTTCCAAAAATATTCTGCGTGTGCTGATAGGAGGGTTTATTTTGTGGCGTGGGGGCCACCACTTGCGTTGCGGCTTGCGGAACCCCAAAGCCACTCTGTGGAGCCCCAAACGGACCCTGCGTGTTACTAAAAGTGGCATTGGGAGGGGCCCCAAATGGACTCACCGCCGCAGGGGTGGACGCTTGCGGGTTGATACTTTGTTGCTGAAAAACATTTTGTTGTTGTTGTTGTTGTGGGGCGAAAGGCAACTGCTGTCCAAAGGGGCTGCCTTGAAGTGGTTGTTGTGGCTGCTGCTTTCCGAATATCGACTGCTGCTGCTGTTGCTGCTGTGCACCCCCGCTAAACACCGGCGCCCCTCCGAAAACCGAGCTCCCGCTGGGCTGCGCCCCCCCGAACACCGACGCGCTAGAAGCCTGCGCCCCCCCAAAAATCGACTTACTTTGGTTCTGACTGGCAAATATGGAGCCACCGGAGGCCTGCCCTCCTCCGAAAATCGGGTTCGTGTTGGCGAACACGCTCTGTTGCGGCGCCGCGCCCCCGAAAATCCCCTTATTGTTCGTGGTGTTCGCGAACACGTTCTGACTCTGTGGTTGCGTTTGTCCGAAAACTGAAGCCCCAAACGGACTCTGATTCTGGTTCGAGGAGCTTGGGGCTGTGTCGTAGATGCCCTTAAGGATGGCCACGGCCTCCGGTGACGGGTTTTGCAGCGCCTTGATCTTCATCATGGCTTGTTGGAGCATCATCTGCAGGTTTTGTTTGTACTGGTCAATGCCTCCGGTTTTCACTGATTCGTAGAAGAGGTGGCGCACTTCCTCCATGCTGTGGTCCTCGAAGCCCGGGAAGGCGGGTTTTTCCTTGAAGGGGGCGTACGAGGAGAGCAGCCACTGGCCCCCTTTTTCGGCGCTGGTCATGTCGTTGACCACGGCTTTGACTAGGGTGGTGGTGTCGATGTTGGAGGCGGGTGGGGGCTTGCTGGGGTAGTTTTGCCGGAGGAGGACCGAGCTGGTGCCATAGTTGTGGTCTGTCGACAAAGTTTGTGGAAATTGTTATGTTACATAATTTAATTACCGTTCATTTGGTGCTCGAATTTGCAATTGTCGCCGAATTTGCACGTTCCTTGTAAAAAGAATTTGCAGATAACCATGGTGTTGTGTATTTTTTGCGTTTTTCGAACAAACAGTTTTTAGGTTAAGTCAGGAAAAATGACACTTTACTTTGACGTATGCAGCCACTTGTATGGGTTAAAAGTCCCTAACAAGAGTGACCTAAATTATTCAAAACGTGTGTAACTAGCTTATAATTGCTTTTCGCAGTTATATTTTAAGATAAATTAAATATTTAATTAAGAAAAATTAGCAGAAATTACGTTTAATATTTATTTGAGACACGGATGGTTTATTTCGAAAACTCAGTTCATCGGATGCAGTCACTGTCACTGACAGTTCCTTATATTAAACTAAAATCAATTTTTATGATTCCCAATTACCGCATTATAATCCAATCAAAAACCGTATTATAACTTATCAAGAGCTCGCGTGCCGTAATATTTCACAACTTTGCAAGTGGCCTTAAAACAAAAAGAATGAAGAACATTATTAACTGTAACTATGTTACAACTTTCACATTTACCACGAATAGTTTCAAACCCACAGTTAACAACAAAATATGTTCACTATAATAACCACAAGAACTGATTTTTTCCAGTTAGCACTACCAGAATTCAGCGAAAGCGTTAACCTAACTTTATTTTCAACCGACCATTTCTTAAACTTAGCAACTGTGTCGGAATCCAGGAAATTGTAGTCGATGTAAAAAGTATGAATGTTGCAATTCTTTCCAAAAAAGTCATCCGAAACGTGTTTGATCGGATTGTAATTTAACTTTATGTCCTCGAAGCGCCGATTTTCGAAAACACCACTAGGGAAATACTCGATCGAATTGTGGCTAAGATCCAAATAGATTTGTTTTAGTCCATTGAATGCCTTTTCGTCCAAAATTTCAATCTCGTTGTGTGACAAGTGGATATGAATGTCCTTGTTTTCGACGAAATTAAATACATTCTTTCCAAGCTTTTGTATCCTGTTGTAACTGAAGCCCAGTGAGTTCAAGCTTGGTACATGAACGAAAGCTTTAGCATTTATGATTGTAAGTTTGTTGTTCCTCAAATCGAGATGGTAGAAGTTCTTTAAATCTACGAATGCTTCATTTTCGATTATTTTGATCTGGTTGAAAATCAAATATATTGTTGATATATCGAGATTTCTGAATGTATGTTTTTTTATAATTTCAAGTTTTGTGTCGTCTATAGTCACATCTCCAGTGATTGGTTGATTTTTCAAAAAATCGCTTTCGATTGTGTGAAGATTTGGAGCTTTAATTGTGAGAATATTTATCTGATGGGTTATATTAAACATGTCTTTGCACAGCGTTGTGCCGCTTTTCATGTCGATAAAAAGATAATCGGCGCTTGTGGTTGTCGAAATAATTTGGTCTGTTTTTAAATCGGAATCCGTTCTTGTAAAAATCGTGTATTCGATAGAATTTTGAAGTTGACAAGTGTGGGTCAGTTTTAATTTTGTCCATAGTACGAGTAGGAGAATATGTTGTGGCGACATTGTGAGCTAAACTGGAAAAATACTGTTACTGGTGTTGTAATAATGAATCGATGTAATTACATCCTCTGCTAACTTTATTTATTATGAAATTTATTACGCCATCGTGTAACAGAAATCTGGAAAATAATTTATTTCTTTCCAGCTGGACTTTCAGCAGCCACTTGCTTCCAGAGCTGAAGTCCCTCAGTCACTGGATTCAACTTGGCCTCTAGTTCTTTCCCAATTTCGAGAAAATTCACATCGGAATCTGTCACAGGTTTCCACACCACTTTCAACAAATCGTCATTCTTATCAGGAGTCGGATTTCCAAATTTGGCAAAATTGGTCCACAACTTGACGAACCGAGTAAGACAGACGTCTTCAACACTACCAGCTACTATTTCTGGTGTCGCAAAATGCTTGAAAAGGTATCCAATATCGTCGCAATGACAAACCCCTGAAAAAATGCATCAAAACGTGTTTTCCGAACACAATCAACGCACCAGGCATTTGCAGGTTTAGTAACATTTTGAAGAAGTTCAGCTTGGTTTCAACTGTCATCCAGTACAGGTAAGTAGGTGCTTTAGAAATTGTAGACTGCGCGATTATTCTAACGTATGTGTCATAAAGAAAGTAAACATCGGAGAAAAGCTACAACAAACAGTGTTTTTTAAGCAAATTTGAGTGTCATACTAACGTCGTATTTTTTTCTTAAAAGCTTGTGGGAATATTCTTCGTCGCCGAAATAAAACTTCTTCACTTTGTCAGCCACGGTTTTAGTTTCAGGAGAACCCTCTTTGTAACCAAACGAGTGTGAGATAAGTTTTTGGAAATTTGGGGCTTCGGGATCGTTCGGTTTTTTGAAAAGTTCGACGACGGCGCCCTCTAGAGAAGTACACCCGGTCATAAACGGTACTTGGTTGAAGTTCCCAGACGCCACAATGTTGATAGGTTCGTCAACCATAAATGGTTCTTTGGAGTGTGTTTCTAGGACCAAACCTGTTAGTCTAGGTGTGTAGAAGTCTAAATCCTGAAATATATGTTTTTATGTGGAAAAATGTTAATGAATTAGTTTAGTTAATACTTCTTCTGTTTTGTCTTGGATTTGTAAAACTTCTTCGGTTGATTTCTGGGCTAGAGCGTCAAAGATGGTTTTGTCGTCTGCCCCTTCAAGCCCCATTGCTTTGGCCAGACGTTTGGACCCTTTGGCTGCGCGAATCCATTGACTTATACCGCACCCACTCTGGGCTATAGCTTTATGGAAAAGACCTTTGGCTAAAGGTGACAACACCAACACGTGGACTGAAGCAGCACCAGCGCTCTCACCAAAGATGGTAACATTATTAGGATCCCCACCAAACTTGTCAATATTGTTTTGGACCCATCTCAAAGCCATGACTTGGTCCTTAAAACCCGCGTTCCCTGGTACTTCCAAAGACGGGTCTTCAAAACTGACAAACCCGAAAAGACCAAGACGATAGTTGATGGTGACCACAACCACGTCTTCAGTAATAAGGTAATCGGGACCGTAGAGTTCTTCGCCGCCGTGCCCTAGAATGAATCCTCCACCGTGGATCCAGAACATCACCGGTCGCAGATCTTTGGTGTCTTTGGGAAGCTAAAGTTTCTTTAGTTTTTGACAAACCAGGAAATTTGTACGTACCTTTTTGGTGTAGACGTTCAGAAATAGGCAGTTTTCAGTTCCAACAAGGATGCCGTTTTTGATAAGGTCTCGCTGGTAGCAAATGCTGCCTTCTTTGGTGGCGTCGAAGACCCCAGTCCATTTTTCCGGTGGAACGGGTGCCTTGAATCTAAGGCCACCGAGTGGGGGTTGGGCATATGGAATCCCTTGAAATTTCAGGAAGGGGTTGCCACGGAGGTCAGTGGCTGTAGAACCACGAAGGGTTCCTTGTTGGATTGTAACTTCAGGCTGTGGCATTTTTTTTGAGACACTGGTTGGGAGTATTTGAGGATCAATGGTCAAACGAAAGTGGCTATTTTAATTTTAATTCACTATCGGTGTTTAGCTTTGGACGATAATGTCGAGGATGTAAACATGTTTTTGTCATTCAGGTACTGAAGTTTATCTGGGAGGGAATAGTTTCATCCGATTAATTGTAGCCTTGAACCTATATAAATGGTCACACGTGGAGCACGGATTAAATTTTAGTTAGTGATAATTGACCTTTGTCGTCCGCATTTTTACAGTTTAAATGTTTTTTTTTGAATGTTTAAATTACTTTTAGTGATATTAATTGTTGTTTTTTCATCCAATAGATATTAGTTAACACTTGGTTATGCAACCAGTATTCCACTTGTACCGTTATTATTAGAATTACGTAACCGTGATATGTTTATTGGTGTTACATGATGTAGATATTGTTTTGTTGAGTCAACAAAACTAAAAATAGACATGCTTGTTTGACCACTGATATTGGAGTATTAGATAACCAGTTTAGTTTTGTGTTTGAAACCTTAATTAGTATTGTACAAAGAATGGCTCAACCTGAAGTTACAATCCAACAAGGAACCCTACGCGGTTCTACAGCCACTGATTTCCGTGGCAACCCCTTCCTGAAATTCCAGGGAATTCCATATGCCAAACCTCCACTGGGCAACCTTAGATTCAAGGTAAAATTTACTATTAAATCCACTTCATCTAAAAATTTACAAAAATTAGGCACCCGTTCCTCCCGAAAAATGGACCGGTGTTTTCGATGCCACCAAAGAAGGCAGCATCTGCTACCACCGAGACGTTATCAAAAAGGACGTCCTTGAAGGAACTGAAAACTGCCTGGTCCTCAACGTCTACACGAAAAGAGTACGTAGACAATTTTCCTGGTCTGCCAAAAATCGAAAAATTTTAGCTCCCCAAAGACCACAAAGATCTGCGTCCGGTCATGTTCTGGATCCACGGCGGAGCGTTCGTTTGGGGGCACGGCGGCGAAGACCTCTACGGTCCCGATTACCTGATTACCGAAGACGTGGTTGTGGTTACTATCAATTATCGTCTTGGTCTTTTCGGGTTTATCAGTTTTGACGATCCTTCGTTAGAAATACCAGGGAACGCCGGTTTGAAAGACCAAGTCATGGCTTTACGATGGGTCCAGAAGAATATTGACAAGTTTGGTGGGGATCCTAATAACGTTACTATCTTTGGTGAGAGCGCTGGTGGTGCATCAGTCCATTTGATGGTACTGTCGCCTCTAGCGAAGGGGCTTTTCCATAAAGCGATAGCCCAGAGTGGGTGTGCTTTAAATACATGGGTTCAAGCTAGCAAAGGGGTGAAACGTGTGGCTGAAGTAATGGGTCTTGAAGGTACAGACGACAAAACCGTTTTTGACGCTCTAAACAAGAAAACAACCGAAGAAGTTTTAGAAATACAAGAGAAAATGGACGACGTATGTACGTTCTTGATCAATTCAACAGCGCGTTTTTTTCTTTGTATTTCAGGTTTTTCAACCTTACAAACCTAGGTACGTCGGTTTGGTCATTGAAACAAACTCGAAAGAACCGTTCATGGTTGAAGAACCCATTGATATTATGGTGTCTGGGAAGTACAACCCGGTACCATTTATGATTGGGTACACTTCTTTGGAGGGCGCGGCTCTTGACCTGTTGAAAAAACCAAACGATCCTGAGGCCCCAGATTTCGAAAAACTTATTCCATGGTCATTTGGTTATGAAGTGGGTTCTCCTGAATCTAAAGCTGTGGCTGCCAAGTTGAAGAAATTTTACTTTGGCGACGAAGAATATTCCCGGAGGCTTCTAACAAACAAATACGACGTTAGTATCACACACGAATTTACATCTTTTTCCAGAATCGTCCTTTGAAACATTCAAAAATATGCAAAATACCCCAATTTTCGACCAATTTTCAAGAAAATTTTCGAAATATCAATTAACACTTTTTCTTGTAGATTTCGGACGGCAGAAGTCAGATCCGCTTTCATTTCTTCGATAACTCCATTGGTTTTTCCAGAATCGTCCTTTGAAAGATTCAAAAATATTCAAAATACCCCAATTTTCGACCAATTTTCAACAAAATTTTCGAAAATTCACTTAATACTTTTTCTTGTAAACTTCGGGCAGCAGAAGTCGGATCCGTTTTCAATTGCTCGATAACTCCATTGGTTTTTCCAGAACCGTCCTTTGAAACATTCAAAAATATGCAAAATACCCCAATTTTCGACCAATTTTCAAGAAAATTTTCGAAATATCAATTAACACTTTTTCTTGTAGATTTCGGACGGCAGAAGTCAGATCCGCTTTCATTTCTTCGATAACTCCACTGGTTTTTCCAGAATCGTCCTTTGAAACATTCAAAAAAATGCAAAATATCCCATTTATCGACCAATTTTCAACAAAATTTTCGAAATTTTACTGAATACTTTTTCCTGTAGATGTCGGGCCGCAGAAGTCATATCCGCTTTCATTTCTTCGATAACTCCATTGGTTTTTCCAGAATCGTTCTTTGAAACATTCAAAAATATGCAAAATACCCCAATTTTCGAACAATTTTCAACAAAATTTTCGAAATTCCACAAAATGCATTTTCTTGTAGATTTCTGGCTGCAGAAGTCATATCCGCGTTCATTTCTTCGGATAACTCCAATGGTTTTTCCAGACTCGTCCTTTGAAACATTCAAAAATATGCAAAATACCCCAATTTTCGACCAATTTTCAACAAAATCTCCGAAAATTCACTATATACATTTTCTTGGAGATTTCGGACCGTAGAAGTCACTCCCGCTTTCGTTTCGTGGATAACTCCACTGGTTTTTCCAGAATCGTCCTTTGAAACATTCAAAAATATGCGAAATACCCCAATTTTCGACCAATTTTGAACAAAAGTTTCGAAATTTCGCTTAATACTTTTTTTTCTAAATTTCGGGCCACACAAGTCATATCCGCTTTCATTTCTTCGATAACTTCACTGGTTTTTCCAGAATCGTCCTTTGAAACATTCAAAAATATGCAAAATACCCCAATTTATGACCAATTTTCAACAAAATTTTCGAAAATGCACTTGATACTTTTTCTTGTAGATTTAGGGCCGCAGAAGTCATATCCGCTTACATTTCTTCGATAACTCCACTGGTTTTTCCAGAATCGTCCTTTGAAACATTCAAAAATATGCAAATACCCCAATTTTCGACCAATTTTCAACAAAATTTTCGAAATTTCACTTACTACATTTTCTTGTAGATTTCGGGCCGCAGAAGTCATATCCGCTTTCATTTCTTCGATAACTCCATTGGTTTTTCCAGAATCGTCTTTTGAAACATTCAAAAATATGCAAAATACCCCAATTTTCGACCAATTTTCAACAAAATTTTCGAAATTTCACTTAATACTTTTTCTTGTAGATTTCGGGCAGCAGAAGTCATATCCGCTTCCATTTCTTCGGTATCTCCATCGGTTTTTCCAGAATCGTCCTTTGAAACATTCAAAATTATGCAAAATACCCCAATTTTCGACGAATTTTCGACAAAATTTCCGAAAATTCACTTAATACTTTTTGTTGTAGATTTCGGGCCACAGAAATCATATCCGCTTTCATTTCTTCGATAACTCCACTGGTTTTTCCAGAATCGTCCTTAGAAACATTCAAAAATATTCAAAATACCCCAATTTTCGACCAATTTTCAACAAAATTTTCGAAATTTCACTTCACACATTTTCTTGTAGATTTCGAGCCGCAGAAGTCATCTCCGCTTTCATTTCTTCGATAACTCCATTGGTTTTTCCAGAATCGTCGTTTGAAACATTCAAAAATATGCAAAATACCCCAATTTTCGACCAATTTTCAACAAAATTTTCGAAATTTCGCTTAATACTTTTTCTTGTGGATTTCGGGCCGCAGAAGTCATATCTGCTTTCATTTCTTCGATAACTCCACTGGTTTTTCCAGAATCGTCCTTTGAAACATTCAAAAATATGCAAAATACCCCAATTTTCGACCAATTTTCAACAAAATTTTCGAAATTTCACAAAATGCATTTTCCTGTAGATTTCGGGCCGCAGAAGTCAGATCCGCATTCATTTCTTCGATAACTCCACTGGTTTTTCAAGAATCGTCCTTTGAAACATTCAAAAATATGCGAAATACCCCAATTTTCGACCAATTTTCGACAAAATTTCCGAAAATTCACTTAATACTTTTTCTTGTAGTTTTGGGGCCGCAGAAGTCATCTCCGTTTTCATTTCTTCGATAACTCCATTGGTTTTTCCAGAATCGTGCTTTGAAACAGTCAAAAATATGCAAAATAACCCAATTTTCGACCAATTTTCAACAAAATTTCCGAAAATTTACCTAATACTTTTTCTTGTAGATTTCGGGCCGCACAAGTCATATCCGCTTTCATTTCTTCGATAACTCCATTGGTTTTTCCAGAATCGTGCTTTGAAACAGTCAAAAATATTTCAACAAAATTTTCGCATTTAACATTTAAAATCAATCTTCTTTTATAGGTTTTCTCTGATGTTTACGTTATTTACGACATTTACGTTACAATAATGACTCAGTTTGCCATTTCAAAACGACCCACTTACCTCTACAGGATGGTCGTCGAGACTAATCTAAACTTTTTTAAAATACTTCTAAACATTCAAGTGCCTGGTGAGTTGACTGTTTACGAAAACCTTGTTTTGACGTGTTTTTTCAGGCGTTTGTCATTGTGATGATGTTGGATACCTATTCAAGCATTTTGCCACTCCGGAAATAGTAGCTGGTAGTGTTGAAGACGTCGGTCTTACTCGGTTCGTCAAACTATGGACTAATTTTGCCAAATTTGGAAATCCGACTCCTGATAAGAATGACGATTTGTTGAAAGTAGAATGGAAACCTGTAATTGATGCCAATGTGGATTTTCTTGATATTGGGAAAGAATTAGAAGCTAAAGCAAATCCCGTGAATGAAAGACTGCTGCTCTGGAAACAGCTGTTTGAAGAAAGTCCAGCTGGAAAGAAATAGTATGCAGCTATTTGAAGATTTCCAAATTGATGTTCTTACACCGTATTGATTTAATTGTTTTGAACTTTAACGAATAAAGATTTGTAGTAATTTTCACTTCACTTTTATTAAATTCTGATTAGAAGTAATTAACTACCTCATGCAGGGCAACCCTGACAGTGAACCTTAGTGAGATCATTTACGTCATAGCGCTACAATCCGGTCATTATTTATTGAAAGTAACAAGTTTGGCAAGTCTCAGGTCATCGATCCACAACACTAAATTACTACGAGTGTCTGGTAACCTTCACCCATGGCAAGGGGTATGGTAATTTCGGTCTGGGACAACTGCAGTGTGTGTTGTTTAATACAAATGGGCCATCGCTGGGTCGTTCCTGAAGGTCACTGTTTTACCCATGGTGATGGCGTGACCAGTTTAGTATTGTGTGTCAAACCATACTTAGTGTTCCACAATGATTAGCAAAGGGGTGTTTGTCATTGTAATGATGTTGGATACCTTTTCAAGCATTCTGCCACTCCAGAAATAGTACCAGGTAGTGTTGAAGACGTCTGTCTTACTCGCTTTGTCAAGTTGTGGACCAATTTTGCTAAATTTGGAAATCCGACTCCAGATAAGAATGACGATTTGCTGAAAGTCGTGTGGAAACCTGTAACGGATGCCAATGTGGATTTTCTTGAAATTGGGAAAGAATTGGAAGCCAAGTCGAATCCAGTGACTGAAAGACTGCTGCTCTGGAAACAGGTGTTTGCTGAAAGTTCAGCTGGAAAGAAACAGACTGATGCTATTTGAAGGGCTCAAAATAAATGTCTTTACAACACATACATTGATTGGATTTTAAACAATAAATATTATCCCGGCGAATCCGCCAAATACATAGGTATATTTATCAAAATAAAAAAAAAAATCAAGAGAATCATGTTGGTACCAAAATTCTGAAAATACCCCAGAAGTGACATTTCGAATTGCTTAAATTGGTTGATTTTTAGTACTAAAGCAATTAATATGAATTTTTCCACCTCAAACATTAACGGAAAACTGAAACATTAATATTTTATTATCAGACGACACACTCTCCATTGTAGGTTATGCAACACAATATACACGATTGATAGAAGTTCAATTGAGATTATTATACATAGAATGATATTTTTGCTCCACTTTTGACCCCCATTTACTTCATTAACTACATGTATGATGTTCGGAGAAGTAGAAAACATGAGGTCAACTTATTAATGCGTTCAATTAAAAAGGATGAATCGATTATAAGTAATTATTTGCTAAATAAATAAGAAAAACCTGTATATCGTACTAATAAGTAAACACGAAGCGACTTATAATTAAAAATATCTATCTTTGAGCATCGATATCAGAATACTAGGTAAACATAGTTTTGCGTGTCAAACAGTACAAAGAATGACTCAACTTGAAGTTACAATCCCTCAAGGAACGTTGCGTGGTTCTACAGCCACGGATCTCCATGGCAACCCCTTCCTGAAATTTCAGGGAATTCCATACGCCAAACCTCCACTAGGCGACCTTAGGTTCAAGGTAAAATTTACTAATAACTCCACTTCACCTAAAAATTTACAAATTAGGCACCCGTTCCTCCCGAAAAATGGTCCGGCGTTTTCGATGCCACCAAAGAGGGCGGTATTTGCTACCAATCAAATCTTTTCAAAAAAGGAGTCCTTGTAGGAACTGAAAATTGCTTAGTTCTGAACGTCTACACCAAAAGAGTACGTAGACAATTTTCCCCGTCTATCAAAAAATGAAAAAATTTTAGCTCCCCAGAGACGACAAAAATCTGCGTCCGGTCATGTTCTGGATCCACGCTGGAGCGTTCCTTTGGGGGCACGGCGGCGAAGAATTCTACGGACCGGATTACCTTATTACCGAAGACGTGGTTGTGGTTACCATCAACTATCGTCTAGGTCTTTTCGGGTTTATCAGTTTTGACGATGCTTCTTTAGATATACCAGGGAACGCCGGTTTGAAAGACCAAGTCATGGCTTTAAGATGGGTCCAGGAGAATATCGACAAGTTTGGTGTAGATCCTAATAATGTAACTATTTTTGGTCAGAGCGTTGGTAGTGCTTCAGTCCATTTGATGGTACTGTCACCTTTAGCAAAGGGGCTTTTCCATAAAGCTATAGCGCAGAGTGGGTGTGCTACATGTCCATGGGTTCGAGCGAGCAAAGGGGCGAAACGTGTGGCTGAAGTAATGGGTCTTGAAGGGACAGACGATAAAACTGTTTATGACACTCTAGTAAAGAAATCAACCGAAGAGGTTCTAGAAATTCAAAATAAAATGGACGAGGTATTTATGTCCTAGACTGGTTCAGCAGCAGTAGTTTTTTTGATATTACAGGAAATCATACCTTACAAACCGAGGTATGTAGGTTTCGTCATAGAAACAAACTCGAAAGAACCGTTCCTGGTAGAAGAACCCGTTAAAATTATGATGTCTGGCAAATTCAACCAGGTACCATTTATAATAGGGCACACTACTTTAGAGGGCGCTATTCTTGACATGTTGAAAATACAAACTCAAGCTGAGGCCCCAGATTTCGAAAAACTTATTCCATGGTCGTTTGGTTATGAAGTGGGTTCTCCTGAATCCAAAGCTGTGGCTACTAAGATAAAAAAATTTTACTTTGGCGACGAAGAATATTCCCGGAAGCTTCTAAGAAACAAATATGAGGTTAGTATCTCACACCAATTTGCTCGAAAATTAATCTTCTTTACAGGTTTTGTCTGATATTTACGGCATTTATGACGTTTATGTTACAACAATCATTCAATCCGCCATTTCTAAAGCACCTACTTACATCTACAGGATGTCCGTCGAGACCAAGCTAAATTTCTTAAAAACGCATCTGAAGATTCAAATTCCAGGTGCGTTGATGTATCTCCAGAAAACATATTTTGATGTATTTTTTAGGTGTTTGTCATTGTGATGATCTTGGATACCTTTTTAAGCATTTTGCCACTCCGGAAATAGTGCCTGGTAGTGTTGAAGACGTCTGTCTTAATCGCTTTGTCAAGTTGTGGACCAATTTTGCCAAATTTGGAAATCCGACTCCTGATACAAATGACGATTTGCTGAACGTGGTGTGGAAACCTGTAACGGATGCCAGTGCGGATTTTCTTGAAATTGGGAAAGAATTAGAAGCCAAGTCAAATCCGGTGACTGAAAGATTGCTGCTCTGGAAACGCGTGTTTGATGAGAGTCCAACTGGCAAGAAACGGAATGTTGCTAAGATGAAGGGCTCCAAATATTAGAGTATTTTATTATTTTCCGATTATAAGTAATTATTTTCGTAGCCTCTCTTTGTTGATGGTGTAATAAATTTCATAATAAAGTTACTAACGACCTTACACATAACTAGATAAATTATGTAATTTTTTTTGTCTGTTTGAATCAATGACCCTAGTGAGCTAGTTTACGTAGCAGCGCTATATTCCGGTCCTTCTTCATTACAAAAAACAAGTTTGGCAGCTCTCGCGTTGTCTAGCAGTACCTGGCAGTACGGTACTTTTGGTCACTCTGGGACAACTTCGGCGTGTGTTGCTGAAAATGGTCGATCACTATGTAGTTTCTGCACGCTTGGCCGCCACAATTTTACCCCTGGTGATTTTTCTGAACGCAGTTCATAGTCGTAAGTAACCAGCTTACTCTTGAGTGTCAAACTATACTCAGTGTTGTACAGTGGCTCACCCTGAAGTTACAATCCATCAAGGGACGTTGCGTGGTTCTACAGGTACTGATCTCCGTGGCAACCCCTTCCTAAAATTTCAAGGAATTCCGTACGCCAAACCTCCAGTGGGCGACCTGAGGTTCAAGGTAAAACTTTCTGCTAAACTTGCTTCACTTAAAAATTTAAAAATAGGCACCCGTTGCACCCGAAAAATGGACCGGGGTTTTCGATGCCACCAAAGAAGGGAGTATTTGCCACCAACGAGACGTTTTCAAAAAGGGCGACTATGGTGGAAGTGAAAACTGCTTGTTTTTGAACGTCTACACGAAAAAGGTAGTGGGTTGAGTTTTTTTTTCGACTATTCAAAACTGAAACAATTTTAGCTTCCCGAAGACGAAAAAGATTTGCGGCCCGTCATGTTCTGGATCCATGGTGGAGTGTTCATTTTGCAGCACGGTGGTGAAGAACTGCACGGTCCCGATTTCCTGATTACCGAAGACGTGGTTGTGGTTACCATCAATTATCGTCTGGGTCTTTTAGGATTTATCAGTTTTGACGATGCTTCTTTAGATATACCAGGGAATGCGGGTTTTAAGGACCAAGTCATGGCTTTAAAATGGGTCCAGAAGAATATCGACAAGTTTGGTGGGGATCCTAACGATGTTACGATCTTCGGGCAGAGCGCTGGTGCGGTTTCAGTCCATCTGATGGTACTGTCGCCTCTAGCGAAAGGACTTTTCCACAAAGCTATAGCCCAGAGTGGAAGTGCTATAAATCCATGGGTTCAAGCTCGCAAAGGGGTGAAACGCGTGGCAGAAGTAATGGGTCTTGAAGGGGCAGACGACAAGACCGTCTTTGACGCTCTAACGAAAAAATCAAAAGAAGAGATTTTAGGACTTCAAGAAAAAATGGACGATGTATTTATGTTCTTGATTAATTCAGCAGCATGTTTTTGTTGATATTTCAGGATTTAGAACCCTATACACCGCGATACATAGGTTTAGTCATTGAAACAAACTCGAAAGAACCGTTCATGACTGAAGAACCCATTAATATTATGAAGTCTGGAAACTTCAGCCAGGTACCGTTTTTGACTGGGTACACTTCTCTAGAGAGCGCTATTCTCCACCTATTGAGCAAATCTGAGGTCCCAGATTTCGAGAAACTTATTCCATGGTCCTTTGGCTATGAATTTGGTTCTCCTGAATCTAAAGCCGTTGCTGCAAAATTGAAGAAATTTTACTTTGGTGACGAAGAATACTCCCAGAAACTTTTAAAACAAAAATACGACGTTAGTATCACACACGAATTTACTCGAAAATCGAACTTCTTTTGTAGGCTTTGTCTGATATTTACTTCCTTTATGGAATTTATGATACAATAATGACTCAATCCGCTGTTTCCAAAGCTCCCATTTATCTGTACTGGATGACTCTCGAAACCAAGCTGAACTTGTTTAAAATGCTTCTAGGCGTTAGGATACCAGGTGCATTGATTGTATAAATTCAAGAACCATGTTTTGAGTTGATTTTCAGGTGTTTGTCATTGTGATGATGTTTTTTACCTTTTCAAGAATTTTGCCACTCCGAAAATAGTACCTGGTAGTGTTGAAGACATCGGTCTAACTAGGTTTGTCAGGTTGTGGACCAATTTTGCCAAATTTGGAAATCCGACTCCTGATAAGAATGACGATTTGCTGAAAGTGCTGTGGAAACCCATAACGGATCGTAAGATGGATTGTCTTGAAATTGGGAAAGAATTACAAGCCAGGTCAAAACCGGTGACTGAAAGTCTGCTGCTCTGGAAACAAGTGTTTGCTGAAAGTCCAGCTGGAAAGAAACAGAATGATGCTGTTTGAAGGGATCCAAATAAATGTCTTTACAACATATACATGACTGAAAAATACCTCAGATTGTTTTTTTTCAGTACTAACCTACCCATCTTTTAATACTCAGCAATGTAGGTTATGCAACACAATAGGTATGGACTATTGGAATGAGTCCAATAATAATTGAGCATATTATATGTATAATTATAATTAAGATATAATTCCTTATACTATACGAGCTATTAAGCATAATTTAAAAGATAGGTATGCATTAAAACAAGTGATTGTACTCTGGAATTTACGCAGTTGTTTGCTTTCTTGAATTATAAAGTTTTTTTGTTATAATCATCTACCCAGTTTAAGGTCGATACTCAATCAAACAAATAAAGGTAGATTAAAAATAACCTTCTGTTGTTTAGTTAGCAAACAGACATTTCATTACTTTCAGACTACAATTTTCGAAATAATATCCCTTTATTTGAAAAAAGTTCACAAGGACTAGCAATAGAGCAATGACCAAAAGTTTATAAAAATAAAACAATATTAATGTTGTGCAATGATGTGATGCTTTTATTTATATTACCACACATCTTACATAACGTGTAACGTTTCAATTTTGTTGAAGAGATAAACGTTCCAATTGTTTTGTTTCATCCCTTCTTAAAAAAAAAGGGGTTGTTTTATTGGGGATGCAATATTTTACGTGCCGACATCTAAGACATCATGGTTGCCTATGGGGAGTGTCAAACGACGTCGTGGCACTGCTAATGCGCTGGTACTCCCACCCCGCGAAAAAGAATATTCGAGAGAGTATCGACCTGATAGGGGAAGAGAGAGGTTCTCGTGAGGCGTTTTGGCGAAGATCCTGGAAGAAGGAAGTGCTAGAACGTAGCCGAAGAGGAGAAAAGAAGTTTTCGAGAAGGTTTTGGCGAAGATCCTGGAAGAAGGAAGTGCTAAGACGTAGCCGAAGAGGAGGAAAGAAGTTTTCAAGACGATTTTGGTGGAGTTTCTGAAGGAAGGAAGTGGAAGGACGAAGAGGAAGTACTCAAGATAGAGATTTTTATCGTTTTGTTCGAAGCAAGAGGTTTATTTGAGCCGTTTTCGTATCGTCCACCACAGAAAAGAGGAATTTTATCGTTCGTTTTTTTATCACCGCACCCAAGTGAAGAGTTCCTGGAAGAACCAAGCTTATCGTGATGCCGTTGCAGTGAGTAGCTTATTGTCGTCCCTGTTGTTCCCTTGAAGAGACCATATCGAGCCGACGACTTTGATTTTCGCTGTTGTTCCTGCGGAGCCGCCGCTAACCTTGAAGTTTTTCTTCGGATCCAGAGGTCTGTGACGCCGCTGTTTCTTTATCAATCCCAATCCAGACGAAGAGGAGCTGCTGATAACTACGGTTACGAGCTAAGTCCACTCTAACGCCTTATAGTTCTAATTTTCCATTTAGTCGCCCGGTCACAGCTATCTTTATCGAAATTCTTGGAAGTTTTTTTTTGTTTTTTAATTTATCATATCGCAAAATAGTTTTGAACGAGGACACATGAATACATTTCATTTTCTAATATATTACGTTAATATATTTCAGTGATAGTCCCTTCTGGACGTTAATGGTATTTTTTTTTGTGAAATATTAGAAGAATTTCATTTAATCAACACTTGTCAATTTTATTATCCGTTGAATATATTTTTAGTTTTTTTTTCCTGTGTTTTCTTGTGGCTTGATTCTTCTCGACTGTTTACTCGACGTAGCGGAGTAAACTACCCCAACAGGAAGCTACGTGGCGCCCAATACAAAAAAAAATAATAAGAACTCTCCGAACCGCGACCCGCCCCGGCTAAAGAGCTGCCGTTCGCTGTAAAACCCTCCGAAAGAGGGTTATAAACGTAACAGAAATAAAATAACTGTTTCGATAATTGTTGTATGAGTAATATTCGCTGGTTGATGAACCCGTCAAAAACCAGAAATTAATAACACACAATGGGCTCAAATATACAAAAAGACCAAGTTCAAACCGTGAAAATACATATAAACCAATAACAATGAGGCTACTCAATGACGTCATCATGTCCCATGAACTTTGTGACGTCAAGGATAGTACAACACTATTCACTTATAATGTACAACTGATATATTGTTTACTTCCAATTATAAGTATTTTTTTCCAAATTAATGACAAAATCACGTTTTGTACATCGCACTAAGTAAACACTAGTGTGATTTAAAAATAAAAATAGCAGTATTTGTTTGACCATTGACTACTAGGTAACCAGTTTAGTTTTGCGTGTCAAACCATACTTGCTATTGTATAAAGAATGGCTCAACCTGAAGTTACAATCCAACAAGGAACCCTGCGTGGTTCTACAGCCACTGATCTCCGTGGCAACACCTTCCTTAAATTCCAGGGAATTCCATATGCCAAACCACCACTGGGCGATCTTAGATTCAAGGTAAAATTTTCTACCAACGCCGCTAGACTTAAAAATTTACAAAAAATCAGGCCCCTGTTCCTCCCGAAAAATGGACCGGGGTTTTCGACGCCACCAAAGAAGGCAGCATCTGCTACCACGTTATCAAACAAGGCATCCTCGTGGGTACCGAAAACTGCTTAGTTCTGAACGTCTACACGAAAAAAGTAGGACGTAGAAAATAGTCCTGGGTTGTCAAAAATCGAAAAATTTTAGCTCCCCAAAGACCAGAAAGATCTGCGTCCGGTCATGTTCTGGATCCACGGTGGGGCGTTCGTTTGGGGGCACGGCGGCGAAGACCTCTACGGTCCCGATTACCTGATCACCGAAGACGTGGTTGTGGTTACCATCAATTATCGTCTTGGTCTTTTCGGGTTTGTCAGTTTTGACGATCCGTCTTTGGAAATACCAGGGAACGCCGGTTTGAAAGACCAAGTCATGGCTTTAAGATGGGTCCAGGAGAATATCGACATGTTTGGTGGGGATCCCAATAATGTAACTATTTTTGGTCAGAGCGTTGGTAGTGCTTCAGTCCATTTGATGGTACTGTCACCTTTAGCGAAGGGGCTTTTCCATAAAGCTATAGCGCAAAGTGGGTGTGCTACATGTCCATGGGTTCGAGCGAGCAAAGGGGCGAAACGTGTGGCTGAAATAATGGGTCTTGAAGGGACAGACGATAAAACTGTTTATGACAATCTAGTAAAGAAATCAACCGAAGAGGTTCTAGAAATTCAAAATAAAATGGACGAGGTATGTATGTCCTAGATTGGTTCAGCAGCAGTAGTTTTTTTGATATTACAGGAAATCATACCTTACAAACCGAGGTATGTAGGTTTCGTCATAGAAACAAACTCGAAAGAACCGTTCCTGGTAGAAGAACCCGTTAAAATTATGATGTCTGGCAAATTCAACCAGGTACCATTTATAATAGGGCACACTACTTTAGAGGGCGCTATTCTTGACATGTTGAAAATACAAACTCAAGCTGAAGCCCCAGATTTCGAAAAACTCATTCCATGGTCGTTTGGTTATGAAGTGGGTTCTCCTGAATCCAAAACTGTGGCTACCAAGATGAAAAAATTTTACTTTGGCGACGAAGAATATTCCCGGAAGCTTCTAAGAAACAAATACGAGGTTAGAATTTCACACCAATTTGCTCGAAAATTAATCTTCTTTACAGGTTTTGTCTGATATTTACTGCATTTATGACGTTTATATTACAACAATCATTCAATCCGCCGTTTCTAAAGCACCTACTTACTTCTACAGGATGTCAGTCGAGACCAAGCTAAATTTCTTAAAAACGCATCTGAAGATTCAAATTCCAGGTGCGTTGATGTATCTTCAGAAAACATATTTTGATGTATTTTTCAGGTGTTTGTCATTGCGATGATCTTGGATACCTTTTCAAGCATTTTGCCACTCCGGAAATAGTGCCTGGTAGTGTTGAAGAGGTCTGTCTTACTCGCTTTGTCAAGTTGTGGACCAATTTTGCCAAATTTGGAAATCCGACTCCTGATACAAATGACGATTTGCTGAAAGTGGTGTGGAAACCTGTAACGGATGCCAGTGTGGATTTTCTTGAAATTGGGAAAGAATTAGAAGCCAAGTCAAATCCGGTGACTGAAAGATTGCTGCTGTGGAAACGCGTGTTTGATGAGAGTCCAACTGGCAAGAAACGGAATGTTGCTAAGATGAAGGGCTCCAAATACTAGAGTATTTTATTATTTTCCGATTATAAGTAATTATTTTCGTAGCCTCTCTTTGTTGATGGTGTAATAAATTTCATAATAAAGTTACTACCGACCTTACACATAACTAGATAAATTATGTAAATTTTTTGTCTGTTTGAATCAATGACCCTAGTGAGCTAGTTTACGTAGCAGCGCTATATTCCGGTCCTTCTTCATTACGAAAAACAAGTTTGGCAGCTTTCGCATTGTTTAGCAGAACGGTACTTTTGGCCACTCTGGGACAACTTCGGCGTGTGTTGCTGAAAATGGTCGATCACTATGTGGTTTCTGCACGCTTGGCCGCCACAATTTTACCCCTAGTGATTTTTCTGAACGCAGTTCATAGTCGTAAGTAACCAGCTTACTCTCGAGTGTCAAACTATACTCAGTGTTGTACAGTGGCTCACCCTGAAGTTACAATCCATCAAGGGACGTTGCGTGGTTCTACAGGTACCGATCTCCGTGGCAACCCCTTTCTAAAATTTCAAGGAATTCCGTACGCCAAACCTCCAGTGGGCGATCTGAGGTTCAAGGTAAAACTTTCAGCTAAACTTGCTTCACTTAAAAATTTACAAAATAGGCACCCGTTCCTCCCGAAAAATGGACCGGGGTTTTCGATGCCACCAAAGAAGGGAGTATTTGCCACCAACGAGACATTTTCAAAAAGGGCGACTATGGTGGAAGTGAAAACTGCTTGTTTTTGAACGTCTACACGAAAAAGGTAATGGCTTGAGATTTTTCGACTATCCAAAACTGAAACAATTTTAGCTTCCCGAAGACGAAAAAGATTTGCGTCCCGTCATGTTCTGGATCCATGGTGGAGTGTTCATTTTGCAGCACGGCGGCGAAGAACTCCACGGTCCCGACTTCCTGATTACCGAAGACGTGGTGGTGGTTACCATCAATTATCGTCTGGGTCTTTTAGGGTTTATCAGTTTTGACGATCCTTCTTTAGATATACCAGGAAACGCGGGTTTGAAGGACCAAGTCATTGCTTTAAAATGGGTCCAGAAGAATATTGACAAGTTTGGTGGGGATCCTAATGATGTTACGATCTTCGGTCAGAGCGCTGGTGCGGTTTCAGTCCATTTGTTGGTACTGTCGCCTCTAGCAAAGGGTCTTTTCCATAAAGCTATAGCCCAGAGTGGAAGTGCTATAAATCCATGGGTTCAAGCTCGCAAAGGGGTGAAACGCGTGGCAGAAGTAATGGGTCTTGAAGGGGCAGACGACAAGACCGTCTTTGACGCTCTAACGAACAAATCAAAAGAAGAGATTTTAGAAATTCAAGAAAAAATGGACGACGTATTTATGTTCTTATTAACTCAGCAGCAATTCTTTTTTTGATATTACAGGATATAATACCCTATAAACCCAGACAGGTGGGTTTAGTCATTGAAACAAACTCGAAAGAATCGTTTATGTTTGAACAACCTATTACTATTATGATGTCTGGGAACTTCAGCCACGTACCCTTTTTGACTGGGTACACTTCTCTAGAGGGCGCTACTCTCGACCTGGTGGTCAAATCTGAGGTCCTAGATTTCGAGAAACTTATTCCATGGTCCCTTGGTTATAAAATAGGTTCTCCTGAATCTAAAGCCGTTGCTGCAAAATTGAAGAAATTTTACTTTGGTGACGAAGAATACTCCCGGAATTTTTTAAAACAAAAATACGACGTTAGTATCACACACGAATTTACTCGAAAATCGATCTTCTTTTGTAGGCTTTGTCTGATATTTACTTCCTTTATGGTATTTATGATACAATAATGACTCAATCCGCTGTTTCCAAAGCTCCCATTTATCTGTACTGGATGACTCTCGAAACCAAGCTGAACTTGTTTAAAATGCTTCTAGGCGTTAGGATACCAGGTGCGTTGATTGTATAAATTCAAGAACCATGTTTTGAGTTGATTTTCAGGTGTTTGTCATTGTGATGATGTTTTTTACCTTTTCAAGAATTTTGGCACTCCGAAAATAGTACCTGGTAGTGTTGAAGACATCGGTGTTACTAGGTTTGTCAGGTTGTGGACCAATTTTGCCAAATTTGGAAATCCGACTCCTGATAAGAATGACGATTTGCTGAAAGTGGTGTGGAAACCCATCACGGATCGTAATATGGGTTGTCTTGAAATTGGGAAAGAATTACAAGCCAGGTCAAAACCGGTGACAGAAAGTCTGCTGCTCTGGAAACAGGTGTTTGCTGAAAGTCCAGCTGGAAAGAAACAGAATGATGCTGTTTGAAGGGATCCAAATAAATGTCTTTACAACACATACATGATTGAAAAATACCTCAGATTGTTTTTTTTCAGTACTAACCTACCCATCTTTAAATACTCAGCAATGTAGGTTATGCAACACAATATGCAGTATAGACATAAGTACAATAATAATTGAGGTTATTATATGTATAATTATAATTAAGATATAATTCCTTATACTATACGAGCTATTAAGCATAATTTAAAAGATAGGTATGCATTAAAACAAGTGATTGTACTCTGGAATTTACGCAGTTGTTTGCTTTCTTGAATTATAAAGTTTTTTTGTTATAATCATCTACCCAGTTTAAGGCCGATACTCAATCAAACAAATAAAGGTAGATTAAAAATAACCTTCTGTTGTTTAGTTAGCAAACAGACATTTCATTACTTTCAGACTACAATTTTCGAAATAATATCCCTTTATTTGAAAAAAGTTCACAAGGACTAGCAATAGAGCAATGACCAAAAGTTTATAAAAATAAAACAATATTAATATTGTGCAATGATGTGATGCTTTTATTTATATTACCACACATCTTACATAACGTAGCAGAAATAAAATAACTGTTTCGATAATTGTTGTATGAGTAATATTCGCTGGTTGATGAACCCGTCAAAAACCAGAAATTAATAACACACAATGGGCTCAAATATACAAAAAGACCAAGTTCAAACCGTGAAAATACATATAAACCAATAACAATGAGGCTACTCAATGACGTCATCATGTCCCATGAACTTTGTGACGTCAAGGATAGTACAACACTATTCACTTATAATGTACAACTGATATATTGTTTACTTCCAATTATAAGTATTTTTTTCCAAATTAATGACAAAATCACGTTTTGTACATCGCACTAAGTAAACACTAGTGTGATTTAAAAATAAAAATAGCAGTATTTGTTTGACCATTGACTACTAGGTAACCAGTTTAGTTTTGCGTGTCAAACAATACTTGCTATTGTATAAAGAATGGCTCAACCTGAAGTTACAATCCAACAAGGAACCCTGCGTGGTTCTACAGCCACTGATCTCCGTGGCAACACCTTCCTTAAATTCCAAGGAATTCCATATGCCAAACCACCACTGGGCGATCTTAGATTCAAGGTAAAATTTTCTACCAACGCCGCTAGACTTAAAAATTTACAAAAAATCAGGCCCCTGTTCCTCCCGAAAAATGGACCGGGGTTTTCGACGCCACCAAAGAAGGCAGCATCTGCTACCACGTTATCAAACAAGGCATCCTCGTGGGTACCGAAAACTGCTTAGTTCTGAACGTCTACACGAAAAAAGTACGTAGAAAATAGTCCTGGGTTGTCAAAAATCGAAAAATTTTAGCTCCCCAAAGACCAGAAAGATCTGCGTCCGGTCATGTTCTGGATCCACGGTGGGGCGTTCGTTTGGGGGCACGGCGGCGAAGACCTCTACAGTCCCGATTACCTGATCACGGAAGACGTGGTTGTGGTTACCATCAATTATCGTCTTGGTCTTTTCGGGTTTGTCAGTTTTGACGATCCGTCTTTGGAAATACCAGGGAACGCCGGTTTGAAAGACCAAGTCATGGCTTTAAGATGGGTCCAGGAGAATATCGACATGTTTGGTGGGGATCCTAATAATGTAACTATTTTTGGTCAGAGCGTTGGTGGTGCTTCAGTCCATTTGATGGTACTGTCACCTTTAGCGAAGGGGCTTTTCCATAAAGCTATAGCGCAAAGTGGGTGTGCTACATGTCCATGGGTTCGAGCGAGCAAAGGGGCGAAACGTGTGGCTGAAGTAATGGGTCTTGAAGGGACAGACGATAAAACTGTTTATGACAATCTAGTAAAGAAATCAACCGAAGAGGTTCTAGAAATTCAAAATAAAATGGACGAGGTATGTATGTCCTAGATTGGTTCAGCAGCAGTAGTTTTTTTGATATTACAGGAAATCATACCTTACAAACCGAGGTATGTAGGTTTTGTCATAGAAACAAACTCGAAAGAACCGTTCCTGGTAGAAGAACCCGTTAAAATTATGATGTCTGGCAAATTCAACCAGGTACCATTTATAATAGGGCACACTACTTTAGAGGGCGCTATTCTTGACATGTTGAAAATACAAACTCAAGCTGAAGCCCCAGATTTCGAAAAACTCATTCCATGGTCGTTTGGTTATGAAGTGGGTTCTCCTGAATCCAAAACTGTGGCTACCAAGATGAAAAAATTTTACTTTGGCGACGAAGAATATTCCCGGAAGCTTCTAAGAAACAAATACGAGGTTAGAATTTCACACCAATTTGCTCGAAAATTAATCTTCTTTACAGGTTTTGTCTGATATTTACTGCATTTATGACGTTTATATTACAACAATCATTCAATCCGCCGTTTCTAAAGCACCTACTTACTTCTACAGGATGTCAGTCGAGACCAAGCTAAATTTCTTAAAAACGCATCTGAAGATTCAAATTCCAGGTGCGTTGATGTATCTCCAGAAAACATATTTTGATGTATTTTTTAGGTGTTTGTCATTGTGATGATCTTGGATACCTTTTTAAGCATTTTGCCACTCCGGAAATAGTGCCTGGTAGTGTTGAAGACGTCTGTCTTAATCGGTTTGTCAAGTTGTGGACCAATTTTGCCAAATTTGGAAATCCGACTCCTGATACAAATGACGATTCGCTGAAAGTGGTGTGGAAACCTGTAACGGATGCCAGTGTGGATTTTCTTGAAATTGGGAAAGAATTAGAAGCCAAGTCAAATCCGGTGACTGAAAGATTGCTGCTCTGGAAACGCGTGTTTGATGAGAGTCCAACTGGCAAGGAACGGAATGTTGCTAAGATGAAGGGCTCCAAATACTAGAGTATTTTATTATTTTCCGATTATAAGTAATAATTTTCGTAGCCTCTCTTTGTTGATGGTGTAATAAATTTCACAATAAAGTTACTAACGACCTTACACATAACTAGATAAATTATGTACATTTTTTTGTCTGTTTGAATCAATGACCCTAGTGAGCTAGTTTACGTAGCAGCGCTATATTCCGGTCCTTCTTCATTACGAAAAACAAGTTTGGCAGCTCTCGCATTGTCTAGTAGAACGGTACTTTTGGTCACTCTGGGACAACTTCGGCGTGTGTTGCTGAAAATGGTCGATCACTATGTGGTTTCTGCAAGCTTGGCCGCCACAATTTTACCCCTGGTGATTTTTCTGAACGCAGTTCATAGTCGTAAGTAACCAGCTTACTCTCGAGTGTCAAACTATACTCAGTGTTGTACAGTGGCTCACCCTGAAGTTACAATCCATCAAGGGACGTTGCGTGGTTCTACAGGTACTGATCTTCGTGGCAACCCCTTCCTGAAATTTCAAGGAATTCCGTACGCCAAACCTCCACTGGGCGACCTGAGGTTCAAGGTAAAACTTTCAGCTAAACTTGCTTCACTTAAAAATTTACAAAATAGGCACCCGATCCTCCCGAAAAATGGACCGGGGTTTTCGATGCCACCAAAGAAGGCAGCATTTGCCACCAACAAGACGTTTTCGAATTGGGCGACTATAGTGGAAGTGAAAACTGCTTGTTTTTGAACGTCTACACGAAAAAGGTAGTGGGTTGAAATTTTTTCGACTATCCAAAACTGAACAATTTTAGCTTCCCGAAGACGAAAAAGATTTGCGTCCCGTCATGTTCTGGATCCATGGTGGAGTGTTCATTTTGCAGCACGGCGGTGAAGAACTCCACAGTCCCGATTTCCTGATTACCGAAGACGTGGTGGTGGTTACCATCAATTATCGTCTTGGCCTTTTAGGGTTTATCAGTTTTGACGATCCTTCTTTAGACATACCCGGGAACGCGGGTTTTAAGGACCAAGTCATGGCTTTAAAATGGGTCCAGGAGAATATTGACAAGTTTGGTGGAGATCCTAACGATGTTACGATCTTCGGGCAGAGCGCTGGTGCGGTTTCAGTCCATTTGATGGTACTGTCGCCTCTAGCAAAGGGTCTTTTCCATAAAGCTATAGCCCAGAGTGGAAGTGCTATAAATCCATGGGTTCAAGCTCGCAAAGGGGTAAAACGCGTGGCAGAAGTAATGGGTCTTAAAGACGCAGACGACAAAACCGTCTTTGACGCTCTAACGAACAAATCAAAAGAAGAGATTTTAGAAATTCAAGAAAAAATGGACGACGTATTTATGTTCTTATTAACTCAGCAGCAATTCTTTTTTTGATATTACAGGATATAATACCCTATAAACCCAGACAGGTGGGTTTAGTCATTGAAACAAACTCGAAAGAATCGTTTATGTTTGAACAACCTATTACTATTATGATGTCTGGGAACTTCAGCCACGTACCCTTTTTGACTGGGTACACTTCTCTAGAGGGCGCTACTCTCGACCTGGTGGTCAAATCTGAGGTCCTAGATTTCGAGAAACTTATTCCATGGTCCCTTGGTTATAAAATCGGTTCTCCTGAATCTAAAGCCGTTGCTGCAAAATTGAAGAAATTTTACTTTGGTGACGAAGAATACTCCCGGAATTTTTTAAAACAAAAATACGACGTTAGTATCACACACTAATTTATTCGAAAATCGATCTTCTTTTGTAGGCTTTGTCTGATATTTACTTCCTTTATGGTATTTATGATACAATAATGACTCAATCCGCTGTTTCCAAAGCTCCCATTTATCTGTACTGGATGACTCTCGAAACCAAGCTGAACTTGTTTAAAATGCTTCTAGGCGTTAGGATACCAGGTGCGTTGATTGTATAAATTCAAGAACCATGTTTTGAGTTCATTTTCAGGTGTTTGTCATTGTGATGATGTTTTTTACCTTTTCAAGAATTTTGGCACTCCGAAAATAGTACCTGGTAGTGTTGAAGACATCGGTGTAACTAGGTTTGTCAGGTTATGGACCAATTTTGCCAAATTTGGAAATCCGACTCCTGATAAGAATGACGATTTGCTGAAAGTGGTGTGGAAACCCATCACGGATCGTAATATGGATTGTCTTGAAATTGGGAAAGAATTACAAGCCAGGTCAAAACCGGTGACGGAAAGTCTGCTGCTCTGGAAACAAGTGTTTGCTGAAAGTCCAGCTGGAAAGAAACAGAATGATGCTGTTTGAAGGGATCCAAATAAATGTCTTTACAACACATACATGATTGAAAAATACCTCAGATTGTTTTTTTTTCAGTACTAACCTACCCATCTTTAAACACTCTGCAATGTAGGTTATGCAACACAATATGCACTATTGGAATAAGGACAATAATAATTGAGGTTATTATATGTATAATTATAATTAAGATATAATTCCTTATACTATACGAGCTATTAAGCATAATTTAAAAGATAGGTATGCATTAAAAGAAGTGATTGTACTCTGGAATTACGCAGTTGTTTACTTTCTTGAATTATAAAGTTGTTTTGTTATAATTACCTACCCAGTTTAAGGTCGGTACTCAAACAAACAAATAAAGATAGATTAAAAATAACCTTCTGTTGTTTAGTTAGCAAACAGACATTTCATTACTTTCAGACTACAATTTTCTAAATAATATCCCTTTATTTGAAAAAAAGTTCACAAGGACTAGCAATAGAGCAATGACCAAAAGTTTATAAAAATAGAACAATATTAATGTTGTGCAATGATGTGATGCTTTTATTTATATTACCACACATCTTACATAACGTAACTGAAATAAAATAACTGTTTCGATAATTGTTGTATGACTAATATTCGATGGCTGATGAACCCGTCAAAAACCAGAAATTAATAACACACAATGGGCTCAAATGTACAAAAGGACCAAGTTCAAACCGTGAAAATACATATAAACCAATAACAACGAGGCTACTCAATGACGTCATCATGTCCCATGAACTTTGTGACATCAAGGATAGTACAACACTATTCACTTATAATGTACAACTGATATATTGTTTACTTCCAATTATAAGTATTTTTTTCTTAATTAATGACAAAATCACGTTTTGCATATCGCACTAAGTAAACACTAGTGTGATTTAAAAATAAAAATAGCGGTATTTGTTTGACCATAGACTACTAGGTAACCAGTTTAGTTTTGCTTGTCAAACCATACTTGCTATTGTATAAAGAATGGCTCAACCTGAAGTTACAATCCAACAAGGAACCCTGCGTGGTTCTACAGCTACTGATCTCCGTGGCAACCCCTTCCTGAAATTCCAGGGTATTCCATATGCCAAACCACCACTGGGCCATCTTAGATTCAAGGTAAAATTTTCTACCAACGCCGCTAGACTCAAAAAGTTACAAAAAAATTAGGCCCCCGTTCCTCCCGAAAAATGGACCGGAGTTTTCGACGCCACCAAAGAAGGCAGTATTTGCTACCACCGAGACGTTATCAAAAAAGGCATTCTCATCGGAACCGAAAACTGCTTAGTTCTGAACGTCTACACGAAAAAAGTACGTAGAAAATAGTCCCGGGCTGTCAAAAATCGAAAAATTTTAGCTCCCCAAAGATGAGAAAGATCTGCGTCCGGTTATGTTCTGGATCCACGGTGGAGGGTTCATTTGGGGACACGGCGGCGAAGACCTCTACGGTGCCGATTATCTTATTACCGAAGACGTGGTTGTGGTTACCATCAATTATCGTCTTGGTCTTTTCGGGTTTGTCAGTTTTGACGATCCGTCTTTGGAAGTACCAGGGAACGCCGGTTTGAAAGACCAAGTCATGGCTTTGAGATGGGTTCAGAAGAATATTGACAAGTTTGGTGGGGATCGTAATAATGTTACGATCTTTGGTGAGAGTGCTGGTGGTGCTTCGGTGCATTTGATGGTACTGTCGCCTCTAGCGAAAGGGCTTTTCCATAAAGCTATAGCCCAGAGTGGGTGTGCTTTAAGTACTTGGGTTCGAGCGAGCAAAGGGGTGAAACGTGTGGCTGAAGTAATGGGGCTTGAAGGGGCAGAAGATAGGACCGTCTTTGACGCTCTAGCGAAGAAGTCAACCGAAGAGGTTTTAGAAATTCAAGAAAAAATGGAAGAGGTACTTATCTTCTAGATTTATTGCGCAGCACTCTTTATTTATGATATTACAGGAAATAAAACCGTACAAACCTAGATACGTAGGCTTAGTCGTTGAAACAAACTCCAAAGAACCGTTCATGATTGAAGAACCCATTAAAATTATGTTATCTGGACACTTCAACCAGGTACCATTTTTGATAGGGTACAATACTTTAGAAGGTGCTGTTGTTGACCTGTTGAAAAAGCCCGGACAACCTGAGGCCCCAGATTTCGAGCAACTTATTCCTTGGTCATTTGGTTACGAAGTGGGTTCTGCTGAATCTAAAGCCGTGGCTGCAAAATTGCAGAAATTTTACTTTGGGGACGAAGACTATTCTCAGCAGCTATTAAGAAAAAAATACGACGTTAGTATCACGTACGAACTTGATTGAAAATCAATCTCTGTTTGTAGGTTTTGTCTGATAGTTACTTCATTTTTGATATTTACGTTACAATAATGACTCAATTCGCCATTTCAAAGGCACCCATTTATCTGTACAGGATGGCCGTCGAGACCGAGCTGAACTTCTATAAAGTACTTCTAAACATTCAAATGCCTGGTGCGTTGACTAGATTGTCAAAACTATGTTTTGATATATTTTTCAGGTGTTTGTCATTGTGATGATGTTGGATACCTTTTCAAGCATTCTACCACTCCAGAAATAGTACCAGGTAGTGTTGAAGACCTCTGTCTGACTAGGTTTGTTAAGTTGTGGACCAATTTTGCCAAATTTGGAAATCCGACTCCTGATAAGAATGACGATTTGCTTAAAGTTGTGTGGAAGCCTGTAAGGAACGATAGTGTTGATTTTCTTGAAATTGGGAAAGAATTAGAAGCCAAGTCGAATCCGGTGACTGAAAGACTACTGCTCTGGAAGCAGGTGTTTGCTGAAAGTTCAGCTGGAAGGAAACAAAATGTTGCTATGTATTTGAAGGGTTCCAAATAAATATTTTTCAATATAGTGTATTGAATTTTGAGGAATAAAGGATCTTGAAAAAAATCGAATTTCAATATTATCCCGGCGAATCCACCAATTTCTCACTTGAAATTTAATGGAAAATTGAAACATTAAAATTTTATACACACACCACTAAAGGTCGATTTATAATCTTGCCGTTGCTGTTCGCCGTTGACGTTGCCGTGCAAATCATCACAAATCGATTTTCTACTCACGCTCCGCCCCTCGGTCTGACAACAAATGAAAATTCATCACTATTGAGATCGAGACGGATGGGTGGGGCTTCTCTTTTGTTTTTTTTTTTTTAATTAATACAGTTAGTTTTCTTTGTATAACACGGTTACTTAAGAACATATTTCACATGGTAATTTCTCGTAGAAGAATAAGGATTTTACAATTAAGCTCTGCCCCCCAGCTTACGACAAATAAAAAAATCATCAGAATAAGGATAGGGTGGGTGGGTGGGGCTTACATGTTTTAAGTGTCATGTTGTGAAAAGAAGTCTACACATGTTAAAAGAAAAAGGCAAAATGAAAGCCCGCCCACCCGCCCTGTCTCAATTGTGATGATTTTTTTTATCCGCCGTGAATCAAGAGGGCGGAGCTTAACTTCAAAATACCTATTTCTTTACAAGAAATTAAAAACATGTTTTTCAGTATCGTGTTGTTCAAAGAATACCATGTACATTAAGAAAAAAAAGCAAAATATAAACCTGGTAAGATAAGACTGATTTTGGCAAATCACGTATTCTCTAAGAAAATAGAGGGCGGGTGGGCGGGGCTAATACCTGTTTAAATAAGACCGATTTTGGCAAATGGCATACCCTGTAAGAAAAGAGAGGATGGACGGGAGTGGCTTGTACCTGCTAAGACTGATTTTGGCAAATGACATAGTCTCTAAGAAGACAGTGGGCGGGCGGGGGGGCTAGAAAATGATTTCATGATTTCCACTACTTTTCGAAAATAGTTGAGTGGTGAAGTGCCAAAATTAGTTTTAACTTATCAAATACTAGCCCCGCCCACCCACCCTCTGTTTTCTTGGAGGGCAAGTGATTTGCCAAAATCAGTCTTATCTTAGCAAGTACTAGCTAGCTAAGATAAAACTATTTTGGCAAATGACATACCCCCTAAGAAAAAAGAGGGTGGGTGGGCGGGGTTTGTAGCTCCTAAGATAAAACTGAGTTGGCAGTTGACATACCCTCTAAAAAAGATGAGAGTGGGTGGGTGGGTGGGGCTAGTTTTGACATGTTTTTTCAGGTGTTTGTCATTGTGATGATGTTGGATATCTATTCAAGCATTTTGCCACTCCGGAAATAGTACCTGGTCGTGTTGAAGACGTCTGTCTTACTCGCTTTGTCAAGCTGTGGACCAATTTTGACAAGTTTGGAAATCCGACTCCCGATAAGAATGACGATTTGTTGAAAGTCGTATGGAAACCTGTAACTGATGCCAATGTGGATTTTCTTGACATTGGGAAAGAATTAGAAGCTAAAACAAATCCCGTGAATGAAAGACTGCTGCTCTGGAAACAACTGTCTGATGAAAGTCCAGCTGGAAAGAAACAGAAAGCAGCTGTTTGAAGATTTCCAAATTAATGTCCTTACATTGTACTGATTTAATTGTTTTGAACTTAACGAATAAAAATTTTTAGTAATTAGGCTATTTGATGACGTCATGTATTAGACTATTACTTTATTAAATACTTCATGCAGGACAACCCTGACAGTGAACCTTAGTGAGATCATTTATGTCAGCGCTACAATCCGGTCATTATTTATTGAAAATAACAAGTTTGGCAAGTCTCAGGCCGACGATCCGCAACACTAAATTACTACGACTGTCTGGTAACCTTAAACGATGGCAAGGAGTATGGTAATTTTAGTCTGGGACAATTGCAGTATGTGTTGTTGAATATAAATGGGCTATCGCTGGGTCGTTCCTGAATGTTATATATGCAACCAGCAATAGCCAAGGCAAGGGTGTCATGGACGCCATGTCGATACACACGTGGAACCAACGTGGTGAATAAACCTACAATAATCTGACGTCTTTTTATTGAGTTTTATACCTGTGATATACGGAATACACAACATATGGCGACGAGCAAATTATGAATACAAGGGAGTAACTTTCAACGCAAGAACGGGAGGAAAAGGTGAGAAAGTCTAACCGTTCTGAAAAGCACTTTCAAGCATGGCTAGTTACATCGGCATTATCCCTACATTCACACCGGACAGTGACTTCACGATTTTCGAAGAAAGGTTCGAACAGTTCTGCCTCGTGAACAAAATCGTGGACGAAAAATGCAAAGTTGCCCTGTTGCGAAGTCAGATGGAAACGGATGTATACAAGATACTTCGCGATTTATCATTTCCAATTCCACCCAAGGACAAGTCTTTAGAAGAGCTGAAAAAGGAGCTCCAAAAGCATTTCAGTCCAAAAGTAAACGTGTTTAGGGAACGAATTCAGTTCTTCCGAGCCCACCAAACCGCCGAAGAAAGTTCTAATGAGTGGTATGCAAGATTAAAAAATCTCGCGGTCAACTGTAAGTTTGAGCACCTCCAAGAGACACTGGTTGATCGGTTCGTGTCGGGAATGCGAGAGGGACCCGTTATGGACCGACTAGTGGAAGAACCAGTCAGTCAAAGTCTCGAGAAGTTAATCGAAATTGCCAACAGCAAGGAGTTGGCGTTAGCATACACCACTGGTAAAGGAAGCGAGGACAGAATTCAGGCAGTATACAGTGGTCACCGTAAACTAGGCAACTTCCGGGGAAGAAACCAACACAAACCCAGAAAACCAGATGCAAATGAAGAGTATAAAGAAAGTTATGACATGGGAAGAGTGAAGAACCAAAGCAGAACCACCGTGAAATGTAAGTGCTGTGGCAAAACACATGCTGGAACGTGCAAGTTCCAGAATTATACCTGCAATGCATGTGGCAAAAAGGGACATTTACAGAGTGTCTGCAGGGCAAGGCAGATCAACGCAGTGGAGACCCTACAAAGTGAACAAGGAAGCGGAAGCGAGGTTAGTATATATGACGAAGGACATTATCTAAACTCTATATATAACATTAACAACACTCTTAAGCCAATCGAACTCTCCGTGTTAATAGATGGCAAAAAATATTGCATGCAGTTAGATTCAGGTTCCGGCATATCTGCAATAAGCAACAAGTTTTATGTAAATAATTTGAACACTTACCAAATTCATCCAACAGTAATGTCGTTTAAAGGTTACACAGGTGAATCAATTGTACCACTAGGATTCATAAATGTTATAGTAGAATATGGAGATATGGCAAGTGAGTTAAAACTATTTGTAATTGAAAATGCTATGACAGGATTGTTAGGCAGGGATTTCATCAATAATTTTAACATTATTTTCACTCCAGCAGGAATAAACGCCATTGACTCGGTGGTGGACGTGAAGACTACGTTAAGGGGGGAGTTTCCTGATGTGTGTACTTCAGCTCTCGGATGTTTTAAACACGGTAAGATTTCTTTGAAGTTAAAGCCTAACGCCGTCCCAAAGCACCATTCTCCGAAACCTGTACCCTTAGCCCTTAAATCCAAAGTCGAGTACGAATTAGAGAGGATGATTCAAAGAGGAATCATTACACCAACCGTAACAGCAGAATGGAGTTCCCATATTGTCCCGGTTCTGCGAAAAAATGGCACCGTACGCATATGTGGTAGCTATATAAATCTCAACAAAAATCTAGTAGATGTGTATTATCCATTACCACGCATAGATCAGATTTATGCTAATCTGAAAGGAAATTACAAATTTTCCAAAATAGATCTAAGCGACGCGTATATGCAGTTCGAACTCATATGCGTCAAAAAAGCTGGTCACTATATCCACGCACAAAGGATTATACATGGTTAACCGAATGCCCTTTGGGATTAAGTGTGCAAGCTTTTACTTCCAAAAACATATTGACCAACTTTTTCAAGGCATCGACAATGTATTCACCTTCCAGGATGACATCTTAATCGGACATAAACGTGGCGAAAACCACCTGGATATTTTGAGACGAGCCCTAACCATATTAAAAAACGCAGGGCTAACGGTAAACCTGGATAAATGTCAGTTTCTCCAAAGCAAAATCTCGTATCTGGGATACGACTTATCAGAAAACGGTTTAAGTAAAAGCAAAGATAAGATCGAAGCAATAACATCTGCTCCACCGCCAAATAATATTACCGAACTTAAATCGTTTATTGGAGTGGTTAATTATTATAGCAAATTTATACCCAACATTACAGAAACTCTAGCACCCCTCTATCAGTTACTAAAAAAGGATGTTAAATATCAATGGACAGATAAATGTGATACAGCGTTCAGAAGTATTAAGCAAAAGATTGCGTCTGATACGGTTCTAACTTACTTCGATCCTAATCTACCCATCATTGTAACATGTGATGCTTCTGAACGTGGCATAGCAGCAGTTCTTGCACACAAGATGACAGACAACACTGAAAAAATGGTGACATGTGTATCAAGAACTTACACTAAAGCTGAACAGAACTACTCAGTAGTGCACAAAGAAAGTTTAGCATGCTATTTCGCCATAAACAAATTCCAAGAATACTTATATGGACAGAGATTTATTTTGCGAACAGATCAAAAATCGTTGGTCTACTTGTTTGGGAAACAAAAGGAAATAAATCAGACATATGCTAATCGAATAAAGCGCTACGCACTGTATTTTTCAAACTTTGATTTCCAAATTGAACATATAAAGGGACGTGACAACGCAGTCGCAGACTGTTTGTCGCGATTACCACTAGACAAGCAATTTACAGTTGACGAAGTAGAATACAATAGCATATATTTCTCCAATGTAGATATTCCGATAGACAATACAATGGTAAAAGAAGAAACAGCAAATGACGCTATCTTAACTAAGGTTATAGAATTTGTTCGATCGGGATGGCCAAACGAGATCGATGAAAATTATCGACCATTTTATAATCGCAAATTAGACCTCCACGTGGTAAATGGCTGTTTGTTGTTTGGAGACCGTATCGTGATACCAACCACAATGCGAGAAATAGTAAAAAACGAACTACACTCTACTCATGAAGGCATCGTGCGAATGAAAGCTATGGCGAGATCGTTCTTATGGTTTCCTGGAGTCGACAAAGAAATTGAACAGATATGCAAATCGTGCAAAGCTTGTCTGTCTGTCACATCTCATCCCCCAAAAACCTATGTATCCTGGCCGGAATCTTCTAATCCGTTCGAATTAGTCCACATGGACTTTTTCACGTTCCTGCAAAGACAATACCTGATCATAGTAGACAGCTGCACTAAATGGTTAGAAATTTACAGTATGAAAAACATTACAAGCGAGAGTACTGTAGAAATGCTTAGAGACTGCTTCTCTCGATTTGGGCTGCCAGAAACAGTTGTCTCCGATAACGGACCTTCCTTCGTCTCCGAAGAAATGGAGATTTTCTTTTACCGGAACGGAATCAAACACATGACAATCTCGCCATACAACCCTCAAAGTAACGGCCTTGCTGAAAACGGTGTTAAAATAGTAAAAAACAAGCTGAAGTCGGCATTGGCAGATGAACAAAATAAAAATGCCACCATCCAGACGATACTTTCCCGTTTCCTGCTAGTTTATAGAAACACACCGCATACGACGACCAAAATATCTCCAGCTAGTGCTATGTTTGGTCGAGAATTACGTACAAGGTTTCATCTAATGACTCGTACTGACCATGTCTCAAAAAAAATACCCCGCGAACCAACTACAAGTCGAACTTTTAAAATCAACGACAAAGTCATAATCAGAGACTATCGGACAACTGAGAGGAAATGGGTTGATGCGAAAATAATAAAAACAATTGGCAACGCCACTCATTTATGCCAGCTCGCATCTGGAACGGTGTGGAAACGTCACCCAAATCAAATAAAGAAAAGGAGTGAGGGTTGCGAATCAGTATTGACTAAAAGCACCGCCATTAAACAGCACAGAGGACATTGCAATGTGAAAATCGGAATGCCCATAAATTACGATCCTGCGTTACCACAACTACCCATCCCTGCCCCAGTACGTAGCACTTCCACTAATCTGGATCCTGTACCAGCAGGTATGAACAACACACGTCAGGACACTCATCCTTTACCAGCCACCGAGCCAATGTGTCCTCCCGCAGCACATGAATGTATTAGACCATCTAGAATTAGGAAAACCCCAAAGATCCTAGATGATTTTATTGTTAGTATGTAAGATTTCAACCTGTAAATATTATTTTAGTTAGTTTAGGTAAATTTCATTGTTAGGAGGAATATTTTGTAGTTGTAAGTTAAAGAGGGAGAAGTGTTATATATGCAACCAGCAATAGCCAAGGCAAGGGTGTCATGGACCCCATGTCGATACACACGTGGAACCAACGTGGTGAATAAACCTACAATAATCTGACGTCTTTTTATTGAGTTTTATACCTGTGATATACGGAATACACAACACTGAAGGTCACTGTTTTACCCATAGTGATGGCGTGACCAGTTTAGTATTGTGTGTCAAACCATACTTAGTGTTCCACAATGGTTCAACATGAAGTTACAATCCATCAAGGAACACTGCGCGGTTCTACAGGTACTGATCTCCGTGGCGACACCTTCCTCAAATTCCAGGGAATTCCATATGCCAAACCTCCACTTGGCGACCTTAGGTTCAAGGTACAATTTTCTACCCAATCCATTTCACATAAAAATTTATTAAAAAATTAGACGCCCGTTCCTCCCGAAAATGGGCTGGCGTTTTCGATGCCACCAAAGAAGGGAGCATTTGTTACCAACGAGACCTTTTCAAAAAGTGCGACTATGGTGGAAGTAAAACTGCTTGTTCCTGAACGTCTACACGAAAAAGGTAGGTAGCAGTGGTGGCTTGAGTTTTTTTTTCGACTATCCAAAACTGAAACAGTTTTGGCTTCCCGAAGACGAAAAAGATTTGCGTCCCGTCATGTTCTGGATCCATGGTGGAGTGTTCATTTTGCAGCACGGCGGTGAAGAACTCCACAGTCCCGATTTCCTGATTACCGAAGACGTGGTGGTGGTTACCATCAATTATCGTCTTGGTCTTTTAGGGTTTATCAGTTCTGACGATACTTCTTTAGACATACCCGGGAGCGCGGGTTTGAAGGACCAAGTCATGGCTTTAAAATGGGTCCAGGAGAAAATTGACAAGTTTGGTGGGGATCCTAACGATGTTACGGTCTTCGGGCAGAGCGCTGGTGCGGTTTCAGTCCATTTGATGGTGCTGTCGCCTCTAGCAAAGGGTCTTTTCCATAAAGCTATAGCCCAGAGTGGAAGTGCTATAAATCCATGGGTTCAAGCTCGTAAAGGAGTGAAACGTGTAGCAGAAGTAATGGGTCTTGAAGGGGCAGATGACAAAACCGTCTTTGACGCTGTAACGAAAAAATCAAAAGAAGAGATTTTAGGACTTCAAGAAATAATGGACGACGTGTTTATGTTCTTGATTAAGTCAGCACCACGTTTTTATTGATGTTTCAGAATTTAGAACCCTATACACCCAGATACATAGGTTTAGTTATCGAAACAAACTCCAAAGAACCGTCCATGACTGAAGAACCCATTAATATTATGAAATCTGGAAACTTCAGCCAGGTACAATTTTTGACTGGGTGCACTTCTCTAGAGGGCGCTACTCTCGACCTGGTGGTCAAATCCATAGATTTTAACCTTATACTCTACTAGATGCGCAACTGCGTCGCGTAAAGTGAAGCCTATGGCGGCCATTTGTCAAAGAGGCAAAATACTGTAGAATCGTATTACGGTAATGGTAAAAGTAAGGGTAAAATATTATTTATTTGTTCTAAGGAAATCAGGTGCACATTTTATTGTTAGCTTGCCAATCCTGACATACAACAAAAGAACATATAACTTAAAATATACTACAAATGTTACGTTATTGAGGAAAAATAATTAAAATAGTTTTCCAATTCTTACATAAATCAGAAGTCATTAAAATAAAAAAAAAAATACCTAAGCAGTAAATACGTGCCAGGACGCACCAAATAATCACTTTCAGTGAAAGGGTCACTACACAATTTACTGGCTTTTGTTGGTGTAATTTTTTTTCTTTTCATTACTCTAACCCACTGTTCCAAGAGCTTTTCATTTTTCAGGGGAAATCCAAAGACAAAATCACATAATAAAAAGACAAACCGATTTAGCAATCCACCGCAAATTACCCAAAAAACTGGACGTTTCCTCCTGGTTTAAACCGATTTGTACACCCAAATGCGGAACACGATGCCGGCATATTTCGCTTTTAATAAACCAACACTTTTTGGAACTATACTTTAATTCATATATACATATATATATAGCATATATTTAGCACTATTTTCCTAATATATTACCAAGCGATCATACATTGACAGCAATGTTTTGCCTTTCTGACAAATGGCGGCCACTCGACCTTGAAGCTTCACTTCTCTCTGCAGCGCAGGGTTAGGTAGTCGGGTATCTAGGTAACTTAATTTAACATCTATGGTCAAATCTGAGGTCCTAGATTTCGAGAAACTTATTCCATGGTCCCTTGGTTATAAAATCGGTTCTCCTGAATCTAAAGCCGTTGCTGCAAAATTGAAGAAATTTTACTTTGGTGACGAAGAATACTCCCGGAATTTTTTAAAACAAAAATACGACGTTAGTATCACACACGAATTTATTCGAAAATCGATCTTCTTTTGTAGGCTTTGTCTGATATTTACTTCCTTTATGGTATTTATGATACAATAATGACTCAATCCGCTGTTTCCAAAGCTCCCATTTATCTGTACTGGATGACTCTCGAAACCAAGCTGAACTTGTTTAAAATGCTTCTAGGCGTTAGGATACCAGGTGCGTTGATTGTATAAATTCAAGAACCATGTTTTGAGTTGATTTTCAGGTGTTTGTCATTGTGATGATGTTTTTTACCTTTTCAAGAATTTTGCCACTCCGAAAATAGTACCTGGTAGTGTTGAAGACATCGGTGTTACTAGGTTTGTCAGGTTGTGGACCAATTTTGCCAAATTTGGAAATCCGACTCCTGATAAGAATGACGATTTGCTGAAAGTGGTGTGGAAACCCATCACGGGTCGTAATATGGATTGTCTTGAAATTGGGAAAGAATTACAAGCCAGGTCAAAACCGGTGACTGAAAGTCTACTGCTCTGGAAACAAGTGTTTGCTGAAAGTCCAGCTGGAAGGAAACAGAATGATGCTGTTTGAAGGGATCCAAATAAATGTCTTTACAATACATACATGATTGAAAAATACCTCAGATTGTTTTTTTTCAGTACTAACCTACCCATCTTTAAATACTCAGCAATGTAGGTTATGCAACACAATATGCACTATTTAAATAAGTACAATAATAATTGAGGTTATTATATGTATAATAATAATTAAGATATAATTCCTCATACTATACGAGCTATTAAGCATAATTTAAAAGATAGGTATGCATTAAAACAAGTGATTGTACTCTGGAATTACGCAGTTGTTTACTTTCTTGAATTATAAAGTTGTTTTGTTATAATTACCTACCCAGTTTAAGGTCGGTACTCAAACAAACAAATAAAGGTAGATTAAAAATAACCTTCTGTTGTTTAGTTAGCAAACAGACATTTCATTACTTTCAGACTACAATTTTCTAAATAATATCCCTTTATTTGAAAAAAAGTTCACAAGGACTAGCAATAGAGCAATGACCAAAAGTTTATAAAAATAGAACAATATTAATGTTGTGCAATGATGTGATGCTTTTATTTATATTACCACACATCTTACATAAAGTAACAGAAATAAAATAACTGTTTCGATAATTGTTGTATGACTAATATTCGCTGGCTGATGAACCCGTCAAAAACCAGAAATTAATAACACACAATGGGCTCAAATGGACAAAAAGACCAAGTTCAAACCGTGAAAATACATATAAACCAATAACAACGAGGCTACTCAATGACGTCATCATGTCCCATGAACTTTGTGACATCAAGGATAGTACAACACTATTCACTTATAATGTACAACTGATATATTGTTTACTTCCAATTATAAGTATTTTTTTCTTAATTAATGACAAAATCACGTTTTGCATATCGCACTAAGTAAACACTAGTGTGATTTAAAAATAAAAATAGCGGTATTTGTTTGACCATAGACTACTAGGTAACCAGTTTAGTTTTGCTTGTCAAACCATACTTGCTATTGTATAAAGAATGGCTCAACCTGAAGTTACAATCCAACAAGGAACCCTGCGTGGTTCTACAGCTACTGATCTCCGTGGCAACCCCTTCCTGAAATTCCAGGGTATTCCATATGCCAAACCACCACTGGGCGATCTTAGATTCAAGGTAAAATTTTCTACCAATGCCGCTAGACTTAAAAATTTACAAAAAAATTAGGCCCCCGTTCCTCCCGAAAAATGGACCGGAGTTTTCGACGCCACCAAAGAAGGCAGTATTTGCTACCACCGAGACGTTATCAAAAAAGGCATTCTCATCGGAACCGAAAACTGCTTAGTTCTGAACGTCTACACGAAAAAAGTACGTAGAAAATAGTCCCGAGCTGTCAAAAATCGAAAAATTTTAGCTCCCCAAAGATGAGAAAGATCTGCGTCCGGTTATGTTCTGGATCCACGGTGGAGGGTTCATTTGGGGACACGGCGGCGAAGACCTCTACGGTGCCGATTATCTTATTACCGAAGACGTGGTTGTGGTTACCATCAATTATCGTCTTGGTCTTTTCGGGTTTGTCAGTTTTGACGATCCGTCTTTGGAAGTACCAGGGAACGCCGGTTTGAAAGACCAAGTCATGGCTTTGAGATGGGTTCAGAAGAATATTGACAAGTTTGGTGGGGATCGTAATAATGTTACGATCTTTGGTGAGAGTGCTGGTGGTGCTTCGGTGCATTTGATGGTACTGTCGCCTCTAGCGAAAGGGCTTTTCCATAAAGCTATAGCCCAGAGTGGGTGTGCTTTAAGTACTTGGGTTCGAGCGAGCAAAGGGGTGAAACGTGTGGCTGAAGTAATGGGGCTTGAAGGGGCAGAAGATAGGACCGTCTTTGACGCTCTAGCGAAGAAGTCAACCGAAGAGGTTTTAGAAATTCAAGAAAAAATGGAAGAGGTACTTATCTTCTAGATTTATTGCGCAGCACTCTTTATTTATGATATTACAGGAAATAAAACCGTACAAACCTAGATACGTAGGCTTAGTCGTTGAAACAAACTCCAAAGAACCGTTCATGATTGAAGAACCCATTAAAATTATGTTATCTGGACACTTCAACCAGGTACCATTTTTGATAGGGTACAATACTTTAGAAGGTGCTGTTGTTGACCTGTTGAAAAAGCCCGGACAACCTGAGGCCCCAGATTTCGAGCAACTTATTCCTTGGTCATTTGGTTACGAAGTGGGTTCTGCTGAATCTAAAGCCGTGGCTGCAAAATTGCAGAAATTTTACTTTGGGGACGAAGACTATTCTCAGCAGCTATTAAGAAAAAAATACGACGTTAGTATCACGTACGAACTTGATTGAAAATCAATCTCTGTTTGTAGGTTTTGTCTGATAGTTACTTCATTTTTGATATTTACGTTACAATAATGACTCAATTCGCCATTTCAAAGGCACCCATTTATCTGTACAGGATGGCCGTCGAGACCGAGCTGAACTTCTATAAAGTACTTCTAAACATTCAAATGCCTGGTGCGTTGACTAGATTGTCAAAACTATGTTTTGATATATTTTTCAGGTGTTTGTCATTGTGATGATGTTGGATACCTTTTCAAGCATTCTACCACTCCAGAAATAGTACCAGGTAGTGTTGAAGACCTCTGTCTGACTAGGTTTGTTAAGTTGTGGACCAATTTTGCCAAATTTGGAAATCCGACTCCTGATAAGAATGACGATTTGCTTAAAGTTGTGTGGAAACCTGTAAGGAACGATAGTGTTGATTTTCTTGAAATTGGGAAAGAATTAGAAGCCAAGTCGAATCCGGTGACTGAAAGACTACTGCTCTGGAAGCAGGTGTTTGCTGAAAGTTCAGCTGGAAGGAAACAAAATGTTGCTATGTATTTGAAGGGTTCCAAATAAATATTTTTCAATATAGTGTATTGAATTTTGAGGAATAAAGGATCTTGAAAAAAATCGAATTTCAATATTATCCCGGCGAATCCACCAATTTCTCACTTGAAATTTAATGGAAAATTGAAACATTAAAATTTTATACACACACCACTAAAGGTCGATTTATAATCTTGCCGTTGCTGTTCGCCGTTGACGTTGCCGTGCAAATCATCACAAATCGATTTTCTACTCACGCTCCGCCCCTCGGTCTGACAACAAATGAAAATTCATCACTATTGAGATCGAGACGGATGGGTGGGGCTTCTCATTTGTTTTTTTTTTTAATTAATACTTTTAGTTTTCTTTGTATAACGCGATTACTTAAGAACCTATTTCAAATGGTAATTTCTCGTAGAAGAATAAAGATTTTACAATTAAGCTCTGCCCCCCAGCTTACGACGAATAAAAAAAATCATCAGAGTTAGGATAGGGTGGGTGGGTTGGGCTTACATGTTTTAAGTGTCATGTTGTGAAAAGAAGTCTGCACATGTTAAAAGAAAAAGGCAAAATGAAAGCCCGCCCACCCGCCCTGTCTCAATTGTGATGATTTTTTTTATTCGCCGTGAATCAAGAGTGCGGAGCTTAACTGCAAAATACCCATTTCTTTACAAGAAATTAAAAACATATTTTTGATATCGTGTTGTTCAAAGAATACCATGTACATTAAGAAAAAAATGTAAAATATAAACCTGGTAAGATAAGACTGATTTTGGCAAATCACGTATTCTCTAAGAAAATAGAGGGCGGGTGGGGGGGCTAGAAAATGATTTCATGATTTCCACTATTTTTCGAAAATAGTTGAGTGGTGAAGTGCCAAAATTAGTTTTATCTTATCAAATACTAGCCCCGCCCACCCACCCTCTGTTTTCTTGGAGGGCAAGTGATTTGCCAAAATCAGTCTTATCTTAGCAAGTACTAGCTAGCTAAGATAAAACTATTTTGGCAAATGACATACCCCCTAAGAAAAAAGAGGGTGGGCGGGCGGGGCTTGCAGCTCCTAAGATAAAACTGATTTGGCAGTTGACATACCCTCTAAAAAAGAAGAGAGTGGGTGTGTGGCTGGGGCTAGTTTTGACATGTTTTTTCAGGTGTTTGTCATTGTGATGATGTTGGATACCTATTCAAGCATTTTGCCACTCCGGAAATAGTACCTGGTCGTGTTGAAGACGTCTGTCTTACTCGCTTTGTCAAGCTGTGGGCCAATTTTGCCAAGTTTGGAAATCCGACTCCCGATAAGAATGACGATTTGTTGAAAGTCGTATGGAAACCTGTAACTGATGCCAATGTGGATTTTCTTGACATTGGGAAAGAATTAGAAGCTAAAACAAATCCCGTGAATGAAAGACTGCTGCTCTGGAAACAACTGTCTGATGAAAGTCCAGCTGGAAAGAAACAGAAAGCAGCTGTTTGAAGATTTCCAAATTAATGTCCTTACATTGTACTGATTTAATTGTTTTGAACTTAACGAATACAAATTTTTAGTAATTAGGCTATTTGATGACGTCATGTATTAGACTATTACTTTATTAAATACTTCATGCAGGACAACCCTGACAGTGAACCTTAGTGAGATCATTTATGTCAGCGCTACAATCCGGTCATTATTTATTGAAAATAACAAGTTTGGCAAGTCTCAGGCCGACGATCCGCAACACTAAATTACTACGACTGTCTGGTAACCTTAAACGATGGCAAGGAGTATGGTAATTTTAGTCTGGGACAATTGCAGTATGTGTTGTTGAATATAAATGGGCTATCGCTGGGTCGTTCCTGAAGGTCACTGTTTTACCCATAGTGATGGCGTGACCAGTTTAGTATTGTGTGTCAAACCATACTTAGTGTTCCACAATGGTTCAACCTGAAGTTACAATCCATCAAGGAACACTGCGCGGTTCTACAGGTACTGATCTCCGTGGCAACACCTTCCTCAAATTCCAGGGAATTCCATATGCCAAACCTCCACTTGGCGACCTTAGGTTCAAGGTACAATTTTCTATCCAATCCGTTTCACATAAAAATTTATTAAAAAATTAGGCGCCCGTTCCTCCCGAAAAATGGACCGGGATTTTCGATGCGACCAAAGAAGGCAGCATTTGCCACCAACGAGACCTTTTCAAAAAGTGCGACTATGGTGGAAGTAAAACTGCTTGTTCCTGAACGTCTACACAAAAAAGGTAGGTAGCAGTGGTGGCCTGAGTTTTTTTTAATAATAATAATAATAAAAATAATAAGTTTATTGCCCAACAGTTCAAGCGAACCAATTACAGAGCAATGAATGAATATAACCTAATAACCTAATATTATTCTAGAGTGACAAGAAAAAAAAAAAACAGAAAACCGAAACTGTAAACTACACTTTCCATGAAGGTTAAATAAAAGTATGTGTGCTTATATATAAATGAATAACAGAACAAAAGAAATAACAAACCAACTTTAAATAATAATAATAATAGTAAAAACAGTATTTGACACAAATTCAAATTAGTAGAAACAACAACTAATAGGTGTAATAATTTAATTAACTACTATTAAAATAAAAAGCTATTACCTTCATTTTGAATTGTTTGAAACTGTGTGAAAAGATATCCAAAGCCTTAAAGTTCTTATTAAAAAGGAAACACATTATATTTAAAGGTGATTTCATTAAAATATTTGTACGAGCTAAAGGCACATAAAAAGGCAAATCACTTCTGCAATTTAAGCGTGGAACATGAAAGCAAATTTTTCCCAATAACTCGGCACAATCAATCCTTGAATGAATTAATTTAAAGAAAAATAAAGTAATGGCAACTTCTCTTCTGCTAACTAATGATAACATGTTGAATTCACTTAGCAGCAAAGCATTATCAATTCCTCTATCAGGATAAGTACCGTATTTTCTAAACCATACGTATTTCATGAATTTTCTTTGAATGGACTCAATGACATTTATGTAGCATTGATATAATGGATTCCAAATAAGACAACCATACATCAAACATGAGATAACATATGCCTCGAATAATATCTTAATAGTATTTAAATTATTGAAGTTTTTACATTGCCTTATTATAAACCCAAGTAAAGAAAACGAACGTGCAACAATATTGTTGATACGGCATTGAAATGTAAGTTCTGAATCAAATGTGATTCCCAGATCTTTTATGACATTACATCGAGGTATGATTTCGTTATTGACTGAATAATCAAATTTGTGTAATGTTTTCTTACGAGTAAATGATATGACTTTACATTTAGTGACATTCAGGGTAATTTTATTTAAGGAACACCAATTGTTGAATTGATTCATATCACTTTGAAGCTGATGTGCATCCTCAGTTGTTCTAATAATGTGATATATTTTAGCATCATCTGCGTATATTAATGATTGACTCTTGAAAATGGTAGGCAAATCATTCACAAATAAAATGAAAAGTAGCGGACCAAGATTAGCTCCTTGTGGAACTCCTGATGTGACATCGTAGATATGAGAAGAGTGACTATTATAAAAAACATATTGCGATCTGTCTGATAAATATGAGCGAAGTAAATTGAAAATATTGCCACAGAGACCATATACCTGAAGTTTAGATAATAACATTAAGTGATCAAGGCGATCAAAAGCTTTCGCAAAATCTGTATAAATGACGTCTACTTGGGACGCATTATCAATAGCTTCTGTCAGAAATTGGGAAAAACAAGCTAAATTGGTTATCGTTGAGCGCCCATCAACAAATCCATGCTGCTGCGGAGAGATATATTTTCGAACATGAGGATAGATAAACGAATACAGAACAACTTCAAAAACTTTTGAAAAGTTATTTATTATTGATATAGGACGGTATTTATCTATTTCAGCATTATTACCTGATTTGAAGATTGGTGTGACTTTAGAGGTCTTCCACTTTTTTGGGAATGTACCAGTAGTAAGGGCAACATTAAAAATTGCTAATAAAGGTTGAACAAAAATATTTTTACAATCGTGTATCACAAAACCTGGGATTTGGTCAGGCCCAGCAGTAAAAGAATTTTTGATTTTATTGAAAGCAACTAAAACGTCATTGTGAGTAATGCTGGATATAGATAAAGAAAGATAATCAGATGAAGGCACTGGAAAATCTGTTGAATTCTGAGAACAAACATAGGACGACTGAAAAAATGTGGCAAATGCGTTGACAATGTCTTCTGGAGAATTTAAAGAAACGTTATTAAAAGTCATTTTTCCGGGTATGCGTGTTTGACCTTTCATTGATTTTACATACGACCAGAATTTTTTTGGGTCCTGGGATAGATTATTTTGAATGGAATTCAGATATTCTTTATAAGCTAGAGATATTTGATTTTTAGTAATAGTACGATAATGTTTAAATTTGACGTAATAGGAGCTATCATTAGTTTGCTTATATTTATTATGACAATAACCTTTTAATTTAATGTTACTGATAATCACAGAATTGAACCATGGCGGAAACTGAATCTTATTGAATTTATTTGGATAAATTGGGACATGCTTATCAAAAATATGATATAGGGCGTTATAAAATTGATCTACCATACTATCGACATCAACACAATTATTTAGAAAGGACCAATCTATATTTAATAATTCCTGATATAAAGAAGGATAATCAGCTCTCTTAAAATTGTATAGTTTTACACCATTTGGTCTAGTGGAAGGGAAGTTACTAAAGTTGTCAACAGTGAAGTCAATCAAAATCGAAAGAGCCGGGTGATGGGTGTCTTCCGCAACCACAGGACTGCAATCATGTTCAACCCGACAATGGACATTGAAAAATACAAGATCCAGTAATTTGTTTGAGCCGTTTTTCACACAATTATATTGAATAAAATTCATAAAACTACAAAAATTATTGAGGGTATGTACCAAGATATTGTCATTATTTTGAATAAATTGGGGGATGTTAAAGTGTCCTAAGATCAAAATATTATCTTCTTTGTTGAAAAACTCCTCAAAAAAGTTACAAAATATCATCAAATCATCACATGTTGGAGTTCTTGAGAAATATACAACAAATAAATAAAATATCGAATTTTTAAGCCAACATTTACATCCTACAATTTCAATTATGTCTATATTCTTACGTAATTGAGATAAGTCAACAACTTCGGCAATTATGTGAGATCGCAGTGCTAAAAGGACACCACCACCTCTAGATATATTTAACTCTTGATAATTACGATCGTTTCTAAAGATATTATATAGGTGAGAAGAAACAATTTCAGAATTTGAGATAGAACTACATAACCAAGTCTCAGATATGGCGATGATGTCATAACTTAAATCTAACGTGGCATTAAAAAATTCATTTGATTTATTTCTTATACTACGCACATTTTGGTAATATAGTGATATAGAAAAGTTGGGCCTTACTTGTTTAAATTATTTGAATCTCTGTCATTGGAACGTTTGTTCGCTACCATAACACGCGGAATTCCCCTTATATATTTTATAATAAGACCTTCCTCACCCCCATTTTTTCTTTCTTGTAATTCTTGTCTGATTTTCTTGTAGTAACTACGTTGTTTTGGTGTTTTGTCCAGTGACACTCTAACATTTTTATAAATTTGATTTTCATTAATGATATCACGATTTTTCCTTATCCCGCGTAAAAGCTTTACCACTTGCTCACCATTTTCTAGGTAAACCCTCATCGGACGTGGGGCAGCACGAGTGGGTTCAAATCTGCCTATTCGATTACATTTGGAAGAAATAATATCTGAAGTTTCACCAAATTGAAATAAGAAATTGTTTACGTAGCTCTCATCACTAACTTTTCTGTCTGCAGAGGACATTTTAGAAGCCTGTTCAGGAACTCCAAACATAATCAAATTGGATTTTCGAATTTGGCGGTCGGTGACCTCCTGCACGACTTCTTCAAATTCGATAGCAGATGGTGTTTCTTTAACTCGCGATAGCTGGTTTTTTAATAATTCCACGGACTGTGATAACTTATCGATTATAATCTTTAATTCTGGGATAATTTCACAACATTTGCATTTGGATGCATTGGCATTAGTAGAGTTGAGTCCACGACACTCCAGACATTTCCAGTCCAAGCCTGATATGGTCTTCATTAATTCAAACTGGGCCTTTGATATATCCAAGCATTTGATATGATTATGCACACCACAAATACAACATTTCAAACTCGGAACTGTAGGCGTAATTGCTGTGTTACACTTTTTACACGAGGACGGCATCTTTATAGTTTATAATAATTAAATGCTTACGCAAAAAGTCACTAATAAGTGAGGAGCGAAGTGAACACGTCTGTCACTCTCGACTGTTCCACTTAGATTTTTTTTCGACTATCCAAAATTGAAACAGTTTTAGCTTCCCGAAGACGAAAAAGATTTGCGTCCCGTCATGTTCTGGATCCATGGTGGAGTGTTCATTTTGCAGCACGGCGGTGAAGAACTCCACAGTCCCGATTTCCTGATTACCGAAGACGTGGTGGTGGTTACCCACAATTATCGTCTTGGTCTTTTAGGGTTTATCAGTTTCGACGATCCTTCTTTAGACATACCCGGGAACGCGGGTTTTAAGGACCAAGTCATGGCTTTAAAATGGGTCCAGGAGAATATTGACAAGTTTGGTGGGGATCCTAACGATGTTACGATCTTCGGTCAGAGCGCTGGTGCGGTTTCAGTCCATTTGATTGTACTGTCGCCTCTGGCAAAGGGTCTTTTCCATAAAGCTATAGCCCAGAGTGGAAGTGCTATAAATCCATGGGTTCAAGCTCGTAAAGGGGTGAAACGTGTAGCAGAAGTAATGGGTCTTGAAGGGGCAGACGACAAAACCGTCTTTGACACTCTAACGAAAAAATCAAAAGAAGAGATTTTAGGACTTCAAGAAATAATGGACGACGTGTTTATGTTCTTGATTAAGTCAGCACCACGTTTTTATTGATATTTCAGAATTTAGAACCCTATAGACCCAGATACATAGGTTTAGTCATCGAAACAAACTCCAAAGAACCGTTCATGACTGAAGAACCCATTAATATTATGAAATCTGGAAACTTCAGCCAGGTACCATTTTTGACTGGGTACACTTCCCTATAGGGCGCTACTCTCGACCTGGTGGTCAAATCTGAGGTCCTAGATTTCGAGAAACTTATTCCATGGTCCCTTGGTTATAAAATCGGTTCTCCAGAATCTAAAGCCGTTGCTGCAAAATTGAAGAAATTTTACTTTGGTGACGAAGAATACTCCCGGAAACTTTTAAAACAAAAATACGACGTTAGTATCACAGACGAATTTATTCGAAAATCGATCTTCTTTTGTAGGCTTTGTCTGATATTTACTTCATTTATGGTATTTATGATACAATAATGACTCAATCCGCTGTTTCCAAAGCTCCCATTTATCTGTACTGGATGACTCTTGAAACCAAGCTGAACTTGTTTAAAAGCTTCTAGGCGTTAAGTTGCCAGGTGCGTTGATTGTACAAATTCAAGAACCATGTTTTGAGTTGATTTTCAGGTGTTTGTCATTGTGATGATGTTTTTTACCTTTTCAAGAATTTTGGCACTCCGAAAATAGTACCTGGTAGTGTTGAAGACATCGGTGTAACTAGGTTTGTCGGGTTGTGGACCAATTTTGCCAAATTTGGAAATCCGACTCCTGATAAGAATGACGATTTGCTGAAAGTGGTGTGGAAACCCATAACGGATCGTAATATGGATTGTCTTGAAATTGGGAAAGAATTACAAGACAGGTCAAATCCGGTGACTGAAAATTTGCTGCTCTGGAAACATGTGTTTGCTAAAAGAATGTCTTTACAACACATACATGATTGAAAAATACCCCAGATTTTTTTTTTTCAGTACTAACCTACCCATCTTCAAACACTCTGCCATATAGGTTATGCAACACAATATTCACTATTGAAATAGGTACAATTGAGGTTATTATATGTATAATTAAGAATTAAGATATAACTCCTTAGACTAAACTACATGGAACTGATTTTATACGAGCCATTAAGCATAATTTAAAAGATAGGTATGCATTAAAACAAGTACTCTGGAATTACGCACTTGTTTGCTTTCTTGAATTATAAAATTTTTTGTTGTAATTACCTACCCAGTTTAAGGTCGGTATTCAAACAAACAAATAAAGGTAGATTAAAAATAACCTTCTGTTGTTTAATTAGCAAATATTTCGTTACTTTCAGACTACAATTTTCAAAATAATATCCCTTTAGTTGAAAAAAGGTGTAAACAAAACTTAAAAATAATCACAAGAACTAGCAACAGCACGATGACCAAAAGTTTATAAAAATAGAACAATATTAATGTTGTGCAATAATGTGATGTTTTTATTTATATTATCACACATCGTACATAATGTTGATATCGTTTATAAACAGATTAGTGTCCAAAACAGAAATAAAATTCGCTGGCTGATGATTGATGAACTCGTCAAAAACCAGAAATTAATAGCATACAATGGGCTAAAATGTACGAAAAGCCAAGTTCAACCAACACTATTCACCTATAATATACAACTGATATAAAAAAATGTAATTGTTTAGGTCCAATTATAAGTATTTTTTTCCAAATTAATGGCAAAACCACGTTCTGTACATCGCATTAAGTAAAAATTAGTGTAATTTAAAACTAAAAATAGTTATGTTTGTTTGACCATTGATATTAGATTACTAGGTAATAGTTTAGCTTTGTGTGTCAAACCATACTTGCTATTCTATAAAGAATGGCTCAACCTGAAGTTACAATCCAACAAGGAACCCTGCGTGGTTCTACAGCCACTGATCTCCATGGCAATCCCTTCCTGAAATTCCAGGGAATTCCATATGCCAAACCACCACTGGGCGATCTTAGATTCAAGGTAAAATTTTCTACCAACGTCGCTATACTTAAAATTTTACAAAAAAATTAGGCCCCCGTTCCTCCCGAAAAATGGACCGGCGTTTTCGACGCCACCAAAGAAGGCAGCATTTGCTACCAGCGAGACCTTATCAAAAAAGGCATCCTTGTCGGAACCGAAAACTGCTTAGTCCTGAACGTCTACACGAAAAAAGTACGTATAAAATAGTCCTGGGCTCTCAAAAATCGAAAAATTTTAGCTCCCCAAAGACGAAAAAGATCTGCGTCCGGTCATGTTCTGGATCCACGGTGGAGGGTTTATTTGGGGGCACGGCGGCGAAGAACTCTACGGTCCCGATTATCTTATTACCGAAGACGTGGTTGTGGTTACCATCAATTATCGTCTTGGTCTTTTCGGGTTTGTCAGTTTTGACGATCCGTCTTTGGAAGTACCAGGGAACGCCGGTTTGAAAGACCAAGTCATGGCTTTAAGATGGGTTCAGAAGAATATTGACAAGTTTGGTGGGGATCGTAATAATGTAACGATCTTTGGTGAGAGTGCTGGTGGTGTCTCGGTCCATTTGATGGTACTGTCGCCTCTAGCGAAGGGGCTTTTCCATAAAGCTATAGCGCAGAGTGGGTGTGCTTTAAATACATGGGTTCGAGCTAGCAAAGGGGTGAAACGTGTGGCTGAAATAATGGGTCTTGAACGGGTAGACGATAAGACCGTCTTTGACGCTCTAGCGAAGAAATCAACTGAAGAGGTTTTAGAAATTCAAGAAAAAATGGAAGAGGTATTTATGTTCGAGACAGATTGATTGAGCAGCCCTCCTTGTTTGTGATTTTACAGGAAATAATACCCTACAAACCTAGATACGTAGGTTTTGTCATTGAAACCAGCTCCAAAGAACCGTTCATGATTGAAGAACCCATTAATATTATGATATCTGGACACTTCAACCAGGTACCATTTTTGATAGGGTACAATACTTTAGAGGGCGCTGTTCTGGACGTGTTGAAAAAGCCAGGACAACCTGAGGCCCCAGATTTCGAGCAACTTATTCCATGGTCATTTGGTTACGAAGTGGGTTCTCCTGAATCTAAAGCCGTGGCTGCAAAATTGCAGAAATTTTACTTTGGGGACGAAGACTATTCTCAGAAGCTTTTAAGAAAAAAATACGACGTTAGTATCACGTACGAATTTGATTGAAAATCAATCTCCGTTTGTAGGTTTTGAGTGATACTCACTTCATTTTTGGTATTTACGTTACAATAATGACTCAATTCGCCATTTCAAAGGCACCCATTTATCTGTACAGGATGACCGTCGAGACTAATCTGAACTTCTATAAAGTACTTCTAAACATTCAAATGCCTGGTACGTTGACTGGATTGTCAAAACTATGTCTGGATACATTTTTTCAGGTGTTTGTCATTGTGATGATGTTGGATACCTTTTCAAGCATTCTACTACGCCAGAAATAGTACCAGGTAGTGTTGAGGACGTCTGTCTGACTAGGTTTGTCAAGTTGTGGACCAATTTTGCCAAATTTGGAAATCCGACTCCTGATAAGAATGATAATTTGCTGAAAGTTGTGTGGAAACCTATGAGGAATGATAGTGTTGATTTTCTGGAAATTGGGAAAGAATTAGAGGCCAAGTCGAATCCGGTGACTGAAAGACTACTGATCTGGAAGCAGGTGTTTGCCGAAAGTCCAGCTGGAAAGAAACAAAATGTTACTATTTATTTGAGGGGCTCCAAATAAATATTTTTCAATATAGTGATTTATAGGTATTGAATTTTGAGGAATACAGGATCTTGGAAAAATTTCGAATTTCAATATTATCCCGGCGAATCCACCATTTTGTCACTTGAAATTTAATGAAAAATTGAAACATTAAAATTTTATACACACACCACTAAAGGTCGATTTATAATCTTGCCGTTGCTGTTCGCCGTTGACGTCGCCGTGCAAATCATCACAAATCGATTTTCCACTCACGCTCCGCCCCTCGGTCTGACAACGAATGAAAATTCATCACTATTGAGATCGAGACGGATGGGTGGGGCTTCTCTTTTGTTTTTTTTTTAATTCATACTTTTAGTTTTCTTTGTATAACACGATTACTTAAGAACCTATTTCACATGGTGATTTCTCGTAGAAGAATAAAGATTTTACAATTAAGCTCTGCCCCCTAGCTTACGACGAATAAAAAAAAATAATCAGAATTAGGATAGGGTAGGTGGGTGGGGCTTACATGTTTTAAGTGTCATGTTGTGAAAAGAAGTCTACACATATTAAAAGAAAAAGGCAAAATGTAAGCCCGCCCACCCGCCCTGTCTCAATTGTGATGATTTTTTTTATTCGCCGTAAATCAAGAGGGCGGAGCTTAACTACAAAATACCTATTTCTTCACAAGAAATTAAAAACATGTTTTTCAGTATCGTGTTGTTCAAAGAATACCATGTGCATTAAGAAAAAAAAAGCAAAATATAAACTTGGTGAGATAAGACTGATTTTGGCAAATCACGTATTCTCTAAGAAAATAGAGGGCGGGTAGGCGGGGCTAATACCTGTTTAAATATGACCGATTTTGGCAAATGACATAGTCTCTCGGAAAGTAGAGGGCGGGGGGAGGGGGCTGGGGCTAGAAAATGATTTCATGATTTCCACTAATTTTCGAAAATAGTTCAATGGTCAAGTGCCAAAATTTATTTTATCTTATGAAGTACTAGCTCCGCCCACCCACCCTCTGTTTTCTTTGAGGGCATGTGATTTGTCAAAATCAGTTTTATCTTATCAAATACTTGCCCCGCCCACCCACCCTCTATTTTCTTGGAGGGCATGTGATTTGCCAAAATCAGTCTTATCTTAGCAAGTACTAGCTAGCTAAGATAAAACTGTTTTTGGCAAATGACAAACCCCTAAGAAAAAAGAGGGTGGGTGGGGGGGGCTAGTAGCTCCTAAGATAAAACTGATTTGGCAGTTGATATACCCTCTAAAAAAAGAAGAGGGCGGGTGGGTGGGTGGTGCTAGTAGGTGCTAAAATTAGACCGATTTTGGCAAATAACATACCATCTAAGTAGTCTCAATTGTGATGATTTTTTTATTCTTATTTTCTTTTTTTAATATATTAGTATTCTATGGACAACATGATACTCAAAGACATGTTTTTAATTCCCTCGCAGAGGAATTAGGATTTTGCAGTTAAGCCCCGCCTTCTTGGCTCACGATGAATAAAAAAATCATCACAATTGAGATAGGGCGGGTGGGCGGGGCTACATTTTGCCTTTTTTTTCTTAATATGTGCAGACTTATTGCGACAACAAGAAACTTAAAACATGTCTAAAATGGTAAATTTGTATAGGGAATGAAAAATTCATGAAATAGTAATAGCCTAATTGCAAAATCGATATTTCCTTGTACAAATTTTCCATTTTACACATGTCTTAAGTTTCATGTTGTGAAAAGAAGTGTGCATATATTAAAACAAAAAGTCAAAATGTAAGCCCGCCCACCCGCCCTATCTCGATTGTGATGATTTTTTTATTCGCCATAAACTATGGGGGAGGATCTTAATTGCAAAATACTTATTTTCTTACAAGAAATCAAAAATATGTTTTTGAATCTCGTGTTATTCAAAGAATACCATGTATATTAAAAAAAAAGCAAAATATTAACCCCGCCCACCCACCCCATCTCAGTTGTGATGATTTTTTTTAATTCTTATTTTTTTTCTTAATATATTAGTATTCTATGGACAACACGACACTTAGAAACACGTTTTTAATTCCCTCGCAGAGGAATAAGGATTTTGCAGTTAAGCTCCGCCTTCTTGCCTCACGACGAATAAAAAAAATCATCACAATCGAGACAGGGTGGGTGGGCGGGCCTACATTTTGCCTTTTTTTTTCTTAATATGTGTAGACTTATTTCGACAACAAGAAACTTAAAACATGTCTAAAATGGTAATTTTGTAATAATCAACTTAAATCCACCACACAAGGTGACTATCAGCGGCAACTTGGCAACGTAGTTTATAAATGACAATTTTCAGCTGTAAAAGCAACGTAAACGGGAACTTCAACGTCAACAGCAAGTTTATAAATCCTATTTAATTAGTTCTTGAATTGTAGGTTATGCAACACAATATACACGTTTAAAATTTGTTCATTTGTGAAAAAAGTTATGTAACATCGGAAATTAGTTGTATTTATTATAAATAATATAAGAAGAACATTAATCACAATTTTTAAAATCCTAAGTTTTTAAATCTCGACAATATTTGATTTAGCCGATTTTTTATTACGTTGCACCTTGTTATCAGTAATATAGCATTCATGTATTCAACCTGTATCATTGTACAATTACGTGGTTGTTTATAATTTTTATAATCACAAGAACTGACAATATAACGATACCACAAGATTGTATTGTCGTTAGATAATAATGTTATGTTGTTATTAATTTTACGACATATCTCACACAATATTGATATCGTTTGCAGACAGATATTGTGTCGAAAACAGAAACAAAATAACTGATTCTATAGTTGTTTGGATGACTAATATCCGTGGGTTGATAAAGTTGTCAAAAAAAAAAAGTTAATGGCATTCAATTGGTATAAAACGTACAAAAAACAAGTTCAAAACGTTTCAGTTTCGATATTATTTTGTTTATTCTGTCGTACAATTGAATGATCATGTTTCTGAGCTCAAGGTTAACCCGAATTGAACTGTCCTTCCCAAGACAAATTTTTCTACCTGAATGAGAAAAACATGTTTACTTATGTGTATCGTGCTAAGTAAATAAGATATCAATTTAGATTAAAAATAATCATCAACGGTTTTTTGGCATTTCATATTTGAGTGTCATGTGACAAGTGGAGCCTTGCGTGCCGCCCCACACTCTGTCCTTAACAGACGATGGCTCAACCCGAAGTTACAATCTCTCAAGGAACCCTCCGTGGTTCTACAGGTACTGATCTCCGTGGCAACCCGTTCCTGAAATTCCAGGGAATTCCCTATGCCAAACCTCCACTAGGTGATCTTAGATTCAAGGTAAACAGTTTTACTAAATCCGTTTCACTTAAACATTTACACAAAATTTAGGCCCCCGTTCCTCCCGAAAAATGGACCAGTGTGTTCGACGCCACCAAAGAAGGCAGTATTTGCTACCAGCGAGACGTTATCAAAAAGGACGTCATCGCTGGAACCGAAAACTGCTTGGTCCTGAACGTCTACACGAAAAAAGTAGGTAAAAAATAGTCCCGGTCTGCCAAAAATCGAAAAGTTTTAGCTCCCCAAAGACGAAAAAGATCTGCGTCCGGTCATGTTCTGGATCCACGGTGGAGGGTTCGTTTGGGGGCACGGCGGCGAAGACCTCTACGGTCCCGATTTCCTGATTACCGAAGACGTGGTTGTGGTTACCATCAATTATCGTCTGGGTCTTTTCGGGTTTATCAGTTTTGACGATCCGTCTTTGGAAATACCAGGGAACGCCGGGTTGAAAGACCAAGTCATGGCTTTACGATGGGTCCAGAAGAATATTGCCAAGTTTGGCGGGGATCCTACTAATGTTACCATCTTTGGCGAGAGTGCTGGTGGTGCTTCGGTGCATTTGATGGTACTGTCACCTCTAGCCAAGGGGCTTTTCCATAAAGCTATAGCCCAGAGTGGGTGTGCTATAAATCCATGGGTTCGAGCGACCAAAGGGGTGGAACGTGTGGCTGAAGCAATGGGGCTTGAAGGGGCAGAGGATAGGACCGTTTTTGACGCTCTAGTGAAGAAATCAACTGAAGAGATTTTCGAAATTCAAAGAAAAATGGACGAGGAAATAATACCCTACAAACCCAGATACATAGGTTTAGTCCTAGAAACAAACTCGAAGGAAGCGTTCATGGTTGAAGAACCCATTAAAATCATGATGTCTGGTAGCTTTAACCACGTACCATTCATGACTGGGTGCTGCGCTCTAGAAGGCGCGGTTTTCGACCTGCTGACAAAACCGACAAAACCTGAGGCCCCAAATTTCGAGGAACTTATTCCATGGTACTTTGGTTATAAATTTGCTTCTCCCGAATCTAAAGCCGTGGCTGCCAAATTAAAACAACTTTATCTCGGGGACGAAGAATACTCCCGGAAGCTTCTAAGAAAGAAATACGACGTTAGTATCACACACGAGTTTACCCAAAAATCAATCTTCCTTTCCAGGTTTTGACTGACATTCAATTCATTTATGGTACCTACGTTACCATAATGACTCAATTCCCTGTTTCCAAAGCACCCACTTATCTCTACCGGATGTCCATCGAAACCAACCTGAACTTCTTGAGGAAACTTCTGAACTTGCAAATTCCTGGTGCGTTGATGTGTCTTCAGAAAACGTGTTTTGATGTATTTTTCAGGGGTTTGTCATTGTGACGACATTGGGTACCTGTTCAAGCATTTTGCCACTCCAGAAATAGTACCGGGTAGTGTTGAAGACGTCGGTTTAACTCGGTTCGTCAAGTTGTGGACCAATTTTGCCAAATTTGGAAACCCGACTCCTGATGACAAAGACGATTTGTTGAAAGTGGTGTGGAAACCGGTAACGGATGCCAACGTGGATCTCCTTGACATTGGGAAAGAATTAGTTGCCAAGTCAAACCCGGTGACTAAACGAATTCTGCTCTGGGAGCAGGTCTTTGCTGACAGTCCAACTGGAAAAAACCAGAAAAGCGGTACCAAATAAATGTCTTTGATACAAAATAAACGAACATTTAGAAGTTTGTTGTTTTATTTTAGTACTTACGTAGTACTTGAGTGAACACACGCAGTAAACCATAAAAGATATGTATTTAGCAAACAGGCAATCGACGTCACGCAAATACATTTTTACGTTACAATGATTACCATGTTGCTGTAATTACTGTGTTTACTACTACGTTGGTAACAATAAACAACTGTGCAAAAAAGTGCAGTAAAAATCAACCACACGCAAATAAATAATTCCAAAGTCGCTAGTTGCATTTAATTGCACTGTAATTCCACCATTACGTTACATAACAACTGCATTAGAAAAAATTAAGTATGACTGTTAAAACAAGCCGCAGATATAATGAGTCAACAAGAAATTCTGCCGACAGTACGATGGTACTACCTAAAGTAACAATCGAACAAGGAACCCTTCGCGGTTCCACCGCCACAGACATTCGCAAGAATGCCTTCTTCAAGTTTCAGGGTATCCCGTACGCGAAACCACCACTTCAAGACTTACGATTCAAAGTACTATCCACTTAACCCTAACACTTTTCACGAAATCCCATTCCAGGCACCCGTTCCTCCCGAACACTGGCCAGGAATTTTAGACGCAACCAAGGAGAGAGAAGCTTGCTACCAAAAAGACATTTTCAAAGACGACGGCTACTTCGGGAGCGAAGACTGTTTGTACTTAAACGTCTACACCAAAAGAGTAAGTACTTTGATTGAAATCCACCAAAAAACGCAACATTGTAGCTCCCAACAACCAACAAAGAACTACAACCTGTGATGTTCTGGATCCACGGAGGCGGATTCATTGCGGGTTCGGGCAGCGAAAACTTGTATGGTCCCGAGTTTTTGATCACCAATGGGGTGGTACTAGTGACGGTAAATTACCGCCTTGGGTTACTCGGTTTCATCAACTTTGACGATCCTTGTCTCGACGTACCAGGAAATGCGGGTTTGAAGGACCAAGTGATGGCTTTGAAGTGGGTCCAGAAAAATATTAGTGCTTTTGGGGGCGACCCCAACAATGTGACCATTTTTGGGGAAGGAGCGGGTGGTGCGTCGGTCCACCTATTGATGCTGTCGCCCTCAGCTGCAGGTCTTTTCCATAAAGCGATAGCTCAAAGCGGGTGTGCGTTAAATCCGTGGGTACGTGGTACCAAAGGTACTAAAAGAGTGGCGGCAGCTCTAGATTTACAAGAATCTGACGAGAAAACCATCTACAACGCGTTAATGACGAAACCGGTCGAAGAATTGTACACCATTCAAGAGAAAATTGTCGATGTAAGTAAAACCTAGCAACAAAATCCTCTGAAAATAGTTTTCAGAGTTTGAACGCCAGCGAAATTAGACCTTTCGGTATCGTCTTGGAGAAGAATTCGAAAGAACCGTTTCTGGTCGACGAACCTTTAGCCATCATGTCGTCTGGAAACTTCAACCAAGTACCCTTTATAATCGGGTACACGCTAAACGACACAACATATTCCAAAATTTTCCAAAAATTTGTCAACCTTGAAGGGGGTAACGTTGAAAAAGCAATCCCTTGGAACTTCGGGTACAAATACGGGAGTCCTGAGGCAGACGCCGCAGTTAAAAAAATCAGCAAATTTTATTTCGACAATCAAGAGTACTCAGGAAAGATCGACAAGTTTGACGTTAGTGTTTATTAAATAGCTTCTTGGTGTGACCTTTTCGTTGCAGTTGTGGTCAGACTGTCACTTTATTTATGGAATTTACGTCACTGTAATCACTCAGGTCAAAGTCTCCCAACAACCGATTTTCCTCTACAGGGTCACCGTAGAAACCGACTTAAACTTGTTTAAAAACAAGGCGGTTAATAAACCTGGTAGGTTTCTGGGTTTCGATTTCTTGTACTCAGTCTGTTTGTAGGGACTTTTCAAAGCAATGACGTCAACCACCTTTTCGAAAATTTTGCCACCCCGAAAATCCGGCGCGGGAGCTTGGAGGACATTTCGGTGTCCAGATTCGTCAGGTTGTGGACGAACTTCGCCAACTATGGAAACCCGACACCTGAAGATGCCACCGACGTGCTCAACATAGTATGGAAAGCTGTGACTGGACCGGATCTCGATTTTCTGGACATCGGTCAATACCTAGTACCTATGGTCAACCCCGACCAAGAAAGAATCGCGTTTTGGAAAAATCTGTTTGCTGACAGTCCAGCTGGACAGAAATTGACATGACATGTATTATTAACTAATCTAAAAATAAATGCATTTCTGCAACTTGGAAAAATCCATGTATTCCTCGTGCCAGATCCGATAAAAGATAACAGATTTTGCGTTATCGGTGATAAGAGAAACACGAGGCTTCTATCGAAAACTGTTGACAATAGAGCCGCTGTCAATAAAAAGCGCAAGTTCTGATCAAAATCGCTCAGTGTCAAGGTTGCCAGAGAAAATATGGTCCGGCCTGAGGTAACAGTAGACCAAGGGACGCTTCGTGGTTCCGTAGGGACAGACTTGCGAGGGGATAGTTTTTTTAAGTTTCAAGGGATTCCGTACGCCAAACCGCCGCTCGGTGAACTAAGATTCAAGGTAAAAGTCATCCCGAGATTTCAAATGTTACTTGATAATTTTCAGGCACCGGTTGCTCCAGATCCATGGACTGGAACCCTGGACGCAACTAAAGAGGGAGAGGTTTGCTACCACAGAGACCCTTTTAAACCCGGAGGACCCTCGGGAAGCGAAAACTGTCTATTTTTGAACGTCTACACCAAAAAGGTATGCACTCTTATTTTTCGTTTTTATACCCAAAATGGAAGTAGCTTCCAGGTGTTGGCAACCACAAACCGCGCCCAGTGCTCTTCTGGGTACACGGAGGGGGTTTCTTTTTCGGGTCAGGAAACGAAGATCTATACGGACCTGATTTTCTGATAACCGAAGACATAGTTCTAGTCACTTTTAATTACCGTCTAGGAATATTAGGTACTTGTTCGACAAACCAAACTCTTGTGTTGACCAGTTCGTTTCAGGTTTTGTCAATTTCGAAGACCCTTCGTTGGGAATACCTGGAAATGCAGGTTTTAAAGATCAAGTGATGGCTTTGAAGTGGGTCCAGAAGAATATTAGCAAGTTTGGTGGCGACCCACACAATGTGACCATCTTTGGTGAAAGCGCGGGTGGTGCTTCCACCCATTTGTTGGTACTGTCACCCATGACGAAAGGTCTTTTTCACAAAGCGATTGCCCAAAGTGGGTGCGCTCTTAACCCATGGCCGCGAGGGACCAGAGGTTGCAAGCATCTAGCCCCATCTATGGGACTCGAAGGTGCCACCGAAAAGACGATTTATGACACTTTGATGACGAAATCGGTCGAAGAGATTTTTGAAATTCAACACGATTTGATGAAGGTAGTTACTAAAGTGTGGCGACTTTTTTACAGGGGGTGTTTTAGAGGTCGGGACCTTGTGAACACAGACCTTTGGGTTACGTAATTGAACGCAGTTGTCCCGAAGCTTTCATAGATGACGAACCAATGAAACTTATTTCGTCTGGTAGATTCAACCAAGTGCCTTTTATGCTGGGTTTCACGACAGCGGAAGGCATGCTTTTTGATCTTTTTTTCAAAGAACTGGGTGATATTAGAGAAATAGTTCCGTGGTCGTTTGGGTATGAGGCGGACGCTCCCGAAACCGATTTAGTGGCGCATCGAATTCAGGAGTTCTATTTTGGTGATGAAGAATACTCTTCGAAAATTGTCAGCAAGAAATACGACGTTAGTGGAGGTTTGAAACGAAATCTGGTTTTGATTTAGTTGGTTGTAGATGTTTTCTGACTGTCATTTTATTTATGGGATTTGTACGACTGCGCTGGCTCACGCTTCGGTTTCGAAAACCCCAACCTACTTGTATCGAGTGTCAATTGAAACCGAACTAAATTTTTTGAAGAAATTTTTGAAAATTCAAGTACCTGGTAAGTCGATAGTTAACTCAATCCACGTTTTATCATCGTCGATCTTAGGAGTTTCTCATCTCGATGATGTTGGTTACTTGTTTAAAAACATTACCACTCCAGAGATAGTACCTAATAGTATCGAAGACACTTCTGTTAGAAGATTCGTAAAATTGTGGACCAATTTCGCTAAAATTGGAAACCCAATCCCTGGCCAAAACGACCCTTTGTTGCCCACGGTCTGGAAACCTGTCACTAATGAGAATCTGGATTTCTTAGACATCGGCAGAGATTTAGTACCAAGGAGAAATCCGTACCCTGACAGAATGAAGTTTTGGAAGCAACTATTCGCCGAGAGTCCAGCTGGACAGGGAAAACCAACGTAAACATGTATCTCCAAGTTTTGTCATTTTTATTGTAACCAACAAGTATCAACATAAATAAAGCAAAAATAATCCCGTCAACATTTTTTAAACATACCTGCAATAAATGAGATAAGTTATCAACGATAACAATAAAAAAGAACGATATAAGTAGTGCTGAGTAAGTGAATAGTAGTGCTTGACGTGAAAATGGTCGAACCTACTGTAACCCTAAACCAAGGAACCCTTCGTGGTTCCACAGCCACGGACCTTCGGGGTAACCCTTTCTTGAAATTTCAAGGGATTCCGTACGCCAAACCACCACTGGGTGAACTACGATTCAAGGTAACTGCGTAACTATAGGTTAACCAGTACTGACGGGTGTTGCAGGCACCTGTCGCTCCCGAACCCTGGACGGGAGTCTTCGATGCCACTAAAGAGGGAGAAGTGTGCTACCACAGGGACCCGTTGAAACGAGGAGCAATTTCCGGGGGAGAAAACTGCCTATTTCTGAACGTTTTCACCAAAAAAGTACGTACTTTGTCGGTACTATCTATATATAAATCGTGAATAGCTTCCAGCCGATCAAAACAAGGCTCTACGACCCGTGATGTTCTGGATTCATGGTGGCGCCTTGATTTTTGGGTCCGGCAATGGCGATATGTACGGACCTGAGTTTCTGATGACTGAAGATATAGTACTGGTCACTATCAACTACCGCCTAGGGATTTTAGGTACTCTTTATGTTATAGTGTGAAGATTTATTCACTCCGTTTCAGGGTTTGTCAGCTTCGAAGACCCCTCTTTAGAAATACCAGGAAACGCAGGCTTCAAAGACCAAGTCATGGCTTTGCAATGGGTGCAAACCAACATCAGCAAGTTTGGTGGGGACCCAAATAATGTAACGATTTTTGGGGAGAGTGCGGGCGGTATTTCGGTTCACCTTCTGGTACTCTCACCCATGGCCAAGGGTCTTTTCCACAAAGCGATAGCTCAGAGTGGTTGCGCTTTGAACCCGGGTGTGGAGGCAAGTACCGGTTGTACTGTTTTGGCAACCACTATGGGTCTAGACGGAGCAGACGAAAAAACAATTTATAACACCTTGATGGGAAAACAAGTGGAAGAGATTTTCGAAATTCAAGAAAAAATGCTAAAAGTAGGGGTTTAGTGAGTGTTGACGATTTTTGATGGTGATGTTGTAGGATGTGGTACCTTGTCAACGGAGACCTTTGGGTTGTGTGGTTGAGAAAAACTCGCCTAACCCGTTTTTGGATGACGAGCCTAGGACTATTATGAAGACGGGAAGGTTTAATAAAGTGCCTTTTATGCTAGGGTTTACGACTGGGGAAGGGATGCTCTTTGATCTTTTTGGTGGAGGGGTTAGTGATTGTGAAAGCGTGATACCTTGGTATTTTGGGTATGAACATGGTCAACCAGACACTAAGATTGTGGGTGAACAAATTAAGAGGTTTTATTTTGGGGATGAGGACCTGTCTCCGACGACTAAAGCCCAGAAATATGATGTAAGCAAACTGATTAAATATTTTTGGGGTTAGTTGGGTGTGGTAGATGCTTTCAGATGCCCATTTTATATATGGAATGTATGTGACCATTTTGACCCAATATTCGAAATCGGACGCCCCCACGTACTTGTATAGAATGTCGGTAGAAAGCGAACTAAACATTCTGAAAAAAGTTCTAAAAATTGAAGTACCCGGTATGACGGTACTTGTTCATTTCCAGTATAACCATTCCGACTTTTAGGGGTTTGCCACATTGACGACATTGGTTACTTGTTTAAGACCTTCATCACCCCGGAGATCAAATCCGGTACTATTGAAGAGACTTCAGTCAATCGGTTTGTTAAATTGTGGACCAATTTTGCCAAATTTGGAAACCCAACCCCTAACAAGAAAGATTCTTTGTTGACGACGGTCTGGAAACCTGTCACTAACGAAAATCTAGATTTTTTAGACATCGGCAGACTTTTAGTGGCCCGAAGAAATCCCTACGCGGATAGAATGAAATTTTGGAAGAACTTATTCGCACTCAGTCCAGGTGGCCAGAAAAAGTCGAAGTAAACGTGTCCTTCAGGTTTATTCTTAGTTCACACGTCATAGACCTCATTTGTCACTTTTCTATTGTAACAAAGTTGCACTCCTAATACAAGTAAAACAAAAATAATCCATAGTTTTTTTTTTAAACACTCTATTATAAACAAGATAAGCAAGATAACTAAGTATATAAGTTTGACGACGATCATAAATTTTGAAGTGTGAAATGGGTGACCCTATAGTAACCCTAGACCAAGGAACCCTTCGTGGTTCCACCTCCACAAACCTTCGTGGACAAGTTTTCTTCAAGTTTCAAGGGATTCCGTACGCCAAAGCACCTCTGGGTCAGCTAAGATTCAAGGTAAATTTATAGCCAAGTTAGCCCGAATTCAACTACGTTTTAGGCACCTGTACCCCCGGAACCTTGGACCGGGGTCCTCGATGCCACTAAAGAGGGACAAATTTCTTACCAAAGAGTCCCTTTCCAAAAAGGAATGGTCTGCGGGGGAGAAAACTGCCTGTTTTTGAACGTTTTTACAAAAAAAGTACCCACAGATGACCCAAATCCACCTTTACGACCCGTGATGTTTTGGGTTCATGGTGGTTTGTTCATTTCGGGTTCAGGCAATGAAGACTTGTACGGACCTGAATTTCTAATGACTGAAGATGTAGTACTGGTCACTATCAACTACCGTCTAGGCATTTTGGGTACTTAATACTATAGTGTGCAGATCCGTTCACTGTGTTTCAGGTTTTGTCAGCTTCGAAGACCCCTCTTTGGAAGTACCAGGAAACGCAGGTTTCAAAGACCAAGTCATGGCTTTGCAATGGGTCCAAACCAACATTAGCAAGTTTGGCGGCGACCCCAACAACGTGACCGTTTTTGGCGAGAGTGCGGGTGCTATTTCGGTTCATCTTCTGGTACTGTCACCCATGACCAAGGGTCTGTTCCATAAAGCGATAGCGCAGAGTGGGTATGCTTTAAACGCAAGTGCGCGTAGAGGTTGTACCCTTTTGGCGAAAACCATGGGGCTTGAAGGGGTCGACGACAAAATAATCTATGACACTTTGATGCAAAAGCAAGTGGACGAAATTTTTGAAATTCAAGAAAGAATTCTAAAAGTAGGTGACTATGAAGTTAGGGTTTTGCAACTGATTGGTGTTTCAGGAGATGGTACCTTGTCAACGTCGACTTTTTAGCTACGTGGTTGAGAAAAACTCGTCGAACCCGTTTTTGGACGAAGAACCCATAACTCTTATGAAGACGGGAAGGTTCAATCAAGTACCTTTCATGCTTGGGTTTACGTCAGGGGAAGGAATGCTTTTTGACATGTTTTCACGAACCATCAGCGACTTTGAAAGTGTCGTACCTTGGTACTTTGGATATGAACCTGGACACCCGGACGTTAAAGTTGTGGCTAATCAAATTAAGAAGTTTTATTTCGGGGATGAGGATATTTCTCCGACGACTAAAGCCCAAAAATACGACGTGAGCAACTTGATAAACATATTTAGGGGTATTTGACTATGTTGATTTTAGATGCTTTCTGATGCCCACTTTATATTTGGACTGTATACGACCATTTTGAGTCAATATTCCAATTCGAAAGCCCCAACATACTTGTTTAGAATGTCTGTAGAAAGCCGACTAAACTTTCTCAAAAATATTTTGAAAATTGAAGTACCAGGAGCTTGCCATCTTGACGATGTTGGTTATTTGTTTAAGAACTTTAGTACCCCGAAGATAGAACCCGATTCTCTTGAAGACATTTCCATCAGTAGATTTGTCAAACTATGGACCAATTTTGCCAAATTCGGAAACCCAACTCCCGATGAAAACGATACTTTGTTGAAGACTGTCTGGAAACCCGTCACTAATGACAATCTCGATTTCTTAGATATCGGTAGATTTTTGGTGGCTAGGAGAAACCCTTATAGCGACAGAATAAAATTTTGGAAGCAACTTTTCGCTGAAAGTCCTACTGGTCGAAAAACGCTAACCCCCTAACTGAAGACGTTTCTATTGTTATTATTATTGAAAATGGTGTGAAAAGATAATAAAGTCGTTACTCAGCTCAAATCTTGTTTTCTAATGACAAAAACTACAAGATATCTTATCAATCCTAAAATAAATTATATCAATGTGCTGAGGTCATGGTCAACTATAAGCTTTAAAACAAGTTTCCAATGTGTAACCTAGTAGAACAAACATGGCTGGCCCTGAAGTAACCTTAACCCAAGGTACGCTCCGCGGTACCACCTCGAGAGACATCCGCGGAAACCCTTTTTTTAAATTCCAAGGAATTCCGTACGCCAAGCCACCACTAGGCGATCTACGATTCAAGGTAAATTCAACTTGAAAGTACCCACAGTACTAAAATCTTGCAGGCACCCGTACCCCCTGAACCCTGGACCGGAATTCTTGACGCGTCTAAAGAAGGCCACGTTTCTTACCACAAAGACCTCCTCAGAAACAATACAATCTTCGGAGCCGAAGACTGCCTATTATTGAACGTTTACACCAAAAAAGTGAGTACTTAGTTGTCGTCGTGTGGTTGTAAAATCACCAAATGGGTTTCAGCTTCCAAGCAACGACAATAAAATTTTGCGTCCGGTACTATTCTGGATTCATGGAGGCGGCTTTTTCTATGGTTCTGGCAGCGAACAACTCTACGGTCCCGATTTTCTGATAACCGAAGACGTAGTAATCGTCACAATCAATTATCGTCTGGGGATTTTAGGTTTCGTCAGCTTCGAAGACCCCTCTTTGGAAGTACCCGGAAACGCAGGCCTTAAAGACCAAGTACTGGCCTTGAAATGGGTGCAAAAAAACATTAGCAAGTTCGGGGGGGACCCCAACAACGTAACCATTTTTGGTGAAAGCGCAGGTGGTGCGTCCGTCCATCTTCTGGTACTATCGCCCATGGCAGACGGTCTTTTCCACAAGGCGATCGCGCAAAGTGGGTGCGCGCTGAACCCATGGGCTCGGGGTACCACAGGTTGTAAATTTTTAGCCCCGGCTTTGGGGCTGGAAGGGGCTGACGAAAGAACCATTTACGAGGCTTTAAAGACAAAAACGTTGGAGGAGATTGGTCAAATACAAGATATAATCATAAAAGTGAAACTTCGAAAAGTGTGGCGAGTTTTTCGTCTAAATTGTGTGTTTCAGGAGTTCGTACCCAATGAACCTAGAGCTTTGGGTTTCGTGGTTGAAACAAATTCCGCACGAGCTTTTTTGGAAGAGGAGCCTTTAACTCTTATGTTGACTGGTAGATTTAAGCAAGTACCTTTTATGACAGGGTACACAAGTGGTGAAGGTATGATTTTCGAGATTCTACCAAGAGAAATTGTGGATTTCCAAGATGTAGTACCTTGGTCGTTCGAATATCGGCGTGATGCGCCCGAAACGAAGATCATTGCAGATAAAATTAAGAAATTGTACTTCGGTGACGACACTCCTTCGAAAAATATTAGCAAAAAATATGATGTTAGTACCTGGATGTCATTTAGATCTAGTTCTAATTCGAACATGTTTTATGGTAGCTGGTGTCCGACAGTCAAATCATCCACGGTCTGTACGTCACTGTGTTAACCCAGTACCCACTTTCTAAAGCCCCCATCTACTTCTATAGAATGACGGTTGAAACGGAACTCAATTTCATGAAAAAACTTTTGAAGATTGAAGTACCGGGTTGGTAATAAGAATTTTTTGATTCTGGTACCAGTCTTTAGGTTTTAGGGGTTTCGCATCTGGACGACATTGGTTACTTGTTTAGCCATTTTGCCACCCCAGAAATCAAACCTGGAAGCGTTGAAGACCTAAGTCTCAGTAGGTTTGTTAGGTTGTGGACCAATTTCGCCAAATTTGGAAATCCTACTCCTGATAACAGGGATCGACTTTTGAAAACTCTCTGGAAACCTGTTACAACTGCAAATGTTGATTTTTTGGACATCGGTAAAGAACTGGTTGTTTTGGACAATCCAGACTCCGAAAGAATGAAATTTTGGAAGCAGTTGTTCGACGAAAGTCCAGCTGGACAAAAAGCCAAGGTTTTAGCTTAAAGGTCATAAATATACATGTTTCTCTGATCTGACTTTTCTTTTTAACGTATTTACACATTAACCTGATTAGAGATAACAACGATAACAAAAATAAACAACGTGAACACTCTCTACTAATCAATTTTATTCGTAAGAAGCGATATTTCGGTCAAATTTCTTAATAAAGCAAGAATGGTACCACCCGAGCTAACTATAGACCAAGGAACCCTTCGTGGTTCAACGTCCACGGATCTTCGTGGTAACACCTATTTCAAATTCCAAGGAATCCCCTACGCCAAACCCCCACTCGGTGAACTACGCTTCAAGGTAAAGTCACAATCATACGAAGTACCAGAAGTGGAAGATTTTTACAGGCACCTGTTCCCGCTGAACCATGGACAGGCGTCTTCGACGCCACTAAAGAAGGCCAGGTTTGCTACCACAGAGACCTTTTCAAAAACGGGGTACTTTCCGGAGGCGAAGATTGCTTATTTCTGAATGTTTACACCAAAACGGTGAGTACCTTGTAGCTTGTTTCGTCTACAGAAAGTCGATTTTAGCTCCCCAGCAACGACAATAACGTTTTGCGTCCTGTACTCTTCTGGGTTCACGGTGGTGCCTTCTACATGGGTTCAGGGAACGAAGACTTGTACGGGCCCGATTTCCTAATAACCGAAGACGTAGTGGTTGTCACTATAAACTATCGTCTAGGGGTTTTAGGTTTTCTTAGTTTGGAAGACCCGTCCTTGGACGTACCCGGCAATGCGGGGTTCAAAGACCAAGTACTGGCTTTGAAGTGGGTGCAAAGCAACATTAGCAAGTTTGGTGGGGACCCAAACAATGTAACGATTTTTGGGGAGAGTGCGGGTGGTGCTGCCATCCACTTGTTGGTACTATCACCCATGACCAAAGGCTTGTTCCACAAAGCGATTGCTCAAAGTGGGTGTGCGTTGAACCCGTGGGCTCGAGGAACCACAGGCTGCGAATTTTTGGGACCGGCTTTGGATATTGAACCCTCCGACGAAAAAACCATCTACAACACCTTGATGACGAAATCGGTTGACGAAATTTTTGAAATTCAGGAAACTTTCATGAATGTATGAACGAACGTCGCTTTGAGAGGTCCTCAAGAATATGTTTTTAGAATTTGGTACTGAGTGGACGTGGAGCTGTAGGTTTCGTGGTTGAGAAAAATTCGCCAGACCCGTTTCTGGATGACGAACCCATGAATATTATTACTAGTGGTAGATTTAACCAAGTTCCTTTTATGGTGGGGTACACGACAGGCGAAGGGATGATTTTCGATCTTATGGCAAGACAACTTAAAGATTTCAGAGATGTAGTACCTTGGTTGTTTGGATATCAGCGGGACGCTCCCGACACACAAACCGCAGCTGACAAAATTAAAAAGTACTACTTAGGAGATGGCGAAATTTCTCCAGAAACTGTCAGCCACATGTACAATGTCAGTAGGTGCGAAAAATTTTCCCTTTCTGAAGTTTCCAATTCTAGTTGTTCACAGACGTCCAGTTTCTTTATGGTATATACGTGACTGCAATAAGTCAGTGCGCGGTTTCTAAAGCCCCAACCTATTTGTATCGAGTGTCGGTTGAAAGCGACCTCAATTTTATGAAGAAGTTTCTAAAAATTGAAGTACCAGGTTGGTGGAATTTTACTAATGCGTGGTACTACCAATTTAGATTTTAGGAGTGTCACATCTTGACGACGTGGGGTACTTGTTTAAACATTTTGCCACCCCCGAAATCAAACGTGGAAGCTTTGAAACCCTGTCGATTGGTAGGTTTGTCAAATTGTGGACCAATTTCGCAAAATTTGGCAATCCTACTCCTGACAACAAAGATCGACTTTTGAAAACCGTCTGGAAACCTGTTACAAGTACGAAAGTTGATTTTCTAGACATTGGTCAAGACCTAGTTGCTATGGTAAACCCAGACCACGAAAGAATGAAGTTTTGGAAGCAACTGTATGACGAAAGTCCAGCTGCACAAATAAATAAATAAACCATTTGGAGTAAAATTTGTCTCTGTGTTGCTGACCCGATTTGATGCATTAAATCCTTGAAACAAGAGTTGATAAGATAACTTTGTTGTTGTTTAATCGTAGATAAAATAAACACGACGAAGTTTCTCTGTTAATCGAGTAAAAATGGTACCACCTGAGCTAACTATAGACCAAGGGACTCTTCGCGGTTCCACGTCCACGGACCTTCGTGGTAACTCCTTTTTCAAATTCCAAGGAATCCCCTACGCCAAACCACCCATCGGTGAACTACGCTTCAAGGTAAACCCACAATCGTACGAAGTACCAGAAATGGAAGATGTTTCCAGGCACCTGTTCCCGCTGAACCATGGACAGGCATCCTCGACGCCACTAAACAAGGCCCGGTTTGCTTCCACAGGGACCCTCTCCGCAAAGGGTTAATTTCTGGAAGCGAAGACTGCTTATATTTGAATGTTTACACGAAAACAGTGAGTACTTGGTACCATTTTGTATCAATCTAACCTAGATTTAGCTCCCAGACCATGCAAATACAACTTTACGCCCCGTCCTGTTCTGGGTTCACGGTGGTGGCTTTTACTTTGGTTCAGGGAACGAAGACTTGTACGGGCCCGATTTCCTAATAACTGAAGACGTGGTGGTTGTCACTATTAATTATCGTCTAGGGGTTTTAGGGTTTCTTAGTTTGGAAGACCCGTCTTTGGATGTACCTGGCAACGCGGGGTTCAAAGACCAAGTACTGGCGTTGAAGTGGGTGCAAAACAACATTAGCAAGTTTGGTGGGGACCCAAATAATGTGACGATTTTTGGGGAGAGTGCTGGTGGTGCTGCCATCCACTTGTTGGTACTATCACCCATGACCAAAGGCTTGTTCCATAAAGCGATTGCTCAAAGTGGGTGTGCGTTGAACCCATGGGCTCGGGGTACCACAGGTTGCGCTTTTTTGGGACCGGCTTTGGGGGTTGAACCCTCTGACGAAAAAACCATCTACAACATCTTGATGACGAAATCGGTTGAAGAAATTTTTCAAATTCAAGACATTCTAATGAGTGTAAGAAGGAATCGAGTTAAACGGTTCCTGTAGATTATATTTTGTAGGGGTTAGTACTGAGTGGACATAGACCTGTGGGTTTCGTCGTCGAGACGAATTCGTCCCAGCCGTTCCTGGATGACGAACCCATGAATATTATCACCAGTGGGAGATTCAATCAAGTTCCTTTCATGGTCGGGTACACAACAGGCGAGGGGATGATTTTCGATCTTATGCGAAGAGAACTTAAGGATTTTAGAGACGTGGTACCGTGGTTTTTTGGGTACGAGCGTGATGCTCCAGAGACCCGGACCATAGCCGACAAAATTAAGAAGTTCTACTTCGGAGATGACGAAGTTTCGCCAAAAACTGTCACCCAAAAATACAACGTTAGTAGATGAGAAAAATTTTCCAATTTTGACGTTGTTTCTAATTCTAGTGTCTCACAGACGTCCAGTTTCTTTACGGTATTTATGTCACCATAATAAATCAGGTTGCGGTTTCACAAGTCCCAACCTATTTGTATAGAATGTCGGTTGAAAGCGGTCTCAACGTTCTAAAAATTTTTTTAAAAATTGAAGTACCAGGTTAGTTGACTTTCATTAAATTTTTGGTACTATCATTGTAGTATTTTAGGAACGTCGCATTACGACGACGTGGGTTACTTGTTTAGACATTTCGCCACCCCAGACATAACTCCGGGTAGTACCGAAGATCTTTGTCTTACAAAAATCGTAAAGTTGTGGACCAATTTCGCAAAATTTGGCAATCCCACTCCTGATGTTAACGACCCTCGATTGAAAGCGGTCTGGAAACCTGTCACCAATACCTCAAACCTTGACTTCTTGGACATTGGCAAAGATCTAGTGGCTTTGGTGAACCCAGACCCCGAAAGAATCAATTTTTGGAAGCAACTCTTCTCCGAGAGTCCCGCCGCTCACAAAACCCACCACAAATAAAATCTTTGTACTTTGTTTGAACGAATAAAAGTTGAACTTTGACTATCAATCGTCTCTGTTTAATCAAGCCGCCCCATACCCATAACCGTAAAATTTAATCACCCATTAATTTTTTTGGATACTGGGTGGTATTTAAATGAAGCAGCCCTTGACAATTTTTAGTTGGGTGAAATGTCCAAGCCGGCGCCTGTGGTGACCATCAGTCAAGGGACCCTGAGGGGTTCCAGTGGTGTGGATATTCGCAGGAACACGTTTTGTAAGTTCCTGGGGATTCCGTACGCTAAGCCGCCTCTGGGGAGTTTGAGGTTTAAGGTAAATGTGGTGGTGTTGGTTGCGTTTTGGGTGATGGGTGATTTCAGGCGCCTTTGCCTCCGGAGAGGTGGGTGGGTGTGCTGGATGCTACGAAGGAGGGGGATCCCTGCTACCAGAGGGACTTTTTGAGGAATAAGGCCATTACTGGGAGCGAGAATTGCCTGGTTTTGAATGTTTATACGAAAAAGGTTAGTAGTAGGGTTATCACACGTGGCTAGATTATGAGATTTGGTTGGGTAATTTTAGCCTTTGGGAGTTTGGACTTTTATTAATTTGGCGTAATTGCTACACGATTATTTATTAGATCCACGTGCGAGTGAGTTCGCTTTTTTTTAATCTTGGTACTTGAATCTGATAAGTGTTTGTGGCAATTAACGTCGAGTGTTGCTTATCATTACTCACGTGTGCACTTTTTTTTAATAACTTTGTTTGTTCATTTTCATTTTTTGGTTCTTCACATTCTCGAACTTTCACTATTAGAGTTTTTTGACTTTTCAATTTTGACGATTTTATACTTTTGGAATTTACAATTTTTGGGTTTTCCAATTTTTCGATTCTATTCGTTTTTTCTTCTTTCCAATTTTGCGAGTCATTAAATTTTCGACTTTTAGTTTTTCAGTATTTCAGTTTTCCATTTCCTCATTTCTTCGATTTTCGATTTTTCGATTCTCCACTTTTTCGATTTTTTTTTTTCGTTTTTTTTTAGTTTTTTAGTATGTATTTAATATTTCGATTTTTGAATTTTTCGAATCAAAATCAGTGAAATTGCACAACTGTGAAATTAAAAAATCAAACACGGAAAAACGAAAAAGTGAAAACTGAAAAATCTAAAAATTGGAAATCCGAAAAAAAGTCGAAAAATCGAAACAGATAAATCCAGAAACTGAAATGTTAAAAAAAGGGAAATTGAAAACTTGAATAATCGAGAAATTTAAAAATGGAAAAGTCGAAAAACTTACAATTTAAATAATAGAAAAAAATTGAAAAATTGAAATTTGAAATACTGAAAAATTGAAGAATGGGTAATTTAAAATAAAAAAAATTTAAATATGTATCGAAAAACTCAAGAATCGAAAAATTGAAAAACCGAAACATCAAAATATCGAAAAATTAAAATTCAAAATTGAAAACTTGAAAAATCGAAAAACCTAAAAATCGAAAAGTCGAAGAATGTACAATTTAAAAAATCAAAAAATTTGAAAAAAAAATTGAAAATAGAAATTTTGGAAAACTGAAAAATTGAGGAATGGAAAAATTTTGAATTAAAAAAATTAAAACATCGAAAAACTGAAAAAATCGAAACAAAAAAATCGAAAAATTAAAATTAAAATTGAAAACTTGAAAAATCGAAAAACTTAAAAATAGAAAAGTCGAAAAATGTACAATTTATAAAATCGAAGAAAATTGAAAACTAGAAATTTCGAAAAACTGTAAAATTGAGGAATGGAAAAATTTAAAATTAAAAAATCGAAAAATTGAAAAACCGAAACATCAAAATATCAAAAAATTTAAATTCAAAATTGAAAACTTGAAAACTCGAAAAATCTAAAAATAGAAAAGTCCAAAAATGTACAATTTAAAAAATCGAAAAATTTGAAAAAAGAAAATTGAAAAATAAAAATTTTGAAAAACTGAAAAATTGAGGAATGGAAAAATTTTAAATTAAAAAAATTAAAATATCGAAAAACTCAAGAATCGAAAAACTGAAAAAATCGAAACATTAAGAAATCGAAAAATTAAAATTAAAATTGAAAACTTGAAAAATCGAAAAACCTAAAAATCGGAAATTCGAAAAACGTACAATTTATAAAATCGAAAAAAATTGAAAAATAGAAATTTCGAAAAACTGTAAAATTGAAGACTGGAAAAATTTAAAATTAATAAAGTTAAATTTTCGAAAAACTCAAGAATTGAAAAATTGAAAAAATCGAAACATAAAAAGTTGAAAAATTAAAATTAAAAATCGAAAACATGAAGAATAAAAAAACCCAAAAATCGAAAAGTTGAAAAATGTACAAATTATAAAATCGGAAAACTTGAAAAACAAACTGAAAAATAAAAAATTTAAGATCTGAAAAACTGAAAATAGAAATTTCGAAAAGCTGAAAAATTGAGAAATGGGAAATTTTAAAATTAAAAAAATTAAAATATCGAAAAACGAGAATCGAAAAATTTTTCGATTTTCGAAAAATCGAAAAGTCGGAAAACGCACAATAAAAAAATTCGAAAAAATTAAAAAAAAAGAACTTTCGAAAAACTGTAAAATTGGGGAATGGGAAAATTTGAAATTAAAACAATTAAAAAATCGGTAACTGCAAGAATAGAAAACTTGAAAAATCGAAAAACCTAAAAATCGAAAAGTCGAAAAATGTACAATTTAAAAAATCGAAAATTTTGAAAAAAAAATTGAAAAATAAGAATTTTGAAAAACTGAAAAATTGAATGGAAAATTTTTAAATTAAAAAAATCAAAATATCGAACAACTCAAGAATCCAAAAACTCGAGAATCGAAAAACTGAATAAATCGAAACAAAGAAATCGAAAAATAAAAATTAAAATTGAAAACTTGAAAAATCGAAAAACCTAAAACTCGGAAATTCGAAAAATGTACAATTTATAAACTTGAAAAAAATTGAAAAATAGAAATTTCGAAAAACTGTTTTGGGGAATGGGAAAATTTAAAATTAAAACAATTAAAAAATCGGTAACTGCAAGAATCGAAAACTTGTAAAATCGAAAAACCCAAAAATCGAAAAGTCGAAAAATGTACAATTCAAAAAATCAAAAAAATTGAAAAACAAACTGAAAAATAAAAATTCCAAAATTGGACAAATTGAAAAATGAAATTTCGAAAAACTGAAAAATTGAGGAATGGAAAAATTTTAAATTAAAAAAATCACAATATCGAAAAACTCAATCTAAAAATTGAAAAACCGAAAAATCAAAATATCGAAAAATTAAAATAAAAATCGAAAACTTGAAAATCGAAAAGTCGAAAAATGTACAATTTAACAAATCGAAAAAATTGAAAAACAAATTGAAAAATAAAAATTGAAAAATTCGAAGAATTGAAAAATTGAAATTTAGAAAAACTGAAAAATTGAGGAATTGAGAAATTTAAAAATAAAATATGGAAAAATTGAAAAATTGAAAAATAAAAATAAACGTCGGAAGCTTGAAAAAACAAAAAACATAAAAATCGAGAAAAGTCGAAATAAGTACATTTAAAAAAAAAGAAAAAATTGAAAAGTAAACTGAATAATAAAAATTTAAAAATTCAAAAAATTGTAAAATAGAAATTTCGAAAAATTGATGAATGGCGGAACATTTAAAAATTAAAAATCGAAAAGCCGGAAAATCGGAAAATTTTTCGGTCAACTGAAAAATCGGAAAATTAAAGATTCGAAAAAGTGAAAAATCGAGAAGTTGAAAAAGTCCAAGACTGAAATGAAGAAAATTAGGAAAAAAATCTGAAAGCCGAAACGTCGAAAAATCGAAACATTAAAGAATCGAAAAATTAAAATATCGACAGAAACTGAAATCTTGAAAAAAGGAAAATTGAAAACTCGAAAAATTGAGAAATTGCAATTTAAAAGATCGAAGAAATTGAAAAAACAAACCGAAAAATCAAAATTTAAAAATTCGAAAAGTTGCCAAATAGAAATTTCGAAAAACTGAAGAATGGAAAATTTAAAAATCGAGAAATCAAAACATCTCAAAAAAAAAGAGAATTGAAAAATCGAAAATTTAAAAATCCAAAAGCCGAAAAGTCGGAAAATCCAAAAATTGAGAGTTGAAAAAATTGAAAACTCGGAAAATTGAAGAGTCGAAAGAAAAACTGAAAAATGGAGAAGTTGAATAAGTCCAAGACTGAAATGAAAAAAAAAAAGTGGGAAAAAATGTAAAACCCGAAAAGTAAAAAAATCGAAATATCGAAATAATTATTGAGAAACTTAAAAATTGAATAAACGAAATATCTATTGTGCTGAAATATTGAAAATTAATGAAACTGAAATTGAATAATCGAAGATTGAAAATTTGAAAAAGTGAATAAACGAAAATTGTGCAATTTAAAGAAACATTGAGAAAATAAAAGAAATGAAAAAACGATATAAAATCGGGAAAATGCAAAACAAAAATCAAGAACTTGAAAAATTGAGGAAGCGATAAATTAAAAAATCGTAAAATTAAAAAAAGATAAAGTGAAAATTCAAAAAAATGAAAAATTGTAAGATCGACAAATTGTTAAGCAGAAAAATTGCAGAAAAATTGAAAGAATTGAAGTTGAAAAAATGAAAATTTATAATTTTTCGTTTTTCCGGAATTTTAAGTTTTTCAATTTTTGGTTTTTCAGTGTTTCAATTTTTCGTTTCTTCAGTTCTTCGATTTTCGGTTTTTCGATTTAGGAATTTTGCAACATTTCAAATAAAAAAAATAAAATGAAAACCAAAACCTAAAAAATACTAAAATGTAAATCTAGAACTTGAAAATTTGAAGAAACGAAGTATTCGAAAATCGAAAGATTAAAAATTGAGAAACTTAAAATCGAAGGAGACTGAAAATTTGAAAAATTAAAAAAACGAAAAATTGTGATATAAAATCGGGAAAAAGAAAATTAAAAATCGGGAAAATAAAAAATAAATTAATCAATTCAGTTAAATTGAGAAACTGAAAAATCGAAAAATGAAAAACTATAATTTCAATTAATTTCAAAAAGTCCAAAATCGAAAAAATGAAAATCGAAAAATTGAAAAGTTTGGAAGTAGAGAAACTGAAAAAATTAAAGTTGAAAAATCGAATAAAAAAATTGAAACGGTAATAATGAAAAATGGAAAAATTGAAAAATTAAAAACAATGAAAAAACAAAACACTCTAATATCAAAAAATTGTAAAATCGAACGAAAAAGAAAAACGAAAAATCGTGTTGTACAATTTTGATTTTTTCCCCAAAAGTCTGGGTGTCTAGGGTGTCTGATTTTATAAATTTAAAATAAAAATTATTATTTTTAATTTTGGAGATTTTTTGTTTTAAACTGTACTTTGGAAAGATGAGGATGACGTCATAAACAACTGGATGTACTTTGTATCGTGGAATGATTTTTATATTGACCTCGTAGCAAAAATTACAAACCATTAATTAAAGGTCAGTAGATCATAATAATTAGTGACTAACTTTTTTATCATAATTGATTTCAATTATTATTATCGTGACTCGATATCAAGATCAAATGTTGCAATCTTAAGGGTTTAATCTGACTGTATTACAAAATGCATTTTTTGTAGACATTCTAAATTATCTACTATTTTAATTATCGTCTTAAACCGATTAAAAATTGTCTTCCAGCTACCAAAACCCGGCGACGACCTCCGCCCCGTCCTCTTCTGGATCCACGGCGGCGGCTACGTCTTCGGCTCCGGAAGTCAAATAATGTACGGCCCTGACTTCCTCGTCACCGAAAACGTGGTCCTAGTCACCATAAACTACCGCCTCGGACTCTTAGGCTTCCTCAGCTTCGAAGACCCCTCCTTGGACATCCCCGGCAACGCCGCCCTCAAAGACCAAGTCATGGCCTTGAAATGGGTGCAAAAGAACATCTCCAAATTCGGCGGCGACCCCAACAACGTCACCATCTTCGGCGAAAGCGCTGGCGGGGCCTTCGTCCACCTCCTCATGCTGTCCCCCATGAGCAGAGGGCTTTTCCACAAAGCGATCGCCCAGAGCGGGTGCGCCCTAAACCCATGGGTGCGCGGGGTCAGAGGCTGCCACGTGGTAGCAGAAGCCATGGGTCTGCACGAGGCGGACGATCGTACCGTTTACAACGCCCTAATGCAGAAAACAGCCCAAGGGATTTTCGAGATCCAGGAGAAGATTCGAGATGTGGGTACGAGTGATGGGTGTGTAGCTGTCTAGATTGTGTGTTTGTAGAGGTTGTTGGCGAGCGAACTCAAACCATTTGGGGTTGTCATTGAGAAAAATTCAAGGGAAGCGTTTCTGGAGAAGGAACCTTTAGCTATGGTGTTAGCGGGGGATTTTGCTCGGGTGCCGCTGATGATGGGGTACACTGTGAATGAAGGTACTGCTTATGAGCTCTTCAAGAAACCGGAGCTTCCCGAGATGCCGCCTATTGAAAGTACCATTCCGTGGTACTTCGGGTATGACAATGACTCTCCTGAAGCACAGGTTGTGGCTGACAAGATCAAGGATTTTTACTTTGAGGGGAAAGAATATTCGAAGAAGACTCAATCCGAGAAGTTTACTGTAAGTACCGATGGTAGTACTTGTCGTGACTAAAAATACACTTGTAGCTTCTGACGGACGCCCACTTCTTACATGGTCTCTACGTGACGGTTATCAGTCACATCAACCACGCCAAATCGCCTCTCTATCTGTATAAACTCGTTCTAGAAACGAAGCTAAACTTCTTCAAAAATCTCCTAGATATTAAAGTACCTGGTAGGAACTTTTTTCGTTTGAATTATATAAATATTTTTTTGGTTTGCGTGGGTTTTAGGGCCGTACCACTGCGACGAAATCGGTTACCTGTTCAAAAATTTTACCACTCCAGTCATACGAACGGGAAGTGTCGAAGACATCTCTCTTCGGAAATTTCTGAGATTGTGGTCAAACTTTGCCAAGTTTGGGAATCCCACCCCCGAGGAGTACGACCCGTTGCTGCAGAGCGAATGGAAGCCAGTGACGGACACGAATCTTGATTTTCTCTACATTGGAAAGACTTTAACCCAGATGTCGAATCCCGATTCGGAAAGAATCAGCTTCTGGAAACAGCTGTTTAGCGACAGTCCAGCGGGAAAAATTGCCAATGGTTCTTTATGAATTTTTTTAGTATACATTTTGTACCAATTCTCGTTTAATGTGTTGCCTAACCATTTTATTTCGATGAAGTGGATACGATAAATTTTTATGTTGTAAAATAAATTAGATTAGATCTAAACAAACTGATATTTTTAATGTTTCTTAAATTTTATAAAATAAGATACTCCTATAATTGTGACGTATGAATGTTTGAGTTTTACCTTCCATGAACTTCCCTCGCTCCTGAAGTGGAATGAAACATATCCAGCGTTTGCGAAAAATTATAAAATTTGATTTTGCTCGACTAGGAACCGCGCCCTCCGCTACTGCCACGTGTTTCTGTGTGAGTTAGTAGTTTCACTGAAAGTAGCAAACACGTCAGATGTCCTCCATTTCCACTGTTTTATCGTACAATAGAATTTCTTGTCGAATTTTATTTTACACGTCATGGTACTGATATATAAATAACAGTGTCCAACGTAAGGTGGTTATGACACTTTCCGTCCTTCGTCATTTTCGTCTTTTTGTTACTTCGTCCTTCGTCCTTTTCGTCCTTTTCCTCCTTCGTCCTTTTCGTCTTCGTTCTCTTCGTCCTTCGTTCTTTTCGTCCTTCATCCTTTTCGTCCTTCATACTTTTCGTCCTTTTTTTCCTTCGTCCTTTTCGTCCTTCGTCCTTATCGCTCGTTTCTTCCTTCGTCCTTATCGCTCGTTTCTTCATTCGTCCTTTTCGTCCTTCGGCCTTTTTCGTGCTTCGTTCTTTTCGTCCTTCGTCCTTTTGGTCCTTCGTCCTTTTCGTCCTTCGTCCTTTTCGTCCTTCGTCCTTTTCGTCTTTCGTCCTTTTCGTCTTTCGTCCTTTTCATCTTTCGTCCTTTTCAACCTTCGTCCTGTTCGTCCTTCGTCCTTTTCGTCTTTCGTTCTTTTCGTCTTTCGTCCTTTTCGACCTTCGTCTTTTTTCGTTCTTCGTCCTTTTCGTCCTTCGTCCTTTTCGTCCTTTTCTTCCGTCGTCCTTTTCGTCCTTCGTCCTTTTCGTCCTTTTTCGTCCTCGTCCTTTTCGTCCTTTTTCGTCGTTTTGGTCCTTTTTCGTCCTTTTCGTCCTTCGTCCTTTTCGTCCTTTTGGGTTCTCTTTCGTCCTTATCGTCCTTTCTTGTCCTTTCGGTCCTTCTTCGCCCTTTTCGTCCTTTTTCATCATGTTGGTCCATTTTCGTCCTTTTTGTCCTTTTTCATCCTTTTTGTCTTTTACGCTTCTTTTGGTCCTTTTGGTCCTTTTTCATCCATTTCCTCATTTTTCGTCCATTTCGTCCTTTTTCGTCCTTTTGGTCCATTTTCGTGTTTTTCGTCCTTTTTCGTCATTTTTGTCCTTCTTCGTCCTTTTCGTCCTTTTTCGTCCTTTTGGTCCTTTTTGGTCCTTTTCGTCCTTTTTCGCCCCTTTTGGTCCTTTTTCGTTCATTTCGTCCTATTTTATCACTTTGGTCCTTTTTCGTCCTTTTGGTCCTTTTTCGTCCTTTTCGTCCTTTTTCGCCCCTTTTGGCCCTTTTTCGTCCATTTCGTCTTATTTTGTCACTTTGGTCCTTTTTCGTCCTTTTGGTCCTTTTTCGTCATTTTTCGTCCTTTTCGTCCTTTCTCGTCATTTTTCGTCTTTTATCGTCCTTTTCGTCCTTTATTGTCCTCTTCGTATTTTTCGTCATTTTTCGTCCTTTTCGTTTTTTTTTCGTCCTTCGTGGTTTTCGTCCTTTTCGTCCTTCATGTTCTTTTCATCCTTTTTCGTCCTTCATTGTCCTTTTCGTCCTCTTTCGTCTGTTTTCGTCCTTTTCCTCGCGGTTCGTCCTCTTTCGTCCTTTATTGCCCTGTTTCGTCCATTTTCGTCGTTATCCTCCTATTTCGTCCTTTTTGGTCTGTATTCGTCCTTTGTCGTCCATTTTCGTCTTTTTTCGTCCTTTTCGTCTTTTTTTGTCCTTTATTGTCCTTTTTGTCCTTTTTTCGTCTTTTTTCGTCTTTTTCGTTTTTTTTTGTCCTTCTTCGTCCTTTTTTTTCCTTTTAGTCCTTTTTCGTCCTTTATTGATCTTTTCGTCCTGTGCTGTCCTTTTTCGTCCTTGTTCGTTCTTTTTCGTCCTTCTTCGTCCCTCATTGTCCTTGTCGTCTTTGATCGTCCTTTTTCGTCCTTTCTCGTCATTTCTCGTCTTTTTCGTTTTTCTTCGTTCTTTTCGTCCTGTTTCGTCCTTCTTCGTCTTTTATCGTCCTTTTTGTGCTTTTTCGTCCTTTTCGTCGTCTTTCGTCCTTCTTCGTAGTTTTCGTCCTTTTCGTCTTTTTCCGTCCTTTTTTGTCCTTCATGTCCTTTTCGTCCTTTTTGGTCCTTCATTGTCCTTTTCGTCCTTTTTCGTCCCTTTTCGTCCTTGTCCTCTCGGTTCGTCCTTTTTCGTCCTTTGCGTCCTTTTTCGTTCTTCTTCGTCCTTTTCGTCTTTTTTCGTCCTTTTCCGTCCTTTTTTGTCCTTTATTGTCCTTTTCGTCCTTTTTCGTCTTTTTCGTAATTTTTCATCCTTTTCGTCCTTCTTCGTCTTTTATAGCCCTTTTTCGTCCTTTTTCGTCCATTTTCGTCCATTTTCGTCCTTTGTTGTTCTTTTTCGTCCTTCGTCCTTTTCGTCTTTCGTCCTTTTCCTCCTTCGTCCCTTGCATCCTTCGTCCTATTCGTTCTTCGTCCTTTTCGTCCTTTGTCCTTTCCGTCCTTCGTCCTTTTGGTCTTTCGTCCTTTTTCGTCCTTTTCGTACTTTTTCGTCCTTATTGGTCCTTTTGGTCCTTTTTCGCCCTTTTCGTCCTTTTTCGTCATTTTGGTCCCTTTTCGTCATTTTGGTCCTTTTTCGTATTTTTGGTCCTTTTTCGTAATTTTTGTTCTTTTCGTTATTTTCGTCCTTTTGGTAGTTTTTCGTCCTTTTCGTCCTTTTTCGCCCTTTTTGTCCCTTTTGGTCCTTTTTCATCCATTACGTCCTTTTTCGTCCATTTCGTCCTTATTCGTCCATTTCGTCCTTTTTCGTCTTTTTTCGTGCTTTTCCTCCCGTTTCGTCCTTTTTCGTCCTTTGTCGTCATTTTTCGCCCTTTTCGTTCTTTTTCATTTTGGCTCTTTTTCGTCTTTTTGGTTGTTTTTTCATATTTTTGGTCCTTTTTCGTTCTTTTCGTCATTTTATTCCTTTTTCGTCCTTTTCGTACTTTTCGTCCTTTTCGTCCTTTTTCATCCTTTTTGGTCCTTTTGGTTCTTTTTCGTCCATTTCGTCCTTTTTCGTCCTTTTCGTCCTTTTTCGGCATTTTGGTCCTTTTTCGTCCTTTTGGTCCTTTTTCGTATGTTTGGTCCTTTTTCGTCCTCTTCGTTATTTTCGTCCTTTTTCGTCATTTTGGTCCTTTTTCGTCCTTTTTTGTTCTTTTTCGCCCTTCCCCTCCCGTTTCGTTCTTTTTCGTCCTTTGCCGTCCTTTTTGTCCTCTGTCCTTTCCGTCCTTCGTCCTTTTTGTCCTTCGTCCTTTCGTATTTCGTCCTTTTGGTCTTTCGTCCTTCGTCCTTTCTGTCCTTCGTCCTTTTTGTTCTTCGTCCTTTTCGTCCTTTGCATCCTTTGTCCTATTCGTTCTTCATCCTTTTCGTTTTTTGTCCTTCGGCTTTTGCTTCCTTTCACCCGGAGATCCTTTCAAATTACTTCAAAAACAAGACAAGGGATGTTCTGTGGAATTGAGTATTCCGATGTTTTGAGGATTATGTTGTTTTGAGGATTTGAGATTCTGATGTTTTGATGATTGGAGGATTATGGTGTTCTGAGGATTTGAGGATAACGATGTTTTGTGGATTTGAGGATTATGGTGGTTTGGGGATTTGAGGTTTACGATATTTGAAGGATTTGAGAATTATTGTGTTCTGAGAATTTGAGGATTACGATGTTTTGAGGATTTAAGAATTATGAAGTTTTGAGGATTGAGGATTATGGTGTTCTGAGAATTTGAGGATTACGATGTTTTAAGGATTTGATGAGGATTATGAAGCTTTGAAGATTTGACGATTATGGTGTTCTGAAGATTTGATGATTTTGATGTTCTGAGGATTTGATGCTTTTGGTGTTCTGAGGATATGAAGATTAAGGTGTTCTGAGAATTTGAGGATTATGGTGTTCTGAAAAATTGAGGATTATGATGTTTTGCAGATTTGAGGATAACAACTTTCTGAGGATTTGAGGATTACGATATTTTGTAGATTTAAGGATAATGAAGTTTTGAGGATTTGAGACTTAAGGTGTTCTGGGATTTGAGAATTTCGGTGTTTTGTAGATTTAAGGAAAATGAAGTTGTGAGGATTTGAGGATAATGGTGATTTGGGGATTTAAGGTTTACCATATTATGAGGATTTGAGGATTATTGTGTTCTGAGGATTTAAGGGTTACGATGTTTTGACGATTTGAGAGTTATGGAGTTCTGAGGATTTGAGGATAACGATGTTTTGAGGATTTGACAATCACGACGTTTTGAGGATTTAAGAATTATGAAGTTTTGAGGATTTGAGGATTATGGTGTTCTGGGGATTTGAGGATTATAAAGTTTTGAAGATTTTAGGATTATGGTGTTCTGAGAATTTGAGGATTTCGGTGTTCTGAGGATTTGAGGATTACGGTGTTTTGGGGATTTTAGGATCATGGTGTTCTGAGGATTTGAGGAGTAGGGAGTTGTGAGAATTTGAGGATAACGATGTTTTGAGGATTTCAGGATAATGGTGTTTGACGTTTTGAAGATTATGGTGTTTTGAAGCTGGTGAGCTTCCCGAGATGCCGCTTATTGAAAGTACCATTCCGTGGTACTTCGGGTATGACAATGACTCTCCTGAAGCACAGGTTGTGGCTGACAAGATCAAAGATTTTTACTTTGAGGGGAAAGAATATTCGAAGAAGACTCAATCCGAGAAGTTTACTGTAAGTACCGCAGGTGGTACTTGTCGTGACTAAAAATACACTTGTAGCTTCTGACGGACGCCCACTTCTTACACGGTCTCTACGTGACGGTCATCAGTCACATCAACCACGCCAAATCGCCCCTCTTTCTCTATAAACTCGTTCTAGAAACGGAGCTAAACTTCTTCAAAAATCTCCTAGATATTAAAGTACCTGGTAGGAACTTTTTTCGC